AGGCGAGTGTAATGCGTCATGGATCTGTAGGGACAGGGAGAAGTGTCAGACCGAGCTATGACTATATTGCAAGCGCCTTTGCGTTTGGAATGCTTGAGGTGGAGGTTGAAGTAGTCGGGATAATATGACAGGTCAGAGAAGGCAATGTCTCGGGATGCATTAAAGGTGGTGTGAGAGTTTGTGAATTCGCTTATGCGTAAGAAGCCCATTTTCATGTAGGATGCAGCGGAGGAGAGAAGGTGAAGAGACGGAGGGACTAGGCCAGGGCGAGGGATTCCGTGCAGGGGATCTGGCATGGCGATGGATTGGCAGAAGGGCAGAGGCGTCAGAACTCCTGGAATTTAAAGCGAGAGAGAGAGTCAGCAAGTTAGGTGACGAGGGACGTGACGAACAGTGATGATAAATTGTTTGAGACTGAGAGCCATGTGATGGGTCTAAGGAGGATGTGATTTGGGGAGAGGATGAACGACCTCTGTTAATTATTTCAATGACGTCGAGGTTGTCGCACGTCACGGAAATCCTTTTCCTATGCCACGTATGGTTCCGCAGCACGCAGGCTACGGTCACGGGATATATCTCGTGGAGCGCGGAGGAGATGCTTCGAGGGAAAGCGTCGGGCCGGGGCCCGGCGAGCCACTGGTCCTGGAAAAACCCCCAAAACCCACGGACGGGGCTGCGTCCGTGAAGAACCGCGGGGCATCTGAGACAGGATGATGTCACTGTAAAAAAAAAGAGATACACCATCCCAGCGGCTCTGCAAACGGGACCGGAACGCCAGGTCGGAGCAGCGCCCCGCGTCCGGGCAGACGCGTCATTGAGGGAGGAGACGGAGCCGGCGAGGGAAAGGAGTCTGGAATTAAAAGAACGACCTTGGGGAATGATACAGACGGCATAATGAAGATGCCCGAGGAAGGCCAAGGCAGACCGGGAGAAAGCGCGGATGCGTTCGAGCTTGTCCAGCGGGAGGGAGGCCTCCATGGCGCGTGTGTCGAGGCGGATGCCGAGAAACTCCAGAGCGTTGGCGGGGCCTGTGGTCTTTCCGGAGTGGAGGAATCCGAGGGCAGAGAAGGCGGGCCTGAGCTTGCGGAGAGAGCCCCCGGAGCAGTCTGAGGGTGGGTCGACTATGAGGGAATCATCGGGGAGATGCAGACAGAGGGGAGCCGCGCGTAATTAAGCAGAATCCGACACGGCGCCTCCGAGAGATTGTTGAACGAGAGGGACTACTCTGGCAGTCAAAGGCAGTGATGGGAATAACGGCGTTACTAGTAACGGCGTTACTAACGCCGTTACTTTTTTCAGTAACGAGTAATCTAACTAATTACTTTGACAGTAACTATAACGCCGTTATCATTTCCGACATCCCGTTACTGCGCGTTACTCAAGACGCACAATGAACGTGTTGTCATGAGAGAAGGGAGGATGAGAAAACCTCTCAGCAATTATTGGCTGATGTAAATCATATTTCCTTTACAATCTACATGTCTACAGTTGAGAGGATGGCTCATAAATTGTGTTTTTGAAACAAATATGGGTCTTAATCGCGCTCAACCACGGCTTGTATCACCGTGAGGTCAGCCACAGAGTAGCGCATGTGAGCGCAGAAGTCGGCTGCATACAATTCCATCGATAAGCTCCTTGCTCTTCCTGGTTTATCTGCTAAGGACAGCAACAGGTTTGGCTAACATACATATAACACATTTTTACATAATCTAAAATGCACATAGGGTAATTTTTCAATTACCATAGGAATGATAATAAAGAGAGGTGAAGTGTAAGACGGTTGATTTTAGAAATTGGATGCAGCCGGCTGCAGCAAAACAGAGGAGTTTACGGAGGACACACGCGTTTTGTTTTACTTTTTAAAACTCATTGGACTCATTTCCAAATGGAGGATTACATATCTACGCTCAAACCATTCACTGGATTTAAACAAGGAACTGGTCTGAACCGAAGTGGACTGTGCAGGTCATTTATAAGGTATAGCTATAAGGTAAGACCCATAACTCATAGTTTTGCGTTTTGTATGAACAAACAATGCGGGCATAAAACATATTTTGCTGTAGCCAAACAAATTGTCCACTTGATTTATATGATGTATATGTTCATCTGATTGGACTGAAGTCAGTGCTTCACCAGCCTCACCGCTCGTCACCGGTGTTTAGTGCTTACAGCACAGAGAGAGATGAAGAGTGAACAGGACTTCAGCAGCAAAACAGCTTTTTCTAGATGGAAATATTGGCACTGTTAAAGGTAAAAATGTGCACGTCGGGTGCACATTATGTTCCAGAGCAAAACGAAAAAGTAACGCAATAGTTACTTTTACTGGTAACTAGTTACTTTTATAGTGGAGTAACTCCGTTAGTAACTCAGTTACTTTTTGGGAGAAGTAACTAGTAACTATAACTAATTACTTTTTCAAAGTAACGTGCCCAACACTGGTCAAAGGTGAGGCGCACTGCGAAGAAGAACTCCGACGCCACTTTGACCCCTGAACAGCGCCAGTGGTTGGGGTGGATGGCAGCAGCTTGAACGCGACCGGGATGACGGCCTTGGAGAGCCAGGAGCCGGGGCCAAAAGTCTTTATCAGCCTGATCGCGTGGTCCACGGTAGCGGACTGCAGGGAGAAGGGCGCTGGAGGGAAGGGGCTGTTGATGCTCGGGCGGGCCCGGAGCGGGGACAGGAGAGGACGAGTATGAGACGCTTCTTCCTGGAGTGCTTGCGGGTGGCGATGCCCATCGGGTTAGAGCGAGACGGAGAGAAGGGGCCAATGACGTAGCCCACGGACACCTCCCGCGCCCGAGCCGCGTGCCGACTTGGGGCTCCCGGAGAGCCGGGAAGAGGTTGCGGGACACGAGACGCCGAGGGACCTAAACAGAGCCTGCAGTCTAATGTGAGGGATTTAAATAGAGCTTGCAGTCCAAAGTGAGGTATTAAAACTGAGCCCGCAGTCCAAGTGAGGCGTTTAACGGAGAGCCTGCAGTCCGGTGCGAGGGAGTTAAACGACCTGTAGTCCGAGGTGAGGGATTAAACTGAGAGCATGTAGTCCAGAGTGAGGGATTCAACATTGCCCGCAGTCCTAAAAGAGGGATTTATAACTGAGAGCTTGAAGTCCAAGTGAGGGATTAAACCGAGAGCTGCAGTCCAGTGTGAGGGATTTAAACAGGTTTTACGGTCCAAGTGGGGGATTAACTGAACCCGCAGTCCAAGTGAGGAGTTTAAACTGAAAGCTTACAGTCCAGTGTGAGGGATCCAACAGAGCCTGCAGTTTTTTAATTTTTAATTTATTTATTTATATTTATATTTATTTATATTTATATTTATTCATATTTATATTTATTTATATTTATTTATTTTTATATATGAGCGTTCCAGATATAAGCAGTACCATATATGCAGTTCCAATATGAGCAGTTCCATATAAGCAGTTCCGTATACAAGCCGTTCCATATATAAGCAGTTCCATATATAGCAGTTCCATATATAGCAGTTCCATATATAGCAGCTCCATGTATAGCAGTTCCATATATAAGCAGTTCCGCATGAAGCAGTTCCAGGTACGGTATAACAGCTCCAGATATAAGCAGTTCCAGATATAAGCAGTTCCGTGAGGGATTAACCTGAGAGCTCGCAGTCCAATGAGAGGGATTCAATTTGGGAGCCGCAGTCCAGAGGGATTTAAACGGGGCTTGCAGTCCAAAGAGAGGGATTTAAACAGAGCTCGCAGTCCAGAGAGGGATTTAAAGAGAGCCTGCAGGCCAAAGTGAGGGATTAAAACTGAGAGCACGCAGTCCAATGTGAGGGATTAAACTGAGGTCTTGCAGTCCAATGTGAGGAATAAACGGAGCTTGCAGTCAGAGTGAAGGATTTAAACGGAGCTTGGTTAAGAGAGCCTGCAGAACAATGCGAGGGCTTTAAACTGAAGCTTGCCCGCCAATGCACGGGGCCAAACTGAGCCTGCCGTACAATGCGAGGGGAAAAAACCGTCCGCAGATCTCATACTTACCCACAGCGCCAGAAGACAAGGGACAACACAACGGGACCACGCCGTACCGGCACGAGGAGGCAGGGATGCGCAGAGCTACCACCGCACCGGGCCAGACCGGCCGTATGCAGCAGCAGGCCGCGACGAGACGAGCAGCGGCGAACCCGCAGAAAGAGCCCGCAAAGGAGGAGAGCAGCAAAGACCCACGGACCACAGCTCGAGACCCGCAGCAGGAGCAGCCACAGGAGGAGCAGACCACACGCAGCAAGACAGAGGACAGCAGGGACCGCAGGAGTAAGCGTGAGTAGACAAAGCGATTCCTCCAGAACGATTCACGCAAGGCTTCAGAGGCCGAGAGTGGGAGTTTCTCCGTTTTTATGCGGCTGGCGAGTCGGTACAGATGATTGGAAGGGGGCGTCTGCTGAGCGATAGGCTGGGGATGCGAGCCGGCCTGGAGGGGGTAATTTTGGTTAACGTCTACCAAATTGAATTTTCGCTGGCTGCATTAGTCTGCATTTGATGAAGGGGGTCTATAGATAACAACTAAAGTGAAAGACATTTGCAGTGACAAGGTTACATTTAAACTAAGAAATTCCAGTTCATTTTCATTTGTGACTTGTATTTCATTACATTTAAAAGTGTCTTTCGCATAAATCATAACGCCACCTCCTTTAGCACCCCTTCTGTCTCTCCTGAAAATATTATACCCAGGTACAGATAACATGGCTGAAGGAGATGATTCATGAAGCCATGTTTCAGAAAGGCAAAGGAAGTCAATATTAGAGTCATTGAGAATGTGCTGAACTTGGTCACTTTTTGACCTAAGGCTGCGTATGTTTAAATGTCCACATAGGATGCCTTTTGGTTTTGACTTTGGGTCCCATATTAGCCTGGAATTATTAACAGTCTGAAACACCCTACATTTCCGGTGCTTTATTATTGCGGGATTGAGGCGTTTCCGGTTTCTTTTGTTGACGTTATTTTCCGGTAACTTGACGTCGCTCTCCGCAATAGTCCCATGCGCGTGACCCCCGCGTTCACCGGTCGAGGACCGACTTCTACCTGCCACCGATGGAGCCAGGGAGCCTACCGTCATTGGAACAACTGCCCCGGGAGGGCTCCCTACTGTCATGCCCACGCTGCTGCTGTCCACGCTGCCTTGCTTCGCTCCGTCCGCTGCCCGATCTGGTTCCCGTACCAGGGTAGCCAAGCGCACTGGTCCACAGATTGCACTGGCACCTCCACACCGGATCGGACCCGATTTGGGCCCATCGGGGACCCCAGAGCAGCTCCCCAGGTTAGTCTGCTGGTTGGTTTGCTTGTTGGTATTAGCGCGCGTTATCGGGCTCTCGTGCCAGATTGTGGACTGATGGATTGATGCGTTGTCATTGGAGCTACTGTAGACAGGTCCAAGCGGGCCAGGGCACAGGTGGATATCCCCGGCCAGCAGGAGACACATTACCGCGACAAGTGCATCGCTCTGTTGCAGTTTAGGCACAGCTCTCAGGTGTTTGTTTAGGCGGCCTGGTCTCACAAAGTCTGCAAGAGTATGTGCGCCATGCCCAAAGTGCTTGGCATCAGATTGTGAAAGATCAGAATTTAGATAACATCTCTCCTGATGTAGCTCGCCAGGCATCATTGGTGTGGCGAGAAAGCACAGAATAAGGTATACCTGAAGGGCCACGAGCGCACCTCTGATACCGGCAGACGCCATGACAGTCAATTTTCAGAGTTCCAGTTGAACAAACAGGTTTCTGGTTTATTCCGGGTTACAATCTAAAATTAAGCTAATTCCATAGCAGCTACAGAGAGGCAAAAAAGTATTTAGTCAGCTATCAGTTGTGCAAGTTTTCTCACTAAAAAAATATGAGAGATGCCTGTAATTTTCATTGTTGGTATACTATGAGAGACAAAACGAGAATTAGAAAAAAGAAAAGACAATCCCGTTGTTGGATTTTAGATCATTTAATTGTTTGCAAATTATGGTGGAAAGTAAGTATTTAGTTTCTTATGAGCGATTGTGGAGATACCAAACCTGTTCATTGTAGGTCTGAGCAATGCAGCAGCTGTCAAAAGCTGTTCATACAATACATATACTATCGTACATTTATATTATACTTTGGCTTTTACTTGTTGTTCATACCACACCATGTTGGACGCACAATTATATATGTGTAATTTACCCCTTACACAACTATAGGGGTATTGCTCTTTTCTGTACGTTTTCCAGAAAGTCAAGTCAAAATTGCTTGCAAATGTTATTGTTTATAGACCTTTCTCTATAAAACATTGTTCCTCATATGAATAGCAATAAGCAAAAACACACCCCTGTGGCACTTCCATGATTACATGCATACATATTTCTCGATGTTCCAAAATTTGAGGTGTTTTTAGATCCATCCACTCTAATATCAGAAACTTCTGGCTCATTCATGTCCTGTCCAAAATCTCAAAAAGTCTCAATCCTGTAACAGCATGATGTCAAAGTTCCTCTGTGACATCACACTCAGAGCAGTTTTTTGCCTTTTAAAAACCAAGTATTGGCCATAAATTAGTTTTGGTCATTACAATCTGTGTTACCCGCTGATTAATCGTGTTTTAGGACACATGTTGAAATTAAGATAAGACTACTTGATTCAGATTATCTTTGCCTCATATTTTATAATTAATTGCCATTAGTTGCCATAGCCATTTTAAGACATTGTAAAACATGAAATAACATTGTCTAGACTCTAGAGGCAGTCTCAGTGACACTCTAAGATAAAGCCGAGCTACGTGTGTCTCAGTGCGGCTGCAGTTGTAGGTTGAGGCCCCTGAACCCTGGAACCTCACCCTGGGGGCCTCAGCAGAGCTCCAGCGACTGGAACCCAGACCAGAGACCAGACCAGACTCGAGCCCTCGACCTGAGCGTGATCCAGATCCAGCTGATCCAAACAACTCTGGGAGCCATACAGGTGTGTCAGCTGTTCCTTTTTCTACAACTTTTTCCTCCAAATTGATAGAAACACCTCCCTTGTTATTACGGCTGAATATGGATCGATATGGATGGAATCTATCTATCTCTATCTCTCTATGGTCATTTTTATGTTCCACAAATCATAAAGACTGACAAAAACATTTCAAAGAATGTGCATCAAACTTTGTAGCCCACAAAGACACCAATATACAAAAATAAAAAATCGTAATCTGAATTTGTGTAGTTCTGCAGCGCTAAAAAGGTTGAAGAGTGCAATGTTGAAGGTTGAAAGGTTGAATTATCTATTCAAATTTTACTTTTACCGAACAATCACATCTCTCTGTGATTGTGATGTCAGCCCATCTTATTCAAGTGCATCTAAAGAGTTGTTTGAATGGACCTTGAGTAAAATGTGGCTAAAGAATAAGGAAGTGTTTGTATAAGGCAGGCACAGAGTTGTAATGGTGTTACTTGTTGCAGATTTTGGCCTCAGGCGTGGGGCCCCTCATCTACACACTGGGACCCATCTCCCTGCAGGACAGGGGCCCCTACAGCTGTGAGACAAATGGACCGGCCCAGAAGTGGACTGTGGAACCGAACCACCAACTGCTTTGGGTCCACGGTGAGTGACAAAGCAAGGATTTGGCAGAAGTTTAAGAGAATATCTTGGCAATTGTAGAGTGTGACTCAGGCTGTGATTGGCCAGGTCTAGAGTGTGCCCTCTGTTGTGAGTGACCACGTCTCGAGTGTGTCCTCTGATGTGGCCAGGTCCATGGTGTTCTCTGTTTTGGACCAACATTTGTGCACTATGGTTACTGATGTGCTCTCCCCTCCACAGACCCGACTCCTCTCGTAACACTACAGTTGACTCGTGTTGACAGAGTGCGGTTTTTTCACAGTAAAAATTTTACCATCAGTTGTGATCTCCCTCACGACGGCAAAGAGTGGAAAATCATGAGGTGAAACCAGACTGTGTTCTACTGCCGTTCATTCAAAATAATAATTAATTAACACAATTATAATATTCACACTATGGTTTTAATTGTTTATGTTTGAAATCGCAATCTGAATCTGAGATGATCCAAAATTAAGTTTGAAATCAAGCCTTCTGCACACTTCAGTTTTTGCACAACTTATTTACTCAAAACAAAACTGACCTTATTTTGTAGAGTGGAGAAAGGTGGCAGCATCTCTGAGTGCCCAGCTCAGACACGCTCTGGGGGCTCTCGGGTTTGGGTGGCTCCGTGTCCTGCTCCGTCCCCTCTTTTCCCATGCCCATGTCCAAAAGCCGACAGTACGAGCCGTTCTGGTGCGAATCGTCAGGCGGAGACAAGAGCAACGTGTTGAACCTCACTCAGGCGGGTATGAAGAGATCTCCACACTGTGATGATGTCGCATGTTTTTACTTTGTGTCTGTGAGAGTTACCACTTTAACCATAGACTGATCTTTAGTTTACTATCTCCCTCGGCCAAATGCAACACACACATTTGCATAAGATTTAACTTTCTAAGTCAGTCATAAATCAGTCTGTTTGTGGTATGTCCGGATGATAAGATTTCAAAAAATATATCCTACAGATTTCTCTAAATCATCTTTGGAAGACTGTTTTCATTGTTACATTTTAGAATCTGCTTTTGACAACTGCAGGTTAACACAAAATAAATGTATTTGATTTCATTCTGATTCTGATCTGACTGGAAAATAAATCTGACCTAACCCTCTTCCTCAGAGATCTCTGATCAGAACTCGCGACAAATACTGGTCGCTACATTTGATTTGTCGCCGGCCTGGTTCCTGCAGCCGGGTGACTCGGTGACCTTCACCTGTGAAGTTAAAAACGACAAGTACAACAACAGCGACAAGAAACTAGCTGTTAGCTAATACTGGCACATTTACAGCAATGTTGACTCATGTGTACCGTCCCTGTTCAAAAAAGACAAATAAATAACTAGCTACACATGCAACACAGGGACATGGACAACATTACAGACTGCTACGAGCAAATATTGCAGACAAGTTTCCATGAATCGTACCCGCTTCCACAGTAAAGTTGTGTGTCCAGATTAAAGTGAGGTGTGTATGGAGCTGGTCTGAGTCTCTGCTCACTGTAACTGAGTGGGACTTCTTTATGGTTAAATCAAAGTACTGTTAATCCAAAGATTTTTTGTAAATCAAAGTGATTGATAGATAAACTGCCTGATGAGTATTTTGAGGGTGCGTTCCCGTCACCGGTGGATGTTTGGACGCATGTTGACTAAAATTCAGTTTAGTAAATCTGATGTTGGGGCCTGTGATAGCGAAAAACGCAAGGCGGCAGTGGTGAGCGGGCTTTTGAAGCTGCCGAACTGAAGTTGATGAACAGGATGGATGCAAACGTGCCAGGTACTCCCAGATATTGAAGGAGGTGATGGAGAAATCTGACTGAAACCTTCGTTCCCCGCCTGGCTCTGTCTGCAAAGGATGATGAGCAGTGTAGTGACACCTCCATTGCACAGAACACCTTTGCTGAGATGCCATCCGGGCCTGGTGCCATGCCAGCTTGCATCTCAAGTAGTGTTAATTTTGACAAGAAATTGTAATTTTGTTTTAGTGTTAGTATTTTGTCTGAAATTGATTATTTTAGTCTCAATTTTAGTTCGAAATACAAAGAAATGTTAGTCGATATACAATAAAATATGCAACTTATTTTCTGAAACATTTGGATAAAAAAATAGGGACCTTTATGTAAAATACGAGCAGTATTATCGCACAGTGACAAATGTGACACGAGCAGCTTCATTACATTACTAAATCCCGGCCCACAGGGACTAGGGGCTGAGACCAACGAGCTAGCACCGACGCCAGTGCTAACATCAGGATGGCTTGGGCTAGCGCAGAAACGGCTGCAACCAGCGGTACATGAGTTGGCTTTGGAGCTATCTCATCCGACTGCGGGCTTTGAGCTCGTCTTGAAGCCACGTCCTGCAGCTGGCGGTGGGTTAGCATTTGAGCTTTCACCGTCAGCGGTGGACTGCATGCTAACATCTGAGCCACAAGCTACGGGCAGCGGGCTATTGGCGGCTGGAGGAGGGTTGGCACTGGAGCTTCCGCCGCCGGCTGCGGAGCTGACATCGGAGCCGGCATCGGAGTCATGGACGTCTACTGTAGGCAACGAGTTGGCGTCGGGACTACGACTGCCGGTGGCTGAAGGTGGGGTACCATGGGAGTTTCCACCACTGACGGCGGGCGGCGTGTTAACATCAGAGCCGGCGGCGGAGCCAGCAGCGGAACCAAAGGCGGAGCTAGTAGCGGGGCTAACATCGGAGCCAGCGGCGGAGCCTGCCACGGAGCCGGTAACGGAGCTAACATCGCCAGCAACGGACCATGGGATAGTCTCAGAACCACGATCACAAAAAAATAATAATCAACCAAAACCTACGAACTCCAAGGTAACATACAGACAGCAGCAGACAAAACTTTTACAAACTGTGAACCATGCTAAAGTTATCTGGGACCCTGATGTTAAACCAAAGGGGACCTTAATATCAGGAGTCTCCCATCTAAAACAGATCAACTTCAGAAATTATTGTATGACTCTAACTTGGATTATTTGGGGCTCTCAGAAACATGGTTAAAAAAACATTCCCCAGCAGGCACCTATACCATGCAGAACTACAACATATTTAGGAAAGATCGACCACATAAAAAAGGAGGTGGGGTGATGTTGTATGTTAAAAAGACTATCGAATGTAAACAGATAAATCTTCCCCAAAATGATCTGGAGTGTGTGGGAGTTACAATCTGTTTATCCCCCGAAATGTCTTTTAACTTGGTAGTCGTGTATAGGCCACCTAATGAGAAGGATGTATTTTTTGACATGTATTAAAAGCATGTACTGTAGCAACAAGGAAACCATCGTAATGGGTGATTTTAACCTAAATTGGGTAGATAAAACGCGGTCCAATAAGCTGAGACACCTTGCTAAACAGTTTAATTTCACTCAAATTATTAAGAATCCAACCAGAATGACTAGCTCCTCAAAAACCTTGTTGGATTTGATTTTCACTAACAGGGCGGAAAGGGTTAATAAAACGTATAATTTAATAACTGGTTTATCGGACCATAATCTCACTCTGGTTTCAAGGAAACTCTCTAAATATCGTTATAGAAACCAAAATAAAGAAGGGTCCTATGTATCAGTTATTCCAAAGCGTGATATGGAGCTTTTAGATGCTGAAATTGAAACTACTATGCAAAATAATTTAGTTTTTGGCCAGGATGTCGAGCAGGCTTGTAGCACTCTTAAAAATGCAATCTCTCAAATTCTTCTAAAATTTACAAAAACAGAACCACGAAGATTTAAAAGTAAAAAAAAATTACCGTGGTTCAGTGAGCGGCTATGGGTCCTAATGAAGGATAGAGATGCTTCCCTAAAAAAGTATCTCAAGTCAAATTTGAGAACTGACCGATTGATCTTTAAAAGCCTCAGAAACAAAGTAACTGGACAGCTTAGAAGAGCAAAAGCGGACTTCTTTTTGGACATTATTAAACAAGCCAAGGGTAATAGTAAAATTATATGGAAGTGCATAGACAGTCTCTCTGGGAAAGAGCGGACTGGAAATGGACCTATTGAACTTAACATTAACGCTTGTAATACTGGAACACTCACACCTGTAACACAAGTCACCACAAAGGACAGCTCAACTATCGCAAACATGTTCAACGACTATTTTATCTCTTCAATCTTGGAGTTGCGTAAATCCTCAAGTACGGAGTTGCATTTAACATCATCTGCAGCCTCTATTAGGGCTGTGGCGACGCGGCCCACAGATGGACTACAATCCATTTCTGTGGAAGCTCTAGACTTTGAATCTGTGAGCGAAGGCGAGGTTAATAAAATAATTTCCTCACTTTCAAATTCGAGAGCCAAAGATTGTTGGGGATTTGATTCACTCCTTCTAAAAAAACATAAAGAGGTTTTCACTGGTCCAATCACGTACATAATGAACCAATCACTAAGAGAATGTGTGTTCCCCTCCTCTTGTAAATTTGCAGTTGTTACGCCCATTTTTAAGGCAGGTAACAAAAAGGAATTGATAAACTATAGACCAATTAGTATACTTCCTACTGTTTCAAAAGTTATCGAAAAAATTGTTGCAGAACAGCTGGTGGAACACCTTGACAATAGAAATATGTTACACCCCATGCAATTTGGCTTCCGATCAAAACATTCCACCGATACAGCCTGTTGTTATCTTCTTGAGGTGATTAAGTCCAATCTAGACAAAGGAGGGGTGGTTGGGGCCATTTTTCTGGATCTGCGTGAGGCTTTCGACACAGTTAACCACTCAGTGCTGCTAACAAAACTGTTGAATTTTAATCTTTCAGCAAACACTATTAGTTGGTTTCAATCTTACCTTGCAGATCGTTTTCAGTGCGTAAAAATAAATGATAAGATCTCACCTTTTAGCCCCTGCACTACTGGTGTACCACAGGGGTCTATCTTGGGGCCATTGCTTTTTACTCTGTACATCAATGACCTACCTTCCATCTGTGATGATGTGGAGGTCTTGATGTATGCTGATGACACGGTTCTATTTACTCACAGCTCTGATGCAAATCTTGTTGCAGATAAATTATCTATAGCTATGAATAAAGTAATAGAGTGGTTGAACAAGTTGAGCCTAACGCTGAATTCAGAAAAAACTGTCACTATGTATTTTTCCAACAAAAGAAAGAGTGTTCTTCCAAATATCTATGTGGATGGTTTGATGATCAAAAATGTCCAAGAAATCAAGTACCTAGGTGTAATGCTGAATCCTACCCTTAATTTTAAAAACCATGTTAAAAAGGTTTGCCGCGTTCTGAAATTTAACATCGCCAACTTCCAGCACATCAGGAGCTCTTTGTCATTGGAAGCGGCTAAATCATATCTTAATGCAATGATTATATCTCATATCATGTATTGTGTGTCTTCATGGTCTCAAGCTAAAACAACGGTTTTAAACCCCCTTAGATCGTTGTATAACCAGGCTTTGAAAGTCCTGGATAAAAAGCCTCGCCCGTACCATCACTGCAATATACTTGAAAAATACAGCATACTAAGCTTTGACAATCTGATTAGGTATTCCGATGTACGTTTGGTTTATAAGATTCTTAATGATACTGCCCCACCCCCCCTAAAAACATATGTACAGCTTCGCTCACAGCTAACCAACAGAGCATTAAGATCTGTGTCCAGGGGAGACTGCAATGTTCCTAAGAGAAAGTCTGCCTTCTCTCAATCAGCCTTTTCCTACAAAGCCACTAAAGAATGGAATGGGCTCCCAGACAATCTAAAGAACAATGCAGATTTCCACAGTTTTTCACGGGCGGTTAAAGACTGGCTTTTAGATCAACAGTCCTGCTCGCACTAAAAGTACCAGATGGGTACTTGGCCATCAGGTGTTACCCTCGCGGGTATCGTCTGATGGCCACCACACTATTAGTGTTAAAAACTATTGTATCTATGTGCTAATTATGTATAGCTACAAAATAGTTGCACTTTGTCATTCTGCACTTTATGAATGCAACTGGCACTTTTCATTTGCACTTTTACTATATATTGCACAAATGTTTATTGTCTATGTTTTGTATTTTAATTAACTCTGTTATGTATTTTAATTGTATTTTTGATTGTATAAGGACTACAGATGGAAATTAGCATTGTGCTAAATCTGGGGCAGCCATCTTTTTAATGTACCTGTCCGTTGTCCTTTTAAATAAATAACTAACTAACTAACTAACTTTACTTTGGGGTACTTATTGTTTGTGTCACATGAATGCTAAATGTACATTGAAGCAATCTTGTTTTTATATAATACCATTTAGCACAATAAAGTCAAATAAAATCTAAGAAAAATGAGTGGGTATTCTGTAGATGTCTCTTCAAATTTGTTGTGTTTGTTGCCCCTCTTGAGCCCAAGAGGGGTGAGAATTGTAAACCCTGAGAAAGGAAAACAGGAGACCAAATGAGTTCGTCTTGTCTCATCAACGGCAGGGTTTATTCTGCCGTTCTGTCCTTTCTTCTATCTAATGTTGCTCATGCGCCCCCTTGTGGCGGGTCGAAGTATTGCATAATACAGTTAGCTGCACGTTTATCCATATGAACAGTTGACTATTTAAAAAAATAGTAGGGTGTCTGGTTTTAACGACTGAAAATACTTATGAATTTTGTGAATTATATTTTAGCTGTTTTTAACCACTTTTTGTATATTTATCTTTAAAATTATGAGCCTTACACTCTCCCCTGCTTAAATAAATGTCTCCTGACATTTGTCAACAAAGCATGTTCAATACACTTGTGAATAACATAAATATGGCTGGCCCACATAAGGAAGGACAACAGTGCTTGTAATGGGATAACCTGGTATCAAAGAGTTCACTCCTGGATTCCACTGGTGATAAGTTGGTTGTCCCAATGCATCATAGGTAAACATCTCTCTGGTCCTGATGTTCCGCTGGGATCTCCTGAGGCTGATCCCAGGATGTTCCTCCTCTTGTGGCACCAGCTCTTCTGGTGATCTCTCTCGTGGTTGTTCCTCTACTTGATGTTCTGGATCAACAGGGTCTTGTACATTGTCCATCACCTGCAATGTATCGTCTCTTTGGACCTGCTTGTCTTGTGGCAGTGTCGAATGGAATTCTCGAGCAGTAGCATTTAGTCTCTCATCAGTTGGATGGCTTTGCTCAGCCTGCCCTCTCCTTCTGAGTCTGTAGCAAGGAACACTTGTATATGTGTAGTTTTCCTCCTCTGAATCAGAGGTCTCTTTGGTGTTTTCAAGCATCTTGATTTTAGTTTGTTGTTCGCATTTCTTTTTCTTTGGACTAAAAGCTGGAATGTCCACCTCAATAGGTAGGTCGTTGACAGGAAGCAGCAAGTTTCTGTGGAGCACACGCAGCGTATTGGAGCCCTTTTCTGCTCGCACCTTGTACACAGGTCCATCATCAAGTCTTTCCACTACCCTGTGCACTACCTGTTCCCAGTACGAGCGTAGCTTGCCAGGCCCCCCTCTCTCTGATAGGTTCCTGACTAACACTCTGTCCCCTGGCTGGAGAACTACACCCCTGACCGATTTGTCATATTGTTTTTTCCCTTTGGCCGAGGACTTTTCGCTATTTCTTTCAGCAATGTCATAAGCAGTCCGCATCCTCTCTGCCCATTTCTGTGCATATGCCTGTCTGTCATATGTATCGGTGTCTTTCTGAGAAGGAAACAGTAAGTCTATAGGTAAGCGTGGATGTCGTCCATATAACAGAAAAAATGGAGAGAAACCAGTGGATTCATGCCTTGCACAATTATACGCATGTAATACATGGTTGAGGTGGTCTTTCCATTTACTTTTTTTCTCGTCCTCCAACGTGCGCAGCATCTGCAATATTGTGCGGTTCAGTCTCTCCACCGGATTACACTGTGGGTGGTAGGGTGTAGTCCGAGAGTGTCCAATACCAGCTAAATGCTCAAGCCTGTTAAACAAACTGTTCTCAAATTCCTTTCCTTGGTCATGATGGATTTTGTCAGGGTAACCAAAACGAGGAATAAAATCATGAAAGATCTTGTCCGCAGCAGTTTTTCCTGACTTGTTTCGTGTCGGGTAAGCTTGCGCAAATCTTGTAAAGTGATCAACAAGTACAAGTATGTACTCATAGCCTTGGCTTGGCTCCAAGTGGAGATAATCAATGGACAAAAGTTCAAAAGGGCTACTTGTGGAAATGTGTCCCATCGGTGCTCGTTGAGGAAAAGTTGGCCGTTTTTGCTTGATACAGGAGCATTTCTTGTTAACATAGTCCTCTATCTCCTGTTGCATGTTCGGCCAATAAAACCGTTCCCTCGCCAGATGAGTGACCTTTTCAGCACCTAGATGACTCATGTCATTATGTAGTGACTTCAAGATTATGATTTTCAAATTTTCAGGAACCACCAGCTGTTTGTGTCTATCTGTCTTCCTGTAAAGTATTCCATTCTCCACTTCTAGCTTTGTCCATTCGTAAAGCAATCTCCTTGTCTCTTTTGTCATGTTTTTTCTGTTTTTCTCATTTGGAATCCTGTTGTTCATTTTCAAAAACACAACTTCTTTTATCTTTTTATTCAGAAGGTCGTGGGTTCAATTCCCACCTCTGCACCTTCTCCACCGACTCCCACTGATGACTGCTGTCGTTGTGTCCTTGGGCAAGACACTTAACCCCACTTTGCCCCAAAGCCCCCACTGAAAGATCAAGGCTATGCTCACACTCAGAGAGCAGCCGTCCTCCTGTGGACTCACCACCTGCAGAGGGTCAGTGAGGGGCTGGTGCTATGAGACTTGGGTGGCATCTCTGACTGCCACCCCCCTGACCCAGAAATGGATTAAAGGGAAGAAAATGGATGGATGGATGGAACTTCTTTTATTGCCATGTCCTCTTGTTGTGCGTTTTCCAAATCGACTGGTTCGAAGCCTTGCACATTCCCTTGTGACTCGGTGCCGGTGTAGGTATCATCCACTTGTAGAGCTGCGGCTGAAGGCACGTTGTCTTCTTGAACTGCTTTGCTGCCTTGCCACACCGCTGTCACCATGTCTGCTGGGATGCTGCCTATGTGGTCATTCATACTTTTCTGTAGTTCTAAAGGGTAACGGGACAATGTGTCAGCATCACTATTCATTTTTCCTGGCCTGTATTTCACATCAAAATGAAAATCCGCTAACTCTCCCACCCATCTGTGCCCCACAGCGTTAAGTCTTGCAGTGCTAAGAACATATGTTAGAGGGTTGTTATCTGTATAGACTGTAAATGTGGGTGCATAATACAGATAATCTCTAAATTTGTCACATATGGCCCACTTTAACGCCAAAAACTCGAGTTTGCCTGAGTGAAGATGGTAATTTCTCTCAGCCGGTGTTAACGTTCTTGACCCATAACCAATAACACGAAGTTTGCTGTTCTGCCTTTGGTATAATACTGCACCTAACCCTTCATTAGACGCATCGGTATGAAGAATGAATGGAAGGTCAAAGTTTGGGTAAGCAAGGACGGGGGGATTTACCAAAATCTCTATAAGTTTAGCTACCACCATTTTGTGTTCTTCGGTCCATGTTATGTGTGTTTTAGAAGGTAAATGTCCCTTATCTCCATTCCTGTATTTACCTTTCATTGTTTGTGTCTTGTTCTGACTATGATTCGTGTCTGGGATCGATTTCTGCAGCAACTCAAATAGTGGTTTGGCTACATGGGAAAAATCTTGGATGAAGGAGCGATAGTAACCTAGGAAGCCTAAGAGTGACTTGACATCCCCTACAGTTTGTGGCTCTCTGTCTCTAAGTGCCAAGACAGCATTCAAGTCCTGTGGGTCCATCTTAACTCCGTCTCCAGACACTAAGCGTCCAAGATAACGAACCTCTCTTTTGAACATTTCACATTTAGCGGGTCTCAACTTGATTCCATGTTCTCTCATGCGCCACAGAACTTGTTTTAGTTGATTTACATGGTCCTCAAATGTCTTTGAGTAGCACAAGACATCGTCGAGATATGGAGCACAGCATTCGTCACGAACACCCTCCAGCACTCCCTCAATACATCTCTGAAATGCTGCAGGTGCGTTTGTCAGTCCGAATGGTATTCTTATCCATTCATAAAGTCCCCACGGAGTGCTGAAAGCTGTGAGGTGACGAGACTCTTCACTGACAAATCCTTGGTGATATGCACTCCCTTGATCTAAGATGGAGAACCATGAGTGACCACCCAAACTGTCCAATAAGTCCTGTATGCGAGGTAATGGGTGTCGATCTGCAATAGTCTTTTTGTTAAGTCCTCTGAAATCAACACAGAGCCGAAGACTTTGGTCTTTCTTCCGCACGCACACTACTGGTGAAGAGTAGGAAGATGTTGACTTGCGAATCCATCCTCGGTCCCAGAAGATTTTGTACATAATCCTTTACTTCTTTATATAGAGGTTTAGGGATGGAGTTGTAGGATTTCTGGACTGGGATCTTATCCACTAAACTAATCTTTAACTGTAGCTCTGGGATTCAAACATCTATGTCCCCTTCCCCCGTTCCGTGGTTACGGAACCGACCTCGTCGCTACAGGTGCACACTAGGCCTCTGGTTAACCATTCCCATCCATAGTTTTGCACTCCATAAAGTTTCCACTCAGTATCCGTCTCCCCACCAAACTCCAACCCGGCAAACCGAGCGCAGTCCGCGCTTCCTGTTTTGAGCGCCTCGCACGTACGTCTGCGTCTGACGTCATTGGTGACGTCATCGTATTTTTCGTTTTTTTTGGAAAATGTATTTTATTATTTTTCCTCTGTAGTCTACAGGTGCAGAGGAGAACTCTACGGTAGAAGAGTTGATTGTAGATTTATCCATATTTTAGTTATTAGGAACGTAATCATGGTTTATGTAGAAACTAAAAGTTTATGACTTAACTGACATGTAGGAGGAGCCTGAGGGGTTTAAGACTAGGCCAGCCTCTACTGTCAGTGTCAGTGTGAGTCTGAACTGGGACAGAGGAGGTAAGCCAGGAGACCTTCTTGCAATGTAATTTTTTTCTGTAAATACTGTAAATATGTTTATTAATCACTGGTTTGTTTTTGGTACAGCACTCCTCTTCAATACTTCGATACTTTATACTTCAATACTTTATTCTTAATTACTTTATAATTATTTTTTTGGGAATAAAACTTTAAAAGTACTCTGGCTGCGCCATCCTCTTATTTCACATTCAGAACCCCGTCACATATGGTGTCAGAAGTGGGATGGCGAGCCGAAGAAAAAGAAAAGGACTTCGTTCCCAAAGGAAGTGTGAAGAGGAGTATGCTTCTGATGATGCGGTGGAGACTACGGTCCATGAGCACGGTGGTGCCACTGCGCCACCTATGTCAGAGCTCGTGGTCCTCATGAAGGATTTCATGCAAGGTCAGCAGAGGAGAGAGGAGGGTCTGCTTGAAGAGATCCGTAACCTCCATACGACGCTGCAGTCACCTTCACCCGCATCGAGAGCTAGGGCTCCAGGAACTTCTCGGGCAAGCAGTCCAAGAATGGATTTGCCAACCCCTGGACCTTCAAGGCGACCCCAGGGCGAGTTGACCACACTGCACCGGCTGTCAGAACAGGGTTCTGCTGGTCTGGACAATGCAACCCCTTTAGATTGGCGACCATATGCAGTGGAGCCAAAGATTCCTCCATTCCAGATTGGGGAGGACATTGAAAATTATTTATTGCGGTTTGAGCGCATAGCTAAGACTTGGAGATGGCCAGAGTCTGAGTGGGCATGCCGTCTTGTACCACTGTTGTCTGGAAAAGCGTTGGAAGCTTACACAGCTATGGATGAAGATGAAGCGCACTGCTACAAGGACTTGAAAGAAGCGCTATTAACCAAATTTGACATTTCCCCTGAAACTTATAGGCATCGGTTCCGGTGTCCCACAGTTCCGTCTGGAGAGACGCCGACTGAGACATATCATCGCCTCAAGAGCCTGTACCAGAGATGGGTTCGTCCCGACCAGCTCACCAAGGAGCAAATCGGAGAGCTCGTAATCATGGAGCAGCTTCTACGTGTACTACCACCCGACGTCCGTACCTGGGTCCGAGAGCATGAGCCTGAGGATGGTCTTACCGCGGCCAGATTGGCGCTGCAGCACCAGAACGCTCGTCGAGGAGGACCTCCTCGGTTCACCAGTTCTGCACCACGATCTTCGCAGACGTCTGCACCCAACTTCCGTGTGCGGGAGGCAAGTCAGGACACCAGAGGTAACCCCAGCTCTGCTTCAACTCAGCCAGCGACTGGTAAGCCTTTTGTTTGCTTTTACTGTCAGCAACAAGGACATAAAGCGTCCGTTTGTCCAGTGCGGAGGGATAAGCTCACTGGAGCATGCTATGCACCTCGTGAAGAGAGTGAGCATCCTAACCCTCTGGGACTAAAGAAACGTACATTTAAGACTGTGACTGTAAATGGACAACAGGTGACAGCACTGTTAGACAGTGGCAGTTTCACCTCCCTGTTAAAGAAGAACTTTGTGTCTGTCAACTGTTTGGACTACACTGTAAAAACTGATATTTTGTGTGTGCATGGTGACAGCCAGACATACCCAAAGGCAGAAGTGACTATCTTGATTGATGACCAACCGTATCTTATGACTGTTGCTGTGGTAGAGAACTTACCTGTGGACTTAGTACTTGGTACTGACTTACCTGTTCTTCTAGATCTACTGCAGAAAGGACAATGTCATACTGTTCCTAATGTTAATGATCTGTGCAAAGTAGCATGTCCTGTTGTTACTAGGGCTCAGGCCAAGGCTGGTGTGGAACCCCTGCCTGACCTAGATGATGACTTGTTTGAGGGAGGAACAAAGGGTCCCAAAAAGTCTAAGCGGCAGCGCAGGTTTGAGAAAAAACTAATGATAAGTGACCAGAAGGACCAATGCATGAATGTTGATGACCTGTGGAAAGTGCCTGACAATATTGCCGAGTTACAGAAACGAGATGTGTCATTGAGAGCCTGTTTTGAAAAGCTGCATGCTAAAGCTAATGTCAATGCTAATGTGACTGGGAAAGAGCAGTTTGCTGTGATTAACGATGTGTTGTATATCTCTGAGAATTCTCAGAAACGTCTAGTTGTCCCTGCACCTTGTAGGCAGCTGATTTTGAATGTTGCGCATACACTTCCGTGGGCTGGACATTTTGCTCGCCATAAGACCTACTTGCGTGTTAGTTCCCGTTTCTATTGGCCAGGGATGTATCGTGACATTGAACAGTTTTGCACCACATGTCCGACATGTCAAAAGACCGCTCCCACGCGCAAATCTGATCGTGCACTTCTCCATCCACTGCCCATTATTTCTACACCGTTTCGTAGAATAGCAATGGATATTGTTGGCCCGCTAGTAAAGAGCGCCCGTGGTCACCAATATATTCTTGTACTCTGTGACTATACGACCAGATATCCAGAGGCATTCCCACTCCGTACAATCACTGCACCCACTGTTCTTCGTGCCATGGTTCAACTGTTTTCAAGAGTCGGAATTCCAGATGAAGTGTTGACGGACCAAGGGACTAACATTACATCTCGTCTCTTACAGTTGTTTCACAGGCAGCTTGGGATCACTGCACTCCGAACCACACCCTATCACCCTCAAACTGATGGACTCGTGGAAAGGTTCAATCAAACCCTGAAAAGGATGCTCCAAAAGTTTGTAAGCGACACAGGAAAAGACTGGGACAGATGGCTGCCATTCCTTTTGTTTGCATATAGAGAGGTACCGCAGGCATCCACTGGATTCCCCCCTTTTGAGCTGTTGTATGGCTGGGACGTTCAAGGACCGATGGATATTTTAAGCAAAGCTTGGACAGCCCCAGAGACTAACTCAAATGAGCAGGGCATTGTGCAATATGTTTTACAGATGCGGGACAGGTTGGCAACCTATCGCGATGAAGCGGAAGAGAACCTGAAGGAGGCTCAGAAGAAGCAGAAAACCTGGTATGACCAGCAGTCCAGACAACGAGCGTATCAGCCAGGTCAAAAAATTCTCCTACTACTTCCCTCCTCCAACAGCAAGCTGTTGACCAAGTGGCAAGGGCCATACACAATCACCCGAAGGACTGGCCCGGTCACGTATGAGATTCATCAGCCTGACAGAAAGAAGACCCGGCAGATCTACCACGTGAGTCTCCTGAAAGAGTGGAAGGAGCCATCCATCCAAGCGCCAGAGATGTCACTGCTGGTGAGGCAGGTGGAAGAGGCAGAGGATGAAGACCCCGGTGTACCCATAGTCACCGATCCCTCAGAACCCCTCGTTGCACACCTTGCTGCAGACCAAGCTGCCGATCTCCTTGAAGTCTTCAGAGAAACACCCTCACTGTTTGCTGCCGAACCCGGAAGGACAACGCTGATCGAGCATGTCATTCGTCTCAAGGACCAAAACCCAGTACGTCAGCGACCCTACCGTGTCCCTCAGCAGCTGGTGGCCCAACTTCGGCAAGAAGTATAGTCCATGCTGGAGCTTGGAGTCATCGAGCCGTCTACATCAGAGTGGTGTAGTCCAGTTTTTGTTTTTAAGAAAAATGGATCCTTGAGGATCTGCATTGATTTCCGGAAACTCAATGCCATCTCAGAGTTTGATGCATACCAGATGCCGAGGATTGATGATCTCCTCGATCGCATTGGCTCAGCAGCCTACATCACAACCCTGGACTTGTGTAAAGGTTATTGGCAGGTGCCGCTGGAGGCTTCAAGCAGACCTTACACCGCGTTCAGAACGCCAGCCGGACTTTTCCAGTTCACGGTAATGCCCTTCGGTTTGCACGGTGCCCCTGCAACATTCCAGCGTCTGATGGACCGTGTACTGCAAGGATGTGAAGAGTTCAGCGCTGCATACCTGGATGATGTTGTCATTTTCAGCCCAACCTGGGATGAGCATGTGCGTCACTTGAGGGCCGTGCTGAGGAAGATTGAGGCAGCTGGTTTGACCCTAAATGTGGCCAAATGTGAGTGGGCTCGCCGTGAAACCCGGTACCTCGGTTACCAGCTTGGTAGAGGAGAGGTGCGACCGCAGTTGGATAAGGTGGAAGCCATCCAGAAGTGTCCTCGTCCTCGAACCAAGAAGAAGGTTCGATCCTTCCTGGGTCTCGCTGGATGGTATCGGAGGTTTGTGCCGCAATTTGTCACAATCGCAGCACCACTCACAGCCCTAACGACAAAAGATAAAAAGAACCCGGTAACATGGACAGAAGCATGTGAAGAAGCTTTTAATACTTTAAAGAATCTGCTTTGTTCTTCTCCAGTTCTCCGCAGTCCAGATTTTGACCGTCGGTTCCTCGTGCAAGTAGATGCCTCGGAGGTGGGTCTGGGAGCTGTACTTACCCAAGGAGAGTCTGCAGCCGAGCAGCCGATCCTGTACCTGAGCCGCAAGTTATTACCCCGAGAATCCCGCTACTCCGTTGTAGAAAAGGAAGGATTAGCCATCAAATGGGCCCTAGAGAGTCTAAAATATTACTTACTTGGTAGAGAGTTTGATCTAGAAACGGACCATAGAGCCCTCACATGGATCAACTCTATGAAAGACCACAATGCCCGTCTGACTCGATGGTATCTTTCATTGCAGCCCTTCAAGTTTGCTATCCGCCACCGTTCTGGCAGATCCAATTTGGTAGCCGACTACCTGTCCAGGTTGCCAAAACTTTGTCAACCTTCGGGAGGAGAAGGATGATGTGACGGAGCAGCCTCCGTCAATGCCCAGGGCAGTCTCCCCAGTCCGCGCGCACTCCCCCCCCGCACACACACACGCATACATACCTAACTCACTTGCCGGTTTGTCGTTCCTGTTCCTTGTCAGTCCGTTCCGTTCCCATCCTCGTTCATTAATTCATCCCAGTTGTCTTGGATGCACACTAGGCCTCTGGTTAACCATTCCCATCCATAGTTTTGCACTCCATAAAGTTTCCACTCAGTATCCGTCTCCCCACCAAACTCCAACCCGGCAAACCAAGCGCAGTCCGCGCTTCCTGTTTTGAGCGCCTCGCACGTACGTCTGCGTCTGACGTCATTGGTGACGTCATCGTATTTTTCGTTTTTTTTGGAAAATGTATTTTATTATTTTTCCTTTGTAGTCTACAGGTGCAGAGGAGAACTCTACGGTAGAAGAGTTGATTGTGGATTTATCCATATTTTAGTTATTAGGAACGTAATCATGGTTTATGTAGAAACTAAAAGTTTATGACTTAATTGACATGTAGGAGGAGCCTGAGGGGTTTAAGACTAGGCCAGCCTCTACTGTCAGTGTCAGTGTGAGTCTGAACTGGGACAGAGGAGGTAAGCCAGGAGACCTTCTTGCAATGTAATTTTTTTCTGTAAATACTGTTAATGTTTATTAATCACTGGTTTGTTTTTGGTACAGCACTCCTCTTCGATACTTCGATACTTTATACTTCCATATTTTATACTTCAATACTTTATTCTTAATTACTTTATTATTATTTTTTTGGGAATAAAACTTTAAAAGTACTCTGGCTGCGCCATCATCTTATTTCACATTCAGAACCCCGTCACAACAGGTTACAGAACAACAGTGTCTTTCTGGTATCGCTCTCTCTGCCCTCTCTTTCATGTCTCTCTCGAGTCTCTGGTCTCTCTCTGGTCTCTCTCTCGTGTCTCTCTCTGATCTCTCTCTGGTCTCTGTCTAGTCTCTCCCTGGTCTCTTTCTGGTCTCTCTCTGGCCTCTCTCTGCCTTCTCTCTCGTGTCTCTCTCTGGTCTCTCTCTAGTCTCTCTCTTGTCTCTCTCTGGTCTCTCTCTAGTCTCGCTCTGGTCTCTCTCCGGTCTCTCTCGTGTCTCTCTCGTGTCTCTCTCGTGTCTCTCTCTCGTCTTTCTCTGGTCTCCCCCTGGTCTCTCCATGGTCTCTCTCTGGTCTCTCCATGGTCTCTCTCTGGTCTCTCCCTGGTCTCTCTCTGGTCTCTATCTGGTCTCTGGTCTGGACTGTGTGCTTCAGTACAATTATGCTCTAAATCTATAAATTTCTAATATCAGGCTTTTTCTGCCTTGTCTCAGTAGGATCCGGTTTCCGTGGTTACATGTGTGTCTTACCTTCCACCACGTCAATCGCCACCAGTCCCACGGTGTTGGGCACGTTCACGTTGCTGGCGGTGTGCACGGCAATGGCTCCGCCCACGCCATGACCAATCAGAACCACAGGGGGCGGAGCTTCTCCATAACATGCACGCACCACACTGGCCACATCACTGAGGAAGAGGAAACATCACTGAGGAAGAGGAAGCATCACTGAGGAAGAGGAGACATCACTGAGGAAGAGGAGACATGACTGAGGAAGAGGAGACATCACTGAGGAAGAGGAGACATGACTGAGGAAGAGGAAGCATCACTGAGGAAGAGGAGACATCACTGAGAAAGAGAAGGCATCACTGAGGAAGAGGAAACATCACTGAGGAAGAGGAGACATCACTGAGGAAGAGGAGGCATCACTGAGGAAGAGGAGGCATCACTGAGGAAGAGGAAGCATAACTGAGGAAGAGGAGACATCACTGAGGAAGAGGAGACATCACTGAGGAAGAGGAGACATCACTGAGGAAGAGGAGGCATCACTGAGGAAGAGGAGACATCACTGAGGAAGAGGAAACATCACTGAGGAAGAGGAGGCATCACTGAGGAAGAGGAGGCATCACTGAGGAAGAGGAAGCATCACTGAGGAAGAGGAGGCATCACTGAGGAAGAGGAGGCATCACTGAGGAAGAGGAGACATCACTGAGGAAGAGGAGACATCACTGAGGAAGAGGAGGCATCACTGAGGAAGAGGAGACATCACTGAGGAAGAGGAAACATCACTGAGGAAGAGGAGGCATCACTGAGGAAGAGGAGGCATCACTGAGGAAGAGGAAGCATCACTGAGGAAGAGGAGGCATCACTGAGGAAGAGGAGGCATCACTGAGGAAGAGGAGACATCACTGAGGAAGAGGAAACATCACTGAGGAAGAGGAGGCATCACTGAGGAAGAGGAGGCATCACTGAGGAAGAGGAAGCATCACTGAGGAAGAGGAGGCATCACTGAGGAAGAGGAGGCATCACTGAGGAAGAGGAGGCATCACTGAGGAAGAGGAGACATCACTGAGGAAGAGGAGGCATCACTGAGGAAGAGGAGGCATCACTGAGGAAGAGGAGGCATCACTGAGGAAGAGGAGGCATCACTGAGGAAGAGGAGGCATCACTGAGGAAGAGGAGGCATCACTGAGGAAGAGGAGGCATCACTGAGGAAGAGGAGGCATCACTGAGGAAGCGGAGGCATCACTGAGGAAGCGGAGGCATCACTGAGGAAGCGGAGGCATCACTGAGGAAGCGGAGGCATCACTGAGGAAGAGGAGGCATCACTGAGGAAGCGGAGGCATCACTGAGGAAGCGGAGGCATCACTGAGGAAGCGGAGGCATCACTGAGGAAGCGGAGGCATCACTGAGGAAGAGGAGGCATCACTGAGGAAGAGGAGGCATCACTGAGGAAGAGGAGGCATCACTGAGGAAGAGGAGGCATCACTGAGGAAGAGGAGGCATCACTGAGGAAGCGGAGGCATCACTGAGGAAGAGGAGGCATCACTGAGGAAGAGGAGGCATCACTGAGGAAGAGGAGGCATCACTGAGGAAGAGGAGGCATCACTGAGGAAGAGGAGGCATCACTGAGGAAGAGGAGGCATCACTGAGGAAGAGGAGGCATCACTGAGGAAGAGGAGGCATCACTGAGGAAGAGGAGGCATCACTGAGGAAGAGGAGGCATCACTGAGGAAGAGGAGGCATCACTGAGGAAGAGGAGGCATCACTGAGGAAGAGGAGGCATCACTGAGGAAGAGGAGGCATCACTGAGGAAGAGGAGGCATCACTGAGGAAGAGGAGGCATCACTGAGGAAGAGGAGGCATCACTGAGGAAGAGGAAGCATCACTGAGGAAGAGGAGACATCACCACTTGAGAGAAACCTAATAAACTTCCAGAGTTTATCGGAGGATTTTCCCAAATTTCAAGTAAGAACCTTCCTCTCCACTTTTTGAACAAAACTCTCTGGTCTTATTTGACGAGCATGTATCACCAGAATGATTGACAGTTGGGAGGACCAATCGTCTTGATGATCCACTCAGAAGTAGAAAATCCTCCTTTACCTTTAACATTTATGAACACTGGACATCCACCTCTTATGGACCAATGGCTCTGTGTTTTTAATCTTTGCATTTCTTGTTTTTAAACTGTTTGAACGGTTTGATTCTCTGTTTTTTGTTGGCGAATTGACAACTTTGTAAAGTCCTCCGTGATAACCGCTGTTGTGATTTAGGGCTATATGAGTCTCTGCTACAGACCTGGACATGGTGCTGGTGGAGAAGTCTCCGGCCTGACGCACATCAGTGGCTCCTGGAACATGGAACACAAGGTTATAACAGTTCATTCTAGCTCCTCCCCCTGACCCTGGGCGCGCTAAAACCTGAAATGTTGAAATAAAGCTGGGGTACATAACTTTAGCTTCATGTAGTCGGGGCTAAAACATGCTGCCTTCATCTAACAAGAAAACATTTTATTTTTTTGCGTTAAGAGCCCTGGGAGTCACTGATTGGCTGAGTGAGGGTTTTTCTCTCTTCTTCACTTTTCTGCCTGATAAAGCTGATCTAAAGATGTGACTGAGCCCAAAAATAAGTGTATTTGAAAACTAGACCAGACCCAAACCAGACCCATGCAGACCCAGACCTCTGACCCATTCTATCACAGATGTCTATTGTTATGGTCTGAAAGATATGTACACCAGCTTGAATGTCTTGTATTGTGGCTTTGAAGTTACATACCCCAGCTTTAAGCCCTTTAGGGAGTGGATGTTTTGAACTAAACCTCTCTCTAGCGCCCCCTGTGACCCACCGTGGCCGCGCAGGTCCATGGCCAGCACCCGGCACGTCACCCGGCGGAGGACGGCGGCCTGAAAAAAAAAATAGTGCAATTATTCGTTTTTTTTAAACAAAAATTGTTTAAGTTCCACAAACACACAACAAAAGTTTATGGTTAAAGCTGCACTAACTGACTTTGGGATTTTGAAGCCGTGGACTCGCTGGCCTCTCTCTTTCTGCTCCCCTCCCCGCACCCACGAAGCTATCTCCCCCCACACACACCCACTGTTGGGACGGAGCTAGTGTCTCTGGTGTGTCTCTGGTCTCTCTCTCTTTGGTCTCTCAGAGGGACCACAGAGAGAGACCAGAGAGAAAGACCAGAGAGAAAGACCAGAGAGAGAGACCTGAGAGAGACCAAAGAGAGAGAGACCAGAGAGAGACCAGAGAGAGACCAGAGAGAGACCAGAGAGAGAGACCGGAGAGAGATCCGAGAGAGAGACCAGAGAAAGACCAAAGAGACCAGAGAGAGGGACCAGAGAGAGAGACCAGAGAGAGACCAGTCCCTCTCTCTGGTCTCTCTCTCTGGTCTCTTTTTGGTCTCTCTCTGGTCGCTCTCTGGTCTCTCTCTGGTCTCTCTCTGGTCTCTCTCCGGTCTCTCTCTCTGGTCGCTCTCTGGTCTCTCTCTGGTCTCTCTCTGGTCTCTCTCTCTCTGGTCTCTCTCTGGTCTCTTTCTCTGGTTGTCTTCAAATGTAACTTTTTCCAATCAGAACTCAGGATACAGTGCCTTGCGAAAGTATTCGGGCCACTTGAACCTTTCAACATTTCGCCATATTTCAGGCTTCAAACATAAAGATACAACATTTTAATTTTTTGTCATGAATCAACAAGTGGGACACAATCGTGAAGTGGAATGAAATTTATTGGATATTTTAAACTTTTTTAACAAATAAAAAACTGAAAAGTGGGGCGTGCAATATTATTCGGCCCCTTTACTTTCAGTGCAGCAAACTCACTCCAGAAGTTCAGTGAGGATCTTTGAATGATCCAATGTTGTCCTAAATGACTGATGATGATAAATAGAATGCTCCTGTGTGTAATCAAGTCTCCGTATAAATGCATCTGCTCTTTGATAGTCTCAGGGTTCCGTTTAAAGCGCAGAGAGAACCATGAAGACAAAGGAACACACCAGGCAGGTCCGAGATACTGTTGTGGAGAAGTTTAAAGCCGGATTTGGATATAAAAAGATTTCCCAAGCTTTAAACATCTCAAGGAGCACTGTGCAAGCAATTATATTGAAATGGAAGGAGTATCAGACCACTGCAAATCTACCAAGACCCGGCCGTCCCTCCAAACTTTCATCTCAAACAAGGAGAAAAAAAAAAAAGAAAGATCAGAGATGCAGTCAAGAGGCCCATGATCACTCTGGATGAACTGCAGATGGTTGTTGATTCATGACAAAAAATTAAAATTTTATATCTTTATGTTTGAAGACTGAAATGTGGCGAAATGTTGAAAGGTTCAAGGGGGCGAATACTTTCGCAAGGCACTGTATACAGCATGTTTAATGTATTTCCTCTGAACGGCCCGGGTTTGTGGAGCTCACGGTGAAGACGGCCCAGGACAGTGCAGAGTGGCCCCCTCCGTGTAGCAGCACCAGCAGAGGCCCCTGGGAGCCCGAGCGGTAAACCCGGAACACGTCTCTGCTGTCAGCCGGTCCAACCACCACGTCCTCCATCTGCTCAAAGTACTCAGACCAGGAGACCGGGGAGTAGTCCAGCTCGCTGCCCACCTCCCTGCAGACAAGGAGGACATTCTTTACTCCCACCTCCCTGAGAGAAAGAGAGACTTTAAAGGAGACGTATGCTGCCTTATATTTGTCCATTATAATTGATCATTTACACATTTATTGTAATGTTTCATGTTCAGTTGTAGCTACGGCTTCATGTTTAGGCTCACTGTCCTGATGGAAGGGGAACATCCACCAGTCATCAACTCTTCTCTGCTCCTGCTGAAGAAAAGCAGCCCAACAACATGTGTCCCCCACTCACCCACAAGGTCATGTTCGTCACACTGTCTGTCAGTCAATCTGTCTGTTTGTCTCTCTGTCTGTCTGTTTGCCTCTCCCTGTCTGTCTGTCTGTCAGTATATCTGTTTGTCTGTCTGTGTGTTTGTTTGTCTGTCGAGCTGTGTGTTTGTCGTGCTGTCTGTCTGTCGTGCTGCCTGTCTGTCGAGCTGTCTGTCTGTCCGTCTGTCAGTTGAGCTGTCTGTCTCTCGAGCTGTCTGTCTGTCGTGCTGTCTGCCTGCCTGTCTGTCTGTCTGTCTGTCGAGCTGTCTGTGTGTCTGTCCTGCTGTCTGTCTGTCAGTTTGTTTCAATGTCTTGTCTGTCTGTTTGCCTTTCTCTGTCTGTGTGTTTGTTTGTCTGTCTGTCGTGCTGTCTGTCTGTCAGTGAGCAACATCACTCAAAAGGTTCTGCGAGGATTTAAATAAGATTATCCGCAAACTTGGGCAATGACCCAGTGTCTTGGTTAGACTCTGGAAGTGGCAATGGCCTGAGCCTTGTGTAGACTAGACCAGAGTGGTCTTACAAGGGAGGAGCTCGGAGTAGAGCCGCTTGTCGAGTCTCTGCTAAGGTCTTTTACCCTTTAGAACTGAAAACAGGTTAAGAGAAGAACAAGAACTTACTGCTCCTTGTCAAAGTTCTCCTCCCACATGGTTCCTCTGCCCGGATCTCGTGGCTGGGGTCTGTGGTTTCTCTGGTCTCTCTGGTCTCTCTGGTCTCTCTGGTCTCTCTGGTCTCGCTGGTCTCTCTGGTCTCTCTGGTCTCTCTGGTCTCTCTGGTCTCTCCGGTCTCTCCGGTCTCTCCGGTCTCTCCGGTCTCTCAGGTCTCTCAGGTCTCTCCGGTCACTCGGGTCTCAGCCTAAGCCCTATTCTGATCTCCCAACACTTCGTAGCCGCAGTCGCCTCGTCAGAAATGATGAAGCACAAAAGGCGACAGCTGCAGATGACAGGAGCCTCGTCATCCTGCGCTCTCATTGGTCCAGAGCTGTTGGAGATGAGTGCTTTATCTTGCTCTCTGATTGGTCGAGAGCTGAGATGTCCACGTGTCCATGACTCCGGGGATTTATTTATATGTCGCACCATTGTTCAAATATAACATCATGCTCCTGGACAATTTAAAGCTAGGGTATGTAACATTAAATATTTCAGACCACAAAAATAGAACTCTAACAATACGAATAAGAAAACTTTATTGTCCACCAAGGTGGAAAATTGTTTTTAGTTATCACCTTAAAATACATAAAAGACACACATCCAGCAAAATATCATGTGGCACTACATTCACAGAACAATTGGAAAAACAAACCAACAAGGCCACCTCCGGCCAAAGACAAGAGTCAACCTCAGGACTGCTCACAGCCGAACAGTGTTTGACGCTTTCACTGTTCTGGGCACAAAGGAGTTTTTAAAAATGTTTTTTTTTGGCTGATATCACTCGATATCTCCGTCCTGACGGCAGAAGTTCAAACTTTGGGTTTAGTAAATGTGAAGCATCATTAATGATGAGCTCAGTCTTCTTTCCAAAGCGCTCCTTGAACAAACAGTGGAGAGATCTTTGTGGCTGCCCAATGATCTTCGAGCTCTGGTTCACGATCCTTTGGAGTTTGTTTTGATCCAATCCAAGGCTCTAGTTCCACATGCATGCATTTTTGGTCTTTAACGCATCTTTAAATCAGCTTTTACAAATTGAAAAAGAGAGGACTACCCTCTCTCAACCAATCAGCTCTCTGCCCAAAGAGTCCAATAGTGACTCAAAGGGCTCTTTCTTACACAAAGATAACATATTTTCCAATAAGAAGGAGGCAGCATGTTGGTTTCTGTTGGACAAATGCATTTAGATGTGTCTGAGACTAAAGTTACATACACTACCTTTAAAGTGCCACAGGGGCCAGGGTGGTTGCCGTGGAGATGTCAGGCTCACCTGTTCTCTAGAGGGACAGTGCTGCATCCACACAAACACACAGCGTTTCTCACTTCTGCTGGAAAAGCTTTATTTTAAACATCATTCTTCAGGACCGTTGTAACAGACAGACTTTGGTGGAGAAGGACTAAAGCTATGGATAAATGATACGTCAACTGTTGTTTTGAATACAAACCTGTGATCTACACTTAGAGTGCAGTCCTTTTGTTTCTGTAAATTGAATTCAAAATAAGGATTCCTCAAAAAATGGGCATATTGCTGCTAATCTATGTTTTGCTGCAGTAAGCTACAGAGACTAATGATGTAAGTATGAAATTGAAACCACAGCACAATTTTTTTGGAGTATTGACAGTGGAACATTAAACATTAGTTTATTACGTGTTAGTGTGGTTCAATATGAACACCAGCATTAACGACAAACTCTCCAGTTTCCTCAATCAGTCAATTAATGACGACATGACGTCTGCTGCTGTGGATAAGTGTGTGGGCAACAGATGCAGAAACACTGACCACAGCCTCCCTCAAAGGCAGTGATGTAATGGTGCAGGGGTGGCCAACCCGCGGCTCGTGAGCCATGTTGCTCCATGTGGCTCTCGGGCTTTCACTCGACAAGCGTCAAAAACGCCTCTGATGGCGCTGCCAATCATGTGGCTCTGATCAAAGTAGTAAATGCTGACTTCTGCCAGAGCTGTCTTGTGACAGCACTGATCCAAGTCAAGCTACAGTGACCCTGCAGCCCAGGTCCTACTGCAAGAACTTTCACTGCTTCTCTTAGAGTGACATAGGCTTGAGTTGGATGAGGGAATCTTGTACCGGAGGAGACAAGATGAAGTTTCTCTTCAGTTAATCCCTTCTGATGAGTCTGCATCACGACATGCCTTGCCCCAAAAGCTGTGGTAGGTGTGTCAGAGACGCAAAGCACTAGTGGAAAGAGCTGCTCCACTAGTGAACCTCAAACCACTTGTTGTCCACTTGAACTCCTTTGATTCTGCTTCCTCTCACTTGAACCAGACAGTCATAAGACACAGGAAGTTTCAGTTCTATATGTTGCACCATTGTTCAAATATAACATCGTCATCTACAGCCTCAGTCCTGGATCTACAGCCTCAGTCCTGGATCTACAGCCTCAGTCCTGGATCTACAGCCTCAGTCCTGGATCTACAGCCTCAGATCTGATGTACAGCCTCAGTCCTGGGTCTACAGTCTCAGTCCTGGGTCTACAGTCTCAGTCCTGATCTACAGCCTCAACCCTGGTTTTCCCATTTCCCTATGGACCTATGGCTCATGTGTTTGTTACAATTGAATTTGCTGTGTTCAAACTGTCTTTAATCTGTTGTTAGTGAATCTCTAACTTTGCAAAGTCCTCTAAGCCAACTGCTGTTTTGATTTAGGGCTGTATTTTTTGTTATTGAATTGAATTGAACACAAGATCTCAGGACACAGACTCGTCACACTTCACTTTATTAAAATGTCATGTAAGTAAGTAATGTTTATTCATATAGCCCATTTTACAGACCAAGGTCAACCAAAGCCAGTTCTTATTTTGTTCCATTCTCTGCACACGGTGATGACTGAAGCGAGAGGCCGTACACACTGGACCATCAAAGCCTCCAGACAACAACGTCCATTCAATCACTCGTTACATTTAGACCTATTGTAAATTATTTGTGACGTTAGTGATGTATTTGCCGACTTGTGCAGAGAGGAAGCTTCAGTCCTTCTCGCCTCGCGCTGTAACAGACAGAACAAGAGTTGCGTAATTGTGAGAGAAAAAACCACATTCAGTGTCAGTGAATTGCAAGAGTGATTTAATTATTGAGAAGGAGTGCACTAAGAACATGACGCTCAAAAGGAGAAAGGAATATTTAATGCCTCTTTCTTTATCGACTAAAGAACAGTAAAAATGTAAAGGAGTAGTTTTTACTCCCATCTAGCGTTGAGATCATAGATTGTAAGTCTACTACTTTCTTTTTATTGTGAAAAAATAGACATACAATACAAGTGCAGACGTACGGACAAAAACAACAAGACAGACAACAGTGTGGATATTTACATGTGTGTGTACAGAGGTGTGTGTGTGTGTACAGTGGTGTGTGTGTGTGTACAGTGGTGTGTGTGTGTGTCCACTCATCTCCCTCATTGCCCCGATTTTCCCTTCTTCTTTGTGTCCCAGTTTGCATACCTGTGTCTACAGTGGTGCATTAAAAGGACACTATGAGAGGTTGTCCACTTGGTGCAGGGGTTCTGTCCAAGAGCATCTCCCATGTCTCCTGTATCCCAGCCTTTTTTGTTTGTTTTTGTTTTGTGTTTTTATGTATTATCGTTATCATTATTATTATTTCCCCTGTTTATTCCTATGCTTGAGTTATTTAGTTGTAAGTCTACTTCTACCACCAACACTACAGAAGCCTCCGAGGACCATATGACAGTGGTCCCCAACACCCGGTACTTCACTGGACCACTAACCCACTAAGCAAGCCGACGTTGAATCAACGTAATTTGAACGTCGTTGTCCGACGTAGAATATAGGTCACTGGTGGGTGCAGAATGAAAGTTTTCTCGACGTCGTTTCCCGACGTCACCTCAACCTCCAAATGTTACGTTGATGGCAGGTCAATTCAAGGTTTGAATGTGGTACGGAACCGGTCGGGTCTGACGTCCTATCAACGTCTCATATGACCAAAATATTCACGTTTATATGACGTTCGTTTTCAGTCGTTCCCACTAAGCAAGCAGATGTCAAAACTATGTCATTTCAACGTCATCTGGACGTTCATTCAAGGTTGCAATGTGGTACAGAACCGGTCGGGTCCGATGTCCTATCAACGTCTTATATGACCAAAATATTGCCTTCATATGACGTTCGTTTTCCGTTGTTCCCACTAAGCAAGCAGATGTCAATACAACGTAATTTCAACGTCATCTGGACGTTCATTCAAGGTTGCAATGTGGTACAGAACCGGTCGGGTCCGACGTCCTCTCGACGTCTTATATGACCAAAATATTGACGTTTATATGACGTCCATTTACAGTCCTATTGACCTACTTAACCTCTGCAGAATCACTCACTGGTCGAGACATACTTTTTGCAATAGGCAAGGCAAGTTTATTTGTAGATGTGGCAACCGAGGGGTTAACAGATCGGAGAAATAATAATAAAAGATTTTAACGGTTGTAGCAACGCCACCCCAGACTTCCTGGGGAAATAATGTAGTGTAGATTGAAAGCACACAAGTAAGTGTATTGAAATACAAGGCAACCGGTTCCAGTTAATTCACAGTTTTATTCACGAGATATATTTAATGAACAATCAACTTTTTAAGACATTTAAGATTCTTTCACATTAAAAAGCGCTAATGTAGAAATAAAAAGGTTTAAACGAGTAAATTGCCTGAAATGTCCGCCTGACAGGCAAAACCCAGGGCAAAGAGTGTGCGCACGGGTCCGCGTCTCTGCTCGCCGTCTGAAGGGACACACCAGTGCGCAGCGCGCGACCTGGACCAGACGGGGAGGAGCAGGCAAAGTGGGACACAAAAACCGGCAACAGTAAAACAGCACTTTAGGCAGATACAAAATCAGCAGTAGACAAACAGCAGGAACAAAAACAGCAGGAGGCAAAACAGCAGGAGGCAAAACAGCAGGAGGCAAAACAGCAGGAGGCAAAATGTCAGTGCCACTGCAGACCTCTGAGGACACCGCTGAGGTGAGCAACTGCGCACGGTCCCGGCTTGAAAGGCCAAGGGATGGCGCATGGAGCAGGCTGCCTGATGGCACGGCCAGTCCTGCAGCGTGGCTGTAACACAGTGCACGGATGCGCGCACCAGAGTGGTGCAGAGCAGCGAGGAAATGCTGTATTTTGCAGTGATCAGACAGTGGCACTGGAGCTGGTGAACAGGCGGCCAACACAAGGGCCCGGAAGAGTGTGTGGGCAAAGAGGAATACAGCTGAGATTTGGGAGCGCTTTTATTGCCCACCGGGACAGCGCCACGGAGCGGCAGGTAAGAGCACACCAGCACAGGTCTCCAAAGCCCGTCTTACCACATTCTACCCCCCCAGTTTGCATCGTCGCCCCGACGATGGATATACTTCACCTAGTTCCATGGCCTGAAGAGTGTGCTTACGGCGCTAGAAGAAGAGGATGCAGCATCCTCTCCCCTGGCCGGAAGGTGTGATGACCTTGGGAGATGATGCAGGTTGGCATGCCGTCCAGCCGTGGAGCGAGTGGATCTACGCAAGCTCTCCTCCTGGCCAGGGGCGACAGTCGGTGCCACAGGCCTTCGTTGAACATTGGGCACCCCAGAAGGGGAAACCTGAGGGAGTCCCAACCCTGCCGGAACTGGGTGAGGCGGCTGTAAGGACGGAGTAGTAATCCGAGACACAGCATGCCGATCGGGAAGAGCGGAGGAAGTTTCCAGAGTAGGCTGAGTCCTTAAAAACAGGTCACCATCTAAGGACTCAAGAGAGGGTTCGTCACTTAATGGAGGCGGTTCACCAGAACCACCAGATGGACTACCGACAGCAGCGTCAGATGTGTCAAAGGTGACAAAGGCTTTAAGCAAAGAGCGATGTACCCGCTTAATCTGACTGGGGTCATCGACTGGCGCCACAGTGTATACGGAACCTTGTTCCTTTGGTACCTGCATAACCTGATAGGTGACCGAATTCCACAGGTCCTGAGTCTTCTGCCGACCACGGAAAGCACAGTTGCGCAGAAGCACAAGCTGACCCTCTATAAGGGGTGCATCTCGCACATGTCTATCGTAGTGGTTCTTTCGACGATAGGCTGAAGCCCTTAAGCGCTCCCGGGCCCCTTCGAAAGCTGCCTCTAGTCGTGCTTGGTGTTCGTGAACCCATTCACTAACGCTCCCTGCCACCGGTTCCCTCACCTGACCCAGAAAGAAATCAACGGGTAGCCGAGGTTCCTGCCCGAACATCAGGAAATAAGGGGATTCTCCTGTTGACTGGTGAGGGGTGGTGTTATATGCAAACAGGACCTCCGGCAAGCAAGAACTCCAGTCTCGTTTGCGCGAGGGTGGCAAGGCACGCAGCAGATTGTGAAGGGTCCTGTTAAAGCGCTCGCACTGCCCGTTACCAGCTGGATGATAGGGCGTAGTGCGAGACTTTATGACCCCATACAGACTGCACAGCTGTTGGATTAAAGCACTTTCAAAGTTACGGCCCTGGTCCGAGTGGATGCGAGCGGGGACGCCCAGCTTCATGAACCACTCAGCAACCAGAACCTGAGCCACTGTGGAGGCCCGTTGATCTCTGGTGGGAATGGCCAAGGTATATTTACTAAAAACATCGGTCATCACCAGGACATTTTCCAAGCCAGTTGGGGTAGGCTCTAATAAGGTGAAATCGATGGCAACGATTTCATTTGGCCGAGAGGCCAACAGGTGCCCCAAGTAGCTGTGAGGGGCGGGCTGGTTGTTCTTAGCGAACTGGCACTGCTCACAGGCCTGGCACCACCGAGCTACCTCTCGGGACATCCCAGGCCAGTAGCAGCGAGTTTGCAGCAAGGCCAGGGTCCTGTCCACTCCCTGGTGGCCATGTTCTTGGTGCACCTGCTTTAGGACATCCTGGACCAAAGCCTTGGGCAGCAGAACCTGGTGTACGGCACCACCACCATCCGAACGAAATACCTGTCGGTACAGAAGCCCGTCCAGTTCCACTAAACGGTCCCACTGTCTGAGCAGGGCAGTGACGTTGCCCGGCATGGCGCAGCCGGGGCCCCACCCTGGAGCCAGGCCTGGGGTCGGGGCTCGTATGCGAGCGCCTGCCTGGTAGCCGGGCCTTAGCCCACAGGGCCCGGCCGGGCTCAGCCCGAAGGGATGACGTGGGCAGTCCCTCCTGTGGGCCCACCACCTGCAGAGGGGTCCGTGGTGGCGCGGTGCTGAGAGGACTGGGCGGCAGTCGAAGGCGGAGACCTCGGCGACCCAGTCCACACACACAACATCTGGCTCTTGGGACGTGGAACGTCACCTCACTGGGGGGGAAGGAGCCCGAGCTCGTGGGGGAGGTTGAGCGATACCAACTAGAGGTAGTCGGCCTCACCTCCACACACAGCTTGGGCTCTCGAACCCAACTCCTTAGAGGGGTTGGACGCTCCACTTTTCTGGTGTTTCCCGCGGGGAGAGGCGGCGAGCTGGGGTGGCCATTCTCATTGCCCCCCATCTCAGCCGCCACGTGTTGGAGTTCTCCCCGGTGAATGAGAGGGTCGCGTCCCTCCGCCTCCGGGTGGGGGACAAGTCTCTCATTGTTGTGACGGCCTTCGGGCCTAAGGGCAGTGCAGAGTACCCAGCCTTCCTGGAGTCCTTGGGAGGGGTACTGGACGGTGCACCGCCCGGGGACTTCGTTTTTCTCCTGGGGGACTTCAATGCCCATGTGGGAAACGCCAGTGACACTTGGAGAGGGGTGATCGGGAAGAACGGCCCCCCTGATCTGAACCCGAGCGGTGTTCAGTTGTTGGACTTCTGTGCCAGTCACAGTTTGTCCATCACGAACACCATGTTCGAGCACAAGGGTGTCCACCAGTGCACGTGGCACCAGGACACCCTAGGCCGGAGGTCGATGATCGGCTTTGTTGTCGTATCATCTGACCTTCGACCGCGTGTCTCGGACACTCGGGTAAAGAGAGGGGCGGAGCTGTCAACCGATCATCACCTGGTCGTGAGTTGGATCCGCTGGCAGGGGAAGAAGCCGGTCAGACCTGGCAGACATACGCGTATAGTGAGGGTCTGCTGGGAACGTCTCGTTGAGCCCCCTGTCAGACGGACTTTCAATTCACACCTCCGGGAGAGCTTCTCCCAGGTCCCGGCGGAGGAGGGGGACATGGAGTCCGAGTGGACCATGTTCTCTGCCTCAATCGGCGATGCGGCGGCTCGTAGCTGTGGTTGCAAGGTCTCTGGTGCTGGTCCCGGCGGCAACCCCCGAACCCGGTGGTGGACACCGGCAGTAAGGGATGCTGTCAGGCTGAAGAAGGAGTCCTATCGAGCCATGATGGTTCGGGGGACTCCTGAGGCAGCTGTCCAGTACGGGCAGGCCAAGCGTGCCGCGGCCCGGGCTGTTGTAGAGGCAAAAACCCGGTACTGGGAGGAGTCCAGAGAGTCCATGGAGCATGACTATCGGTCGGCCTCGAAGAGATTCTGGCAAACCATCCGGCGCCCAAGGAGGGAAAGCAGTTCTTTGCCAACACCATGTACGGTGCGGGTGGAGAGCTGCTGACCTCGACTGGGGATATTGTCGGGCGGTGGAAGGAATACTTTGAGGTTCTCCTCAATCCCCCCGTCACGTCCTCCGTTACAGAGGCAGAGGTTGAGGATGTTGGGGCAGATACATCCATCTCCCTGGCAGAGGTCACCAAGGTGGTTGGCGGCCGACATGGTGGCAAGGCTCCGGGTGTGGATGAGATCCGTCTTGATTATCTAAAGTCTCTGGATGTTGTAGGACTGTGTTGGCTGACACGTCTCTGCAACATCGCGTGGCGATCGGGGGCAGTACCAATGGAGTGGCAGACCGGGGTGGTGGTCCCTCTCTACAAGAAGGGGGACCGGAGGGTGTGTTCCAATTATCGTGGGATCACACTCCTCAGCCTCCCCGGTAAGGTCTACTCCAAGGTACTGGAGAGGAGGCTACGGCCGATGGTCGAATCTCGGATTCAGGAGGAGCAGTGTGGTTTTCGTCCCGGTCGCGGAACACTGGACCAGCTCTATACTCTCCATCAGATACTCGAGGGTTCATGGGAGTTTGCCCAACCTGTCCACATGTGCTTTGTGGATTTGGAGAAGGCGTTCGACTGTGTTCCCCGGGATGTCCTTTGGGGGGTTCTCCGGGAGTACGGGGTCGGAGGTCCTCTGCTGAGGGCCATCCGATCCCTGTATGACCGGAGGCAGAGCTGTGTTCGCATTGCCGGCAGTAAGTCAGACCTGTTCCCGGTTAATGTTGGCCTCCGACAGGGCTGCCCGGTTCTGTTCACTGTGTTTATGGACAGAATTTCTAGGCGCAGCCAGGGGTTGGAGGGGGTCCGGTTCGGAGACCACAGGATTTCATCTCTGCTGTTTACAGACAATGTTGTCCTGTTGGCTCCAACGAACCAGGACCTGCAGCATGCACTGGGGCGGTTTGCAGCCGAGTGTGAAGCGGCTGGGATGAGAATCAGCACCTCCAAATCCGAGGCCATGGTGCACAACCGGAAAAAGGTGCCTTGCCCTCTGCAGGTGGGTGGAGAGGTCCTTCCTCAAGTGGAGGAGTTCAAGTATCTCTGGGTCTTGTTCACGAGTGAGGAAAGAATGGAGCGTGAGATTGACAGGCGGATCGGTGCAGCGTGCGCAGTGATGCGGTCGCTGTATCGGACCGTTGTGGTAAAGAGGGAGCTGAGCCGAAAGGCAAAGCTCTCGATTTACCGGTCAATCTTCGTTCCCTCCCTCACCTATGGTCATGAGCTTTGGGTAATGACCGAAAGAACGAGATCGCGGATACAAGCGGTCGAAATGAGCTTCCTCTGCAGAGTGGCTGGGCGCTCCCTAAGAGATAGGGTGAGGAGCTCAGTCACACGGGAGGAGCTCGGAGTAGAGCCGCTGCTTCTCCACGTTGAGAGGAACCAGTTGAGGTGGCTCGGGCATCTCTTCCGGATGCCCCCTGGACGCCTCCCTGGGGAGGTGTTCCGGGCACGTCCCACCGGGAGGAGGCCCCGGGGAAGACAAGGACACGCTGGAGGGACTATGTCTCCCAGCTGGCCTGGGAACGCCTTGGGGTTGGAGCTGGAGGAAGTGTGTGTGGATAGGGAAGTCTGGCCGTCTCTGCTTAGACTGCTGCCCCCGCGACCCGGCAACGGATAAAGCGGAAGAAAATGGATGGATGGATGGATGTCCAAAGTCAAATACAATGTATTTGTCAAAATACAAAAATATGTATAAAAAAATAAATAAAAAAGAAAAGAAAACCACTTTTATACTTTTGGCCACAACCAGCTGTTATGTTTTTTTTAAGCTTGGGCTCCGCCCAAATAGAGAATCTCTAATATTCCATATCTATATAAATCTTATGTAAATATTGTTTTGCATTGTTTCTGTATAATGTAATTGGTCACTTCTTTGCTTGATGCTTCCGAATAAAGATGATGAAAATAATAAAAAAAAGAGCCAATATGTCCTGTGCTCGGTGTCGGTCCATGTTGTATTTCATCAGAGCCAAAATGTCCTGCACTCAGCTCCAGACTGCAGTCCCCCGCTCTTCCTCCAGGTGGCAGTGTGCTCTGGGCTTTCATGTTCCTGATGTGTTTCAGTGTGAAGAGCGGTCAGATCCGGAACCTTGAGTCGGCTCGGGTCTCGATGACCGGACAGGTTAAAAGGTAAGATCAGTTTTGTGTTTGGGGCGGCCGAGGGCACAGATCAGCAGTCTCTGACTGTGCTAGGGCAGCTGTGGCTACAGGGGAACCTTCCAAGACTTCATGGAGAGAGTTGTTTCATAATGGAAAATTATAGCCAAGCCAAACAAACCATATGTAAAAACTATGTATTCATTGTCAAGTTTTGAAAGTTACGTAGCCCAGCTTTAAAGTCACATGCTTCACAGTCCTGGTTGGTCTGGTTTGGTCCTGTTTGGTTTTGTTTAGTCCTGTTTGGTCCTGTTTGGTCTTAGTTGCTCACTTACCCACTGAACTGCTGCAATTTGCATCAGAGAAGTGTGAACTTGTGTGAGATATGTCTTTCCCTAAACAACGAGATCCGTAGCTGCAAGCTACAGTAGCAGAATGTAAACAGGATAAGAAACGGAGACTCAACTCAGACAACGAGGTCGTCGCTGGAGTTTGTATTAGCGCCGCCAACTAGACTGAGCGTTGTACTACAGCAAAGTTGCTCTGGCACGTTTGCGAATACACATTCATTTTCATCGTATTTATTTTTGCACCGTGGAACGTTTCTCACTGGAATTTTTAGGCAATATCCACATGTAGCCTGGTATTTTTTAAACCCCCCCCCCCCCCCCCCCCCCTTTAAAAAATAATTTGCATCCACACATAACCGAACATCTGCGTTTTCAATCACATTCATAACATTCCAACCATTTGCGTCTCTGACGTCCTGCGTTGGGGAACAACACAGAAGTGGGCGAAGCTTTGATGCTGACGCCGGTACTTCTGTAGCAGCACTTTTACAATCTCAGAACGACAGTCGTGGTTTAGTCCTGGTTTAGTCCTGGTTTAATCCTGGTTTAGTCCTGGTTTAGCTCCTGTTTTGGTTGTTTTGGAGCGTGTGTCCCCGTGATCACTTTGTCACACATATTGTGACGTGCAAAAAAGCAAAACTCCGGTTATTTCTGTCTACACGCAAATGCATGAATAGAGTTTTATATGTATTATATGTATTAATCAATTACAAAGCCTCTAATTAATGAGATTTTTTTTTATTGAGTCCCAGCACTAAAACATCTACAAAAATGTCTTCAGTTTACTATATACAAGTGCCCTAGGTGCACAAAATAGACCCTTTAGGGCGCAGTAAAGTGGCAGTAGCATAAACTGACGGTCATAAGGGCAGAGGTCAGTGATGGTTTATAAAGTGTTCAAGAGTCCAACAGCAGAGGGAAAGAAACTGTCCTTGTGGCGGGAGGTTCTAGTCCTGATGGGCCGCAGTCTCCTGCCTGAGGGGAGTGGTTGGAATAGTCCATGTGCAGGGTGAGAGGGGTCGGCTGTGATACGACCAGCCCGGCCTCGAGCTCGGGCGACATACAGGTCCTGCAGCGATGGAAGGCTGCGGCCGATCACTTCCTCTGCAGAGCGCACAATGCACTGTAGTCTCTGTTTGTCCCTGACTGTGGCTCCAGCGAACCACACGGTGATGGAGGAGGTGATGGAGGAGGTGATGGAGGAGGTGAGGATGGACTCGATGATGGCCGTGTAGAACTGCACCAAAATCTGTGCAGGCAGCTTGGCTTTCCTGAGCTGCCGCAGGAAGTACATCCTCTGCTGGGCCTTCTTGATGAGGGAGCTGATGGTCGGCTCCCACTTGAGGTACTGGGTGATGGCGTGGACTCTTCCTGAAGTCCACAATCATCTCTACTGTCTTCTGGGCGTTCAGCTCCAGGTTGTCACCACTGCACCAGGACACCAGCCGGTCCACCTCCCTCTTGTAGACGGACTCATTGTTGTTGGAGATGAGTCCAATGAGGGTGGTATCGTCCACGAACAGGACCCTGTCATAGGTCCCTGGGGAGTCCAGGTATAGGATGTGGTGGAGGCCAGGTTAATGGTGTCGTCTACAGATCTGTTGGCTCTGGAGGGGAACCTGGGAGGGGAGGTGAAGGACTTGAGATGGGAGAGGACCAGGCGCTCAAATGACTTCATGACTACAGATGTCAGTACCACAGGTCTGTAGTCATTAAGTCCTGTGATGGACTTAATGGGCGGCACGGTGGCTGAGTGGATAGCACTCCTGCTTCAAAATGGGGTCTTTCTTTGTGGGGTTTGCATGTTCTCCCCATGTCTGCGTAGGTTTCCTCCGGGAACTCCGGTTTCCCCTACCACTAAAAACATGCACCACGAGGTAAAATCCTCCAGCTCTGGTAGTCCTGACCAAGCCAAGCATCAACATCTGGAGTTGGGTTCCCGGGCGCCGTACCGCCGTTCCTGACGTAAGCCATAGTGGCATCAGGATGGGTCAAATGCAGAGGAGGAATTGCCCTATGGGGATTAATAAAGTGCACCTTTACCTTTACCTTAGTGATCCTGGTCTTCTTTGGGGCAGGGACTATGATGGAGGATTTGAAACAGGCCGGGCTATGGCAAGACTCCAGAGAGGTGTCGAAAATGTCAGTGAAGACAGGAGTTAGCCACTGGCACAGTGTCTCAGAGTGGCAGGTGAGACACGATCTGGACCGGGGGCTTTAGGGGGTTGCAGCCTCAAGAAGAGTCGTTTGATATCTTCTGAAGCAATTGTCAGGGTGGGGGCAGAGCTGATGTGTGGGTCGTTGGAGCAGTGGGAGGGTGGGGTAGGTGTCCGGGGCGGCGTCACAGCGGCTTAACAACCGGTTCAGCTGGTCAGCCAGCTTGTGATCGTCAGCACAGAGGGGGGCTTTGGGCTTGTAGTCTGTGATCTACCGCATGGCCCTCCAGACAGAGGCATTGTTGTTGACTTGATATTTAGCTGCTTTGTAGCCGCTTTCTGAGCTGCCGGAGTTTAGCAGTGAACCAGGGTTTGTCGTTGTTATAGATGACCCTGGTCCTTGTCGGAATAATGCTATCCTTGTAGAAGTGAATGTATGACGTCACTGTGTCCGTGTAGTTGTCAAAACTATCTGTGGCAGCTCTGAAAATGTCCCAGTCCATGGATTCCATGCTTGAGCGCAGCTCCCCCACAGCCTCATCAGAACACACCTGTGGTCTGAATATGAGTGTGAATAAGATTGTTTTAGTGCAATGAGAGTTTAATGATTTTATGTTTTAAACATTTCTGATCTTTTTAATGTTTTGTAGCACTTTGTTTTTGTCTACGGTCACTCACTGGCTTCAGCCGTTGTACAATTTCTAGTTGTTTGTGTTCTTTGCAGATGTGACACTGAGGAAAGCACCTCGCCAGACCCGGACTCTGCCCCGGACTCGGCCCCAGACTCAGCCCCTGGCTCGGCCCCAGGCTCTGCCCCAGGCTCGGCCCCAGGCTCGGCCCCAGACTCGGCCCCAGACTCCAGCCCAGTCCCTGAGCCAAATCAGCAGATCTTAGACCAAACGTTTCCACAGAATCAAGAGGAAGGAGAAGACAACAGCAGCAGTGCCGGGGAGAGCCAAGATCAGGTCTGAGAGGGTTCTAATACCAGGTCTGAGACCAAGACCAGGTCTACGATCAAGACCAGGCCTGAGATCAAGACCAGGTCTGAGAGGGCCCTAAAACTAGTCTGAAACCAGTGATTCTGATTCTATGTCCTCTTATGGTTCTATATTCTCCTGTGGTTCTAAGTTCTCTGTGGTACTAAGTTCTCCTGTGGTGGTTCTAAGTTCTCCTGTGGTGGTTCTAAGTTCTCCTGTGTTCCAGGCCGTGTTCCGCTGGAGGATCGATCTGTCAAAGTCGGAGAAGTACTGGGACGGCTGGTTCAGAGGAACATCTCATCTGTTCCTGAGCTGTGAGCTGCCCAAGCTACTGCTGCTGGCCGGTACCTGCAGGGGGCGCCATACTTCACTATTAGAGCAACACCAGGGGGCGCCATACTTCACTATTAGAGCAACTCCAGGGGCGCCAGGGTTAAACATTAGAGCAGTGTTTTTCAACCACTATGATATTGTCTGGTGTGCCGTGAGAAATTCGTCTACTTTGTCTAAAAATAACTGCATTCGCTGTTGACGAGCGGTGACTTGTTTTGAACTGTGGAGTAACCATGTAATACTTTTTCAAATCAGTAGATGGCAGCAGATAGCTAAGTACTTTGAAACTGAAAAATTGGATGCGACCACTGGCTGTAACAGGTCAGCATTTTGGCGAGAAAGGTAAAATTGGATGCGACCAACAAATGTGGGAGGGAGTGAGACAAGAGCTTTGTGGCGAGTGAGAAGTGAAAGTGATAGAGACGTTTTTGAAAATGAATTATGCCGTTTCTGAACAGGATTAACATCCTCCGCTCTGCCCCGGGGCAGCTGTGGCCGCGTTGTAGTGGTTTAACTGTGAAATGTAAAATTTTTGTACAACAGCTCTCGCGAACGCACTTCTGAACTGGGTACTGAGCGCAGACCATAGTCGAGTGGACAGAACCACAGACATGCGGACCGGACAGAACCATGGACTCGCGTTCAGGACCTCCCGTGTCCCTCATCCAAAACTCCTGAATTTAAAGCTCGGATACCTAAATTTTTCCCATGCACTAACAATGCATGTTCTTTGTGTGAGTTATTATTTGACTATTTGGGCAGAGAGTGGATTTTCTTAGTTTTTTTCCACACAGTTAGTGCCACTTTATTCCCAAACTCTTGTTAATTGTATCGAGAAATATTAAATAAAGCTTAATGTCAAGGCCTGGACTTAAGCATTTTGATGAGAATAACTGTATATTGTGAATATAGGCTACAGAGTATACTGTATACATTATAAGATAAGATAAGATATACTTTATATATCACACAGAGTATGTACAGTATATATTTTTACATTAGTACTGTATACATTTTTACATTTTCTCCTGGAGGTGTGCCGCAAGATTTTTTCAGTGAAAAAAGTGTGCCTTGGCTCAAAAAAGGTTGAAAAACACTGCATTAGAGTACCACCAGGTGATAAACAGCTACTGTAGTCCCAGCTGCCCTGGGGCATACTGACATAAGTGAGGCAGCCAATATGTGCCGTCAGCCCCTCCGATCACCACTAACCATCCACACACACCAGACTCATTCTACAGTTTGGCACTTTACATCCAATACGTCATTTACGTCACTCTGTTTAACACCGAGGAACAGGAAAAAGAGAGTGTGAACTTTAAACTTTACAGAGTGTGAACTTTAAAAATCAAACTGGAATGTCCCACCTCTACCACCGTATGTGAGTGTTGCTCATACTGGTCATGTCATACTGTACTATCCATGTGTTTCTGCTTTCAGACAGAGTCTGAAGCAATTTAAGTGATTAGTTTACTAATCACTCATATTTCACTGTTATCACTGTTTTTTTATCATAATCACTGTTTTTTCAGGAATCGATCGATTGGACCGAGATCTGACCATCGGCCAGATGCAAGGTACAGGCTCTGGTTGTCACAGCATCTGTGGCTCTGACCGTCACACTCAGGCTCTGGTCGCCACAGCGACTGACGCTCTGGTCGCCAGGGCATCATCATCACAGCAACTGACCTTCTATCTGACACGTTGAAACAAACACATCTATTTTTCTGCTTTAATATTGTTGTTTGTATGTTCAGGTAAATTCATGATGCAGGTGCTGCCCCCCTGTGGCCACGCTGTGCAGGAGGACCGACCAGAAAAAGTGAGGCACCTCAGGTTTATATCAATACAGTAAAGCTCAATGATTTTAAGGAAGTGCTCATGGTGAAGTCTCTGTGTTGAAAACCATAAAAGCTCTCATGTTTACACCTCACATTTTTAACGCCTCGGCCGTTTCACTGATGGGGCTCAAAATCCTCCACATCACCTAAAGAAGTGCAGCATTATTACAAGTTAACAGCAGAAGTTTGATGTTAATGTTGTTCACGCGCCACAAGTTGTAGTTATTCTGACACAGAGTGCACATGGTAATGTTCATTTTCTATTATAAAAAATTATTTTTCTATTTTTGGTTTTTTCAGCAATCCCTCCTTTGGGAAATAGTCTTTGGAAATCCAAATATGAGTCATAATTACTGTCCAATCAGGGGTCAACCCTGTCGACCATATAAGAAATTTGGCTTCAAGATGGCTGCTGTTCAAATCACTACGTCACTCATCCACTCTACGGCCTGTGGTTAACCCTTGTGCCTCAGTGAATAAACATATGCTTAATGGTCCAAAGGGGTCTGTAGGACCCAGGGCTGGTCGGGTTAGGAACAGTAATTCAAGGAACGGATTTAGGGTATTTTTTAATCACTGTGGCAGAACAATTTGACCCGAGGATAGCACGCGGGTTAACATCTATGGCTCTAAAACAGTTTATATTACTAGTTCTACATGCTAGAGTTATTTCCAGTGTGCAATAGTCATGCACACTGTAAAAAACATGACTTGAATGAAAACAGTGTAACCATTATTAGAAAATTGTACTACGTTAAATAGTTTTATAAACTTCTTTACAGTGTATAGAACCATTTAGCTGTAAAATATTCGGCAATTAAGCCGGCCTATTTTGAGACCTGCTAAATCATGTTTTAGTAATAACATGAAGACGGCATGTTGTGGTCTGATTTATTCACAACATTTTACTTTCACAGAACGCTGTCTGTTGGACAAGTTACATATTCATGAGAGCCCAGCTTTATTACAGACCTTTGTGTTTTCAGGTGGCTGAAGCCGTGGCCTCCTTCCTCCTCCGACATAAATTTGCTGAAAGTTGCCAGTGAAGCCGGTCGTCGCCGTTTTCAGGACATTTCTCTGCCTTTAGACTCTGAGCTTTGTGGTTCTGATCCGACTGCTTCAGCTAAAAACATGATATAAACCTGTGTGTGAACTGAACCGACCATGTGACCTCCTGATGCTTAATAAATGCAAATATGATCTGTGTGAACTGTGCCCTCTGCTCTGTTTGCTCTGTTTGCTCTGTTTGGTCGTGCACAGCTCTGTGTATGACCAGGTGTATAGATGTATAGATGTCAGCAGCTGATACAGGCTGAACAGACACAAGACATTTACCTACAATATTTCATTTTTCAAGCGAACAGGGATTGAAGCAAAGAAATGTTATGATAATCCAATCCCTCCAAAGAGTATTTGGATTTTCTATCATAGGCTACTCAATCTCTGCTTTCGTTTTGCTTAATTGCTGTAATTTCTAGTTTTAAATAGTTCTATACACTGTTAAGTGTATAGAACTATTTAAGGCAAGGCAAGGCAAGTTTAATTATATAGCACAATTCATACACAAGACAATTCAAAGTGCTGAACAAAATAAGAAAGCATTAAAATCATAAATAATCACAGAACATTAAAAAGAAAGATAATTAAAGCTGCAAGCGGCGTCAAACGGCCCTCGCCGTACCGCGCAACCGAGGTGGCGCTGACGCGCCATTTTCCTACCGCCCTGATGGGAGCGACACTGTGCATTTAGAATTCCTATGATCAGTGATTGTGTGTCTCTATTGAAAAGGTAAAGCTCATTCTCCCCATGTAACACTTGAATCAGTCTCTAGGGGGCGCTAATGCTGCAATTTCATGATTCACATTATCAGTTTACTCAAACCCAAAAGTTGAACAATCAATTCAAATTTTGTGCAAATCGGACATTGTATGTGCAAATGGTGGCATTTAATGTTGTACAACAGCGCCCCCTACAATTTAAATGTTGTAGTCTTATACCAAAGAACACCAAAATAATACACTTTATGCCTGAAAAAAACTTGTGGCAAAGTTTGGTGAGTTTTTGTGTTTGTTCAGTGGGTCAAATATGAGATAAAACAACAGAAAACCTAAACACCTTTATCCCCATGTAAACCTTTACTCAGCCTGTAGGGGGCGCTAATGGGCAAAATGTAATTGTTCACACTGTCATGTGACCTGGGCCCAGGAGTTGAACAACCGAGTCAAGTTTAGTGCAAATCAGACTTTGTGAATGTGCTCCTGTTTGCACATACAATCTGTGAGTGTGTCCCATAGACTGTATATATTAACGGACAGAGTCACGCTTATCTCCGCCGTTCTAACTAATGGGCCAAAAAATGTGCTCTACTGGAGCAATCCAAAATGGCCGCGAGTGGTCCACACAAGAAAATTGTGAAAAAAGTTTTTGCGCATGCGTCAGCCGGCGCAGCTCCATTCATTTGAACGAGAGACTTCAAAGATTCACAGCAAGTAAACTAGAGTGGACCAAAGAAATCCACCCCCCTCAGCATTGACACACATGTGGAACGGAGCTTTGGGCCAAGAGCCGACTTTTGGACCATCCTGTAAAGACGTTTTTGAGAGGTCTGCCAATGCTATATGTTAGCATTGGCTAATTCTACTTCTGGTCCACCCCCATCGGCCCGGGGTGGTATTGCAAGCATGTCAGCGCACGTCATTTTGGCCACTTCTGAGCTGGGACCCTCCCCCACTGTGTGTCCATACTGTCTCAATTGGATAACATGGGAACTTCACACCTCTCTATGAAAATAACCACACTTTGAGAGTCTGTCACGCGCAGACCGTTTGACTAATTCAAATTATATATTCAACTATTGATGGTCCATGTGTTGATGATGTGGAGCAATTTTCAGACAAATTAATGAAACGGTCGCAGCTGGTTTGATGTTTGAGCGAGGTGTACTTTTCAGAGATATAATGATTTTCCCATAGACACAGACAGGGGAGTGTTGGTCGTCGCCACGGCAACAGGGTAAAAAATAATCATATGTTGTCATTGACTTTTTGAATCCAGATGACAAAACAGAATTATGTGCAAAATTTCAAACATTTTGAAAAAACTAATTTGGATTAGGCCCATGTAAAACTTTGACATAGTCTGTAGGGGGCGCTAATGAGCCAATTTCAATATTTCAACTTTCGCATGACCTGGACCCTGGAGCTGAACAATGGATTAAAATGTTGTGCAACTCAGACTTTGTTTGTGCAAATGGGAGCTCCGCTGCTCGGACAACGTTTAACTGATTCAAATTCTTTATTCAACTATTGATGGAACATGTGTTTAGACTAGTGTTTTTCAACCACTGTGCCGCGGCACACTAGTGTGCCGTATGATATTGTCTGGTGTGCCGTGAGAAATTTGTCTACTTTGTCTAAAAATAGCTGCATTCGCTGTTGACGAGCGGTGACTTGTTTTGAACTGTGAGTAACCATGTAATACTTTTTCAAATCAGTAGATGGCAGCAGATAGCTAAGTACTTTGAAACTGAAAAATTGGATGCGACCACTGGCTGTAACAGGTCAGCATTGTGGCGAGAAAGGTAAAATTGGATGCGACCAACAAATGTGGGAGGGAGCGAGACAAGAGCTTTGTGGCGAGTGAGAAGTGAAAGTGATAGAGACGTTTTTGAAAATGAATTATGCCGTTTCTGAACAGGATTAACATCCTCCGCTCTGCCCCGGGGCAGCTGTGGCCGCGTTGTAGTGGTTTAACTATGAAATGTACGATTTTTGTACAACAGCTCTCGCGAACGCACTTCTGAACTGGGTACCGAGCGCAGACCATAGTCGAGTGGACAGAACCACAGACATGCGGACCGGACAGAACCATGGACTCGCGTTCAGGACCTCCCGTGTCCCTCATCCAAAACTCCTGAATTTAAAGCTCGGATACCTAAATTTTTCCCATGCACTAACAATGCATGTTCTTTGTGTGAGTTATTATTTGACTATTTGGGCAGAGAGTGGATTTTCTTAGTTTTTTTCCACACAGTTAGTGCCACTTTATTCCCAAACTCTTGTTAATTGTATCGAGAAATATTAAATAAAGCTTAATTTCAAGGCCTGGACTTAAGCATTTTGATGAGAATAACTGTATATTGTGAATATAGGCTACAGAGTATACTGTATACATTATAAGATAAGATATACTTTATATATCACACAGAGTATGTAAGTATATATTTTTTTACATTAGTACTGTATACATTTTTACATTTTCTCCTGGAGGTGTGCCGCAAGATTTTTTCAGTGAAAAAAGTGTGCCTTGGCTCAAAAAAGGTTGAAAAACACTGGTTTAGACCATGTGGAGCGATTTTGAGACAAATTGGTGAAACGGCCGAGGAGGAGGGCAAAATGTCACAACTTTTCATCAATGTTTAGGGGGTCAAATTAAGGTTCAAAGTGCAGAAGAAAGAAAAAGAAAGAAAGAAGGAATTTTTTTCCAAAAATCTTAGAGCAAAAACAATATAGGTTTCCATTGTAACGTATAATACAAATGATACATCGTTTTAAAGCGAATGACTAGACGAACGCAACAATTGGGTTCTTTGTGATTGAGGAACGCTGACGCGCCCGTCAATCACCTCGCCATCATGAGGTCACCCACCCCCTTCATAGGACCCCATTCATTACACTGTGTACTACAGCAGGAGCAAAACCATTCCGTGCCTCCGGCACGGATTTATCAGTGTCTGGGCACGTGCCGCTGCCCCTGGAGATTGTGACTTATGACAGTTGGAAAAGCAATAGGCCCTTACCCCAGTTGGGGCTCGGGTCTAAAAATATAAAATCCCTCAGTTGTATGCACAGCTAAACAGAACTGTCTTTTTTTTTTTTGAATTTTTTTATTTACAGATAGTGAACTACAAGTATACAACACATGTACAATAGAAAAGGTTTCATATACATTCCACCATCTGTTGTTTTTTCTTTTTTTTTCTTAAACAAACATACAAGAACAAATAACGGGAGAGAGCCTTTGTTTACCCATGCTATTAGTTTAACACGGTGGGTTAACAAGTTAACCCGTACGAGACGCTTATAAAACAAAACAACAACAAAAAAAAACAAAAAATATGTATGTAGTATATAGAATTCAGTTGAGTTGTACTTCTACAAAGTCCGGTTGAAGAGGTTTGATAAATTTGACCCAGCTTGACCATAATTTGATAAAAGCAGGTTTTTTCAGCCTGATAGAGTAAGTTATTGCCTCCATTGCATATATGTCATTCACTATTTTTATCCATTCTGCTTTGGTGGGGGGATCCGGAAGCAGCCATCGTCTTGTAATAGATTTTTTAACAGCTGAAATTAGAATAGCCATAAGATATTTGTTTTTAAATTTAATATTATAAACTTGGCCAAGGAACAGAGTTGTGAAATTATATGGTATAATCATTTGAAATATTTTTGATACAGTTGTGTGGAACTCTGCCCAAAGTGGTGTAATCTCTGGGCAGGCCCAGAATATATGCCAATGATCAGCTTTAGAAGCCCCACACTTTCTCCAACAGGCTGCGTTTCCTTCACCAAAGTGAACCTTCTGCTTTGGAGTAATAAAGAAGCGAATCAAACACTTCCAGCTGAACTCTCGCCATGAATGTGAATTTGTACTTTTCCATTGAGATTCACAAATGTCCGGCCAGTCATCAGGAGATATCACAATGTTTCCTTCTTTCTCCCATTTCTCTTTAATATATATTGTGGAGTGAGATTTTTTCATCAGGAAACTTTTATAAAAGCTGCTAATGGCTCCTTTAAGATTTGTATTTTTGTATGCTTTTAGAAAAATTATCAATATAGGGTCTTTAACATCTGTTTTAGCACTAATGTTATGTTCGAAGTGGTTCCGTAGCTGCAAGTATCTAAAAAAGTCAGAATTGTCAAGGTGAAATTCATTCTTCAGTTTATCGAAATTTTTGAATTTTCCATCTTCTGTGAGGGTATAGAAAGTAGTGATTCCTTTTGAAATCCAAAGTTTAAAGGTGTTATCTAATGAGTTAGGCTTGAATTTAGGGTCGAACGCACACCATTGTATTATTTGTATTTTGTCATCTAAATCATATTCTTTTTTCACTTTATTCCAGATTTTTAATTGTGTTCTAATCCATGGATTTGAGATGTTTTTAATATATCCATCCAGGCATGAGTTTGCCAAAATTGCCTGTACTGGAGGTTTTGTAATTGAGAGTTCTATGTCTTTCCATCGGGCATGAAATTTTGAGGAACACATATTCAAAAGTGTTTTTATTTGAGCAGCATAAAATCATCCTTTAAAGTACGGCAGGGCCATGCCTCCTTCTCTCTTTGGTAATTGTAGAGTTTTATATTTAATCCTAGGCCTTTTTCCCTGCCAGATAAATCTAGAAATAATTTTGTCTAATTCAGAAAATTCTTTTTCAGTAATTTCCCCTGGAAGTGATTGAAACAGGAAAAGATATCGTGGGAGTATGTTCATCTTTACACTTTCAATTCTGTGACTTAGGCTAAGAAAAGATACCGTGTTCCATCTCTTGATGTCATCTTTAATTTTTGTTAATAAAGGGTCATAGTTTATTTTTGCTATTAAAGAAGTTTCTTTACAAAAATTAATTCCCAAGTATTTTAACGATTGTTGATCCCAGCTGAGGTTATATTTATCTGTAAGTTGTTGTGAGGGTATGAAATTAAAAGTTAAAAGTTGGGTCTTTTGTATATTTAGTTTGTAGCCTGAGTATTTACCATATGTTTGTAATAATGTCATCACCTGTGGGAATGTATTATTTGGGTCTGATAAATAGATCAATACATCATCAGCATAAAGGGCGACCTTATGTTCTTCTTGATTTATAGAGATGCCTTTGATGCTTTCAGTTTGTCTCAACCATTGGGCAAGAGGCTCTATGTATAGAGCAAACAGGATTGGCGACGACCCGCAGCCTTGCCTCGAACCACGCTGTAGTGTGAAAGATCTAGTGAGATGACCGTTAATTTTTATTTTGGCAGAAGGTTCACTGTACAATGTATGGATAACGTTCACAAAGTTAGAATGTATACCAAATTGTTCCAGCACTTTATACAAAAAAGCCCAGCTGACAGAATCAAACGCTTTTTCCGCGTCGAGGCTCACTAGGAGAGCCTCAAGACTATTCTGTTGAATATGGTTTAAAACATGTAATGAGCGTCTGATGTTGTCATGAGTTTGTCTCTGCGGAACAAATCCAGTCTGATCTGTGTGTATCAACTGAGGAAGGATCTTCTCTAATCTCTTGGCCAAAATATTTGTGAATAATTTATAATCAACGTTTAGGACCGAAATTGGCCTAAATGAGCCACATTCCAGCGGGTCCTTGCCTTCCTTTGGGATAACAGAGATAACCGCTTCTTTCCATGAAGGTGGCATTTTGGATTCTTTAAAGACTGTGTTATTTGCTTTGAGAAGACATGGCGTAAGTTCTTTTCAAAATGCTTTGTACCAGTCTGGGGGATAGCCATCTGGCCCTGCCGATTTGCCTGTCTTCAACCTAGAGATGGCGCTGTTTAGTTCCTTTTCGGTTACCTCTGCTATCAAACTTCTATTTTGTTCCTCAGAAAGAGAAGGAAGGTTAAGAGAGCGCAAAAAGTTTTCCATTTCTTGTTCACCTTCTACAGGTGGCTGAGAGTACAAATTTCTGTAATATTTTTCAAATGCCTCTTGTATTTGTTCTTGTTTAGACAAAATGTCACCAGAGATTGGGTCTTTGATCTTATATATTGTGCTCTCTGCTCTCTCTTTTTGTAGCCTTCTGGCCAAAATCTTAGCTGCTTTTGGACCGGCTTCATAATATTTTTGTTTCGCAAAGACAAACTTTTTTTCAACTTCATTAGAGTACAGTATATTAATTTCATTTCGTAATTTCTTTATTTCTTCTAAGAGTCTTGGGCATTGGTTAATTTTATGTTGTCTTTCCAAATCTCTCAGTCTTCTATTACAGTCAATGTATTTGAGATGTTTTACCTTCCTATTGTGTGAGCACCAAGAAATAATTTTACCTCGAAGGACTGCTTTTAGAGTGTCCCACACTATGGTTGGATCAACCTCTCCTGTGTCGTTTAATTCCAAAAATGAATTTATTTCCCTTCTCACCTCGCTCACAAACTGTGGGTTGTTTAAGATGCTTGTATTAAATCTCCACAGTGTTCTCCTTTTGGTTTCCTCAATATTCAAAAGACAAGCAATTGGAGCGTGATCAGAAAGGTCAATAGAGCCAATGTCGCAACTGTTTACTCTGTTGCGGTCCCTTTTAAAAACAAAAAAATAATCTAGTCTTGAATATGTATCATGAGGATGTGAATAGAAGGTGTAATCACGTCCTGAGGGGTAAAAGTCTCTCCAAAGGTCTAGTATTCCCAGTTCATTTATTAGATTACTTACTTTTTTGTGCAATGTTGTAGTTGGCACCTGTTTAGATGCGTCTAGATTTGGGTCCAGACGGAGGTTTAGGTCAGATCCACAAATTACAATCCCTGGTGCTCCAACCATCAAATCAAACACCTTTCTATAAAAAGCAAAGTTACTTCCAGGTGGAGCGTACACATTACAGAGTGTGATTAATACATTATTGATTTTTCCGGTTACTAAAATGTACCTCCCCTCGGTGTCTGATTCCTCAGATACATATTCAAAAGGTATTCCATGTGATATTAATATTATGACCCCTCTTCTTCGTCCATTACCGTATGATGAGTAAAAGGCTCGTGTGTAACCCATTCTCTTCATCTTCTCATGTTCCAACTTAGAGAGGTGGGTCTCCTGTAGTAAAACTATTTGGGCTTTTTCTCGTTTGACCTTAGAAAATATTTTACTTCTTTTGGCTGGGCTTGAAATACCCTTTACATTAAAAGAGATTATTTTAACCTCCTGTGTATTCATGTGTTTCAAATATGGTATTGACCATTATTTCTCCCCAATTAAACCTATAATTGTGACAATAATTTGCATGCACAACAAAGCCCTCTCCCAAAGAGCAAGTAAACGTGAACCATGTAAAACAGAACAGAACAACACGCCAGAGTTTAACAGATACTTCCAAGGCAGAGGCTCGTGTAAAGGGAGCCCTACATGATGTCGGGGGATGATGTAAGTCCCAGGAGGGGGAAATCCCACTTCCTCGCAGGAGTGGGGCCCTGAAATATGTCCGCATACTAGCTGAATTCTACACTAAGGAAGGCATTTCAAACAGTTTCGAACCCCGACTTTTTCAAAATAAAGTGCGTTAATAAAAATACAAAAGAAAAATAAACTTGTATTGTTCATGACGTTACCTTTTATAACCACGTTATCCTTTACCAGTGGTAATGTGAGAGATAATTTTCACCCAGATGATGATCTTCTATGGTGCTCTTACAGTCAGTTCTCAGTGTCGGTGTTTCTTCGGAAGCTTTGAAGATGTTTCATGAGGCGTGCGCGCGGATCCTCCAGCTGCTGTGCGTCATCTCCCACCGCATCCTGTTGTCCTCCGCTCCCCGCGCGCCTTCCTCTCACTGCTCTCCAGTTGGACAAAAGCTGGATTTCTTGTTGGTCAGGGGTGACCGTGGGTTTGACCAAGCCAACTGCAAACCCCCGCGAAGCCAGATCTCTTGTCGCCTCAGTCGCATTTTGGTAGAGACGGGTCCCATCATTAAAGAAAACACGCATCTTGGCTGGATATGGGGTCTGAAACTTGATACGATTCTCCTTGAGCACTTTTTTAGCCTCCCCATACTCGTTACGCCTCTTGATCACTTCTGTGGGAAAATCGTGATCCACAAAGAAGCGTTCATCGTCACAAAACACTTCCTTCTTCTGCCATGCTCTCCGTAAGATCTCTTCTTTGGTGCGGTAGCTGGCAAATTTCACCACAATGGACCTGGGTTTAGCTTGGCTGTTGTTGTTGGGTTTAGCCACCAGGGCACGATGCGCTCTTTCAATTCCAAGGACTTCGTCTCGGGGAAAGTCAAGTGCCTTTTTCAACAAGTTTTCCATAAAAGTCACCATATCTGTTCCTTCTTTACCTTCCTTTATTGAATAGAAGCGGAGGTTGTCTCTTCTCCCTCTCCCTTCTTGGTCTAGCAACTTAGCCTCGAGGTTAGCTTGGCGCTCCGTTAGCCTCATGATTAGCTTGGATGCTGCTTGTAGCACCGTCTCAGTTTCATCAATCCTCTCTTCTGCTTCGTCCATTCGTTCATTTACTCTTCTTAATTCACGTTTAATGTCCGAGTATTGTTCACTACTGTTTTTTCTGAAATCCTGTAACTCTCTCAAAATAGCCTGCAGAGAAGGTTCAGCCGCAGCTCCGCCTTGTCGAGCTAGCTTTAGCTCCGAGGATTGATTTTGTTCTCCGCGGATTTTATTCACTTCGTCTTCAGTCGAGTTGGCACTTGTCATACTTCTTGTTAAGACTCCCGTGTCCATAATAATAACAAAACCCAGGGGTTTGTAGAAAGAGTGGCTGTGGGAGCTTTAGTTACAAAAACCGTCGGGAGCAAACTATTCAAGCTGTCATCCTCTCGCTAGCTGCACCGGAAGTTCCAAACAGAACTGTCTTTAACCTGGTTTTAAACATTGTCAGAGAGGAGGCCTGTCTCACATCTTCAGGATCAGATGTGTTCACATCTTCGTATGGTACTAACATGTCACTAAGGCAAGTTAACTAATATATTTTGGAGCGAGGCTGCAGTACATTTTGAATGTACTGCAGCTGTTTTACAGCCTGTTTGGACAGACCTGTGAGCAGGCCATTGCAGTAGTCTAACCTACTGGAGACAAATGCATAGATAAGAATCTCCAAGTCTGCTTTAGACCCTATGTTTTTGATCTTGGCAATGTTTTTTAGATGGTAAAAAGCTGCTGATGTTACTGATTTGATGTGACTATTAAAATTTAAGTCTGAGTCCAGTATTACCCCTAGATTTCTAACCTTGTTTGAAGGTTTTAGGGAGAGAGACTGGAGGTGACAGATGACGCTCTCTCTTTGTTTCTGGGGACCAAAGACAATCATTTCAGTTTGGTCTGCGTTTAGCTGAAGGAAGTTGTTTTGCATCTACTCACTGATCTGTTGGATACAGTGAAGGAGTGAGTCCACTGGTCCATGTTCTCCTGCAGTCAGTGAGACATAGATCTGAGTGTCGTCTGCATAGTTGTGATAGGATACTTCGTTTCTGCGTATTAACTGACCTAACGGCAGCATGTAGAGATTGAACAGAAGAGGTCCCAGGATCGACCCCTGTGGTACTCCACAGGTCAGGGCCATATGATCTGATGCGCAGTTTCCAATCTCCACAAAGTACTTCCTGCCTTCAAGGTAAGACCTAAATCTGTGCCAGCGACGCCAACCCAGTCCTCTAATCTCTGAAAGAGGATCTCATGGTTGACGGTGTCAAAGGCAGCACTCAGATCTAACAAGATTAAGATTGAGACTTTGCCTGCGTCAGCGTTCAGCCGGATATCATTTGTAACCTTGACGAGAGCAGTCTCAGTGCTGTGGTGGGGTCTAAAGCCGGACTGAAACATATCAAATGAGTTGTTGATTATAAGAAATCTAGTAAGCTGTAGGTAGACAACTTTCTCAAGGACTTTCCCCATAAATGGCAGATTTGAGATGGGACGATAGTTGTTAAGTACAGTGGCATCCAGACTGCTCTTTTTTAGCAGGGGCCTGATGACTGCAGTTTTCAGGGCCTTTGGGAATATTCCAGAATGAAGGGACATGTTTACTATCTGTGTGAGTGAAAGTAACAGACTGCTCAGAACAGACTTCAGAAATCTAGTGGGTAGTACATCCAGGCTGCATGTGGAGGAGCTCAGACTGGAGATTATCTCTTGGACAGTTTGATCATTTACAGGTGCAAAGTGAGTTAGCTCAGAGAGCCTTTCTGGCTGTTGGATGGTTATCTGTGGATTGGAGACAATGGCGTTTTTGATCATTAAAAAAATGTGCAAACTCATTGCATTTACGTTTGGAAGTAAGCTCTAATGGCATCTGAACAAGGGGGTTTGTTATTCTATTAACTATTGAGAACAGAACACGCAGATTGTTGCTGCAGCCTTCAATCATTTCAGAAAAATACCTTTCTCTCGTACTACGTAGCACCCGGTTAAACTCGCACAACTTCTCTTTGAAGATCTCGTAATCAACCTGGAGGTTGGACTTGTGCCACTTCCGCTCGGCCCTCCGGCACTTTCTCTTCAGTGCTCTGACCGAGTCTGGTTTAGCCCACGGCGCCTTCTGCTTGTTTTTCACTATTTTAACCTTCACAGGGGCAACGGTATCCAGAACATTCAAAACACTAGAGGTGACAGAGTTAAACAGTTCATCTACAGTAGAACACGATGCATTCTCAAAGTTTATAATTTCCATACATAGATCACTCGAATTTTCATTTATGCGCCTTCTTCGAACAGTTGCAGAGTCCACTGGTGGTTTGTTAGTGAAACACATGTCAAAAAAAACACAGAAATGATCCGAAAGATCGACCACCTTTACATTTGAAATATTCACCCCCTTAGTAACTAACAGGTCTAGAGTGTGCCCTCTGCTGTGGGTGGGGCCACTCACGTGCTGAGTGAGACCAAATTTTGACTTTATTTTGCTCTTTGTTTACAACCACAATATCTGGAAGTCCCACAGGATCTTCGCACGCTCATTCTCCACCACCTTTGGAGGAGTTTCCCACTTAGACCTTGGAGTTTCCAGCCCATACTCTGCACAGATGTTTCTGTACACTATGCACCTACTTGGTTATGGCGTCCCATGTAGGCCTTTCCTGCAGCATCTTGCACCCTGCAGTTATGTGTTGGATCGTCTCAGGTGCCTCTTTGCACAACCGACACCTTCGGTTTTGTCTGGTGTGGTCTGTTCCTCTATCGCTCTGGTGCTCAGGGCCTGCTCCTGTGCAGCCATGATGAGTCCTACAGACCAACTTTTCTTGAGATCAGCCACTTCTGCTATCCTCCGGTGGTACATACTGTGTAGGGGCTTGTCCTCCCATGATGGGTTCTCCTCCAGTACCTCCTCATTTCGCCACTGCCTGAGACATTCACTGAGTACGTCATCCGTTTTGGCCTTCTCCATGATGTAGTTATGGAGGTTGGATGTTTCGTCCTGGAGAGTGGCTCTCACACTCACTAGTCCTCGGCCTCCTTCTTTTCGGCCTACGTACAGTCTCAGGGTGCTGGATATAGGATGAAACCCGTCATGCATGGTAAGGAGCTTTCAAGTTTCTCACCATCTGTGGTCTGAATCTCTTCCTTTGGCCACCTGATTATTCCTGCAGGGTATCTGATCACTGGCAGGGCGTAGCTTTTAATGGCCCGGGCCTTGTTCTTGCAGTGAGTCAGCTTCTTAGGACTCGCTGGAGGTATTTGGCAGTTGCCGCTTTCCTCGTTGCCTATTCGAGATTGTCCTTTGCCTGTGGTATACCGAGAAACTATTATCCGTCCTCAATGTCTGGACAGCTAAAAAAAATAAGTAAGTGCGTTAACGCAATATATATATATATATATATATATATATATATATATATATATATATCAGGGCTGTCAAAATTATTAATTATTATTAAAGTATTTGAATTATTATTATTTTATAATAATCAGTGTGCATTGGGGCTGTCAAAATTATCGCGTTAACGCACACTGACACAAAAAAAAAACGCTTTTGATGCATGTACCGAATGATCCGCTCAGAACATCTGAGTGTGTGAGAGGGTAGGCATTAGTTAGCATTAGCACAACTTAGCTGTACAACAATCACTGATGAAATGATTCAAAAGCAACGCACTGCTAACAAAATATACAGTACAATAACTGAAAGATTACCACTAGTTTCTTTTCCAAATGTAGTCCGAGAAGGTCCGCACCTGCAGGTCTCTCCAGAGGATACGATGCAAGCTACCTATGTTCACCCGGGCTTGATTTCCTTCATCGATCTGCGCAAAGCCTTTGATACCATTAATCATGAACTGTTAATGTTAAAACTGCAGAGATATGGCATCAGGAGGCGTCCTACACAAGGCTCGAAAGTTATATCACAAACCGTCAGCAGTATGTACATATACATGGTATTAATTCTAATTATAAAAAAGTTGTTTGCGGGGTCCCACAAGGATCTGTTTTTGGACCACTGCTTTTTATTCTGTTTATCAATGACATCTGTGAATCATCAAACATCTTACAATTCTTGTTGTTTGCCGATGACACAAGTGTATTTCACTCCAGAAGCAATTTAAGTGACATACATGTAACCATCAAAAAGGAGATGGCCAAAGTAAGAAATTGGTTTACAGACAATAAATTAAGCCTAAACTGGGATAAAACTAAATACAAGATTTTTGGGAACAGGGTAAAAAAAGACATCTCTGGAGTTGCCATCGATGGAGTAAGCACTGAAGGTGTTGTAGTGATTTCCTAACACTTTTAAGCAACTGTGGTTAAAGTTGTAACTTCATTCTTACATATGCAGAAGCCTGTACTTTTCCACTACTTGTTTTGGTTATCTCAAGGCCAAGCTACAAGCACACTGTGGCAGCTGCTGATAGGAGGTGTCTGTTTCTCCTGAGTATATTACCACTTACTGTCTGTAACATCCCTTGTTCATGCTCTTGTCCGTGCTGGGTCTACCGTCAACAATAAAACATGTCTTCTGTCTGAATTAAAGACACGATCCCAGACTTTGGCTGATTCCTAACAGTGTAACAGAGCTAAAATTTTTAGTCATTCTGGACGAGAAGTTAAACTGTGTTAAAAATAAGTCTTGGTATTTTATAGAGAGCTAAATATATATTTAATTGTAAGCCTCTCCACATATTGCATTGCTCCTTGATATTGCCATATATAAAGCCAAACACAAACTATTGCCTGAAGCCTTAAGAAAATATGATTTTAAACTGCATTTGCAAGAACCTCGATGAAACAGAAGTGTGCGTCTGTATTTGGTGTTTATGGAACGCTCAGAGCGACTGAAATGTGCTTCTAATATCTACCATTTAAAAAAAATGTCTAAGGAGAAAATGATGACTGAATATGAAGAAAACGAAAATAGTTAAGTGTGCAGCAAGTTTGTTGTTATTGAAAAGAAAGGAAAAATGTTAGATTAGTGACAGGTGATGTTGGGGGTGAAAATGTTAAAATATCTCTGCAGCCAGCTAAAAGAGGGACAGGGCTTATAAGGCTTTGTGTGTTCCATCTGTTCCTATTTGTTTGTAGCACAAATGTAAAGGGAATATACATGATGGAAGTGTCTAATATGGCATGGACAAATAAATAAATAAATACATACATTTGAAAAAAAAAAATTCTTTGATCATTTTTTCACTTTAGTTCCCTCTTCACTTTTGTGTCTTTTGGGCTGTTTTGCTGTCTGCAGGTACAGCCAGAGGATAAAGCCACTCTCTGCTGCCATGCTGTTCTGTTTACCTACAGACCTAACCCTAGAGGAGGCGGCCTGTTCGTAACAGCTCTGCCCCTCGTGGAGGAGAACGAGTGTCATGCAAAGTCTCTACTCAGCACTTTGCCTGAATTCATACACAAGCTGAATCAATCAGCTACATTTTTCAATTAAATTACGGGTTTTAATTCAACTTTTAATACAACTTAGAAAAAATACTGTCTTCTACATGAAGACAGAATTCTGATAATGTTAATGCCATTTTATGTGGATTTATTGTTGTTATAATAAACGAATAGAATACATTATGTTCAGAATGTTGTTGTTTATCTTTCCATTCAAACAACCATTTACAGAAAAATATGGCATCGTTTTGCTGATAGTTCGAAATGCGATTAATTACGATTAATACATTTTAAAGCTGTAACTAACTCGATTAAAATTTTTAATCGTTTGACAGCCCTATACTGTACATATATATATGTCACATTTGGAACAATGCAGCTCCATAATCACTGATGGTAACTATCCATAGTAACTGACTGTTACCATGGAGTGTTTGTGTGTTTGGACTCAAAGTGAGAGATGGTTGAGGAGAAAACTTGAAATTTTTTCGAGATGAGGGTGAAGTGTTGCAAACTGCGTAGGAAAGTCCACACAGAGCATAAACACATAGAGGAGATATGTGGCTCTGTGGATTTGGACACAACCTCTACCTGGAGTAGGCGCGTCGCTCACGTGATTGAGGAAGAAGAGAACTCGCAGTGTGAGGAGTCAGTGCTGAGAACCAACACGTTTTTAGTGACGGCGGAAATACACAAGTACGATTCACCGACTCAAAGTAATCTGCAGGATTCTGAGTTACAAGCGAAGACGAGCAGAGATCCAGAGCCAACAGAAACTCAATCTGCGAAACTGGAGACTTCATCGAGGACCAACGTCGAGGCGAGAGAAGCGATGTCCGAAAACAAAGACATTGGACCGACCCGACCCCAGGCAGACATTTTTGAAAACCTTAAACTGATGGAAGAACACAGATTGCTCACCCGCCATCTGTTTTATGCAGCAATTGAGAAAAACAAAAGACTGGCGGCCGAGATTGAGCGCCTTAAGGAGAAGTCGGAGCAGGAGAATGCAGCGTTCCAGGCCGCGATGAAGCAAAAAGACAGCGAAATAAACAAGATCAGATTCCACGAACAGGATCTCAAGGATGCAGTTGGCTCGCTCCACACACAATACAACAAACTGGTGGAAGCCTTTGTAGCTTACCGGTCTATGTCAGAGGAAAAACGTTTACTCATAGAGGAGACTTTGAAAGAGAGAGAAGAGTCTTTGCGGTTGCTCCAAACTGAAGACGTCGAGTTAAAGGAACGGGGTGTGGACTACGAAAACCCCAGTGCATCTGTTAGCGGTGAAATTAGGAGCAAAGACGAGTTTTTCCAAAGTCCAGTGAGTGAATCGACAACACAACAGCCAAACGAGAATCTCTTGAGGGTTGAAATTGGAAAAACTGTGAATGAAGAGAAATTGGAGAAAAGCGAGCACGATCGGTCCAGGACAGTCCTGGAGAGTGTTGCATTGCTTGAGAAGATGCTGAAATGCAGGCAGAAGGCGGAACTAGGGAAGACCCAACTGGAGACTCTCTCATGGGCTGAAAACCTAGAATCAACTCAACAGCTGGAAAATGTCCAAGGAAACCAGGAGTGGGATGAGCAGAGCACCTCAATAACTGCAGCTGATTTAGAAACCCGCTTATGCAACTTAAGAAATAACTTTCAAGACAGAGAAACATCCACAACTACGCAATTAGAATTGCTTCTATCCGAAAACTGTGAGGTCAGAGAACGGGCTACACTCTCAACTAAAAAGACAAAGAACTGGCCATTCTTTAAAAGAAGGATGTAAAAACATTTGCATCCTTGTTGGCGACTAGTGCACCACTACATAACCAACAATAACATAACCAAGAACAACATAACCCAAGTATGAAGTCCGTTATCTAAGGTTATGATTATGGCTTCAATGCTACATTAGTCTGGAACTTCACTGGAGTCTTTGACTTTGATTTGGGGGTGGGCATCAACTGGGGTAGACGAAGAAAACCCATTGAGACACAGGTAGACCACAGGATTTGAACTAATGGGAACGCACCCAAAAAGAGAAAGAGGAGAGGACGACTTGATTAAATGAACTGCAGAAGTCGTGTGGTACGTTTGAGAAATAGGTCTAGGACATTTTTCCCAGACCCATGAGTTCCTTCTGAGGTCTATTCGTCAGCAATTGTATCCCTTATTCTCTTTGGTCAACCCTCAACTAGAACGACTGCAGAAACTGGTCTAGTCCTGTTTAGCAGCAAAGCAGCTGACTGGGTGGTAATTATGCATCACATCAAGCAGGTTGTAGTTCCAGCTCTTGGCCTTTCTGCATGGATTTCCTCCAGGCGCCCCGGTTTCCATCACCACCCAACACGCAACATTAAAGCCTCCACTTCTAAAATATAGTGGTAATAAAGTTTTACACTGCAAAAAACTGTGTACGAAGAGAATTTGTGAGACGTAAATATTGAAATGACCCTGTATGATCATGCAGTTAGAATAAAGTCCCGGAACCACCAACCAGCAAGATTTGCTGAAGGAGAAAATATTGCCAATTGGCAATCATTTGAATTTATTTCATCCAATACATGCATTTTAAAGTTACTGATATTTACTAGAAGTACAAAAGTAACTTCTTTAAAGCTGGGGTACCTTGGGAGACGCTGTTGGACACAATGGGTTGACGACATGCTTCCTGGAGCTCCTCAAAGCAGTGACAAAATATATATTTTAAAAGCTTCTTTCTTGTGGTACAAGACCTCCAGAACCCATATCCGTGTTTTGAACATAGGTTATGAACCTAAAATTATCTCTTTATTTTCTCAAAGGATCTCTATCAATATTAATACTAGCCCTAATTACCGATTGTGTATTATACACTGCATATTTACAACAGTCAATGTTTGTGTGTGAGGGGGTGGGTGTGTCTGCTTTGTCTTGCTCTTTGTCCTGAATTGTGTTATTATTTATTGTTTGCTTTAACTGTCTGTCTTATTCTATTATGCCTCTTGTCTTTTGGTACAAGTTTGAGGACACCCTCAAAAGCGAGACCCCCTCAAAGTAAATAAATACATTAAAAATAATTAAACATGTAAGACATTCTAGTACAAATACACACATTATATAACATTGCATGAAGTCAAATAAGGGTATATATTCATTATTTTAAAGGGTGGTTTTCATGTATGCACTTCTCACCAGTAGATGGCGGTAACACACTTCCGCTTAGCTCCTATGCTAAGCTAATGCTAACCGCTAACAGCTAATAGCGCTCCGGGTGAAGCTGCTCCTCACTGCCGCCTCCAGAGCTCACTATCCCCGCTTTGGTCGAGCTCAGGACAGGAGTGCCTGACCCCGGTGTGCCCTCCTGCTGTGCCCGGCCTGAGACGTGCGTTCCCAGGTCACTACAGATCATTCTCCCGCTGTGTTAGCCCGGTTCCCCCGGTGTGAGGTGATCCTGGTTCCCCCGGTGCTGCAAGGGGTGTGAAGCCGTGAAGAGGCCGTGGTTTGAAGTCGCCATCGGGCTGCGGGAGGAACGAACATGTCGGCTGTTCAGCGGATGAAAGTGGCGAACGAGAGGCACAGTAAAACCATCACCCAGCGGGGACACGTCCAGAAGACCTCGGTGAGTCCAGTCCCGGAGCTAACATGCTAACAGGCTAACAGCTGACCCAACAAGCTCCAGCTTTCATATAAACAACAATATGAACTCCACATCTGAGTAAAATGATCCAGTGTTTTACAGTCTAGGCTGGAGACATTTTAATCCATCCATTAGTTATTTAATGAATGTTTATAAGCTGAGTTGATTGGTTGAATGACATTAAAATATAAAAATGCATTTGAAAAGAAGTGATAGACTAAAACTATTTGAGTTCCATTGTGGTTTGAAAGTCTCTTAAATCCACTTTTAGCTCTGCTTTAGTCCAGTTGGCCTGATTGTCTCTCTCTTCCAGCAGTCCAGCTTTTAGTCCTGCTTTAATCCTGTTTTAGTTTTACTTTAGTCCAGTTGACCCTGATCTGTCTCCCCCTGTTCCAGCGGCCAGTGAATGAGGAAAAGTCTCCGGTTGGCCCTTGGCTCCTGGCGCTCTTCGTGTTTGTGGTTTGTGGATCAGGTAAGATTCACTTTGACTCATTTCAACCGTAAATGGAAGCATGAAAATGTTAGTTATGTACAAAATGACAGCGTAATGTCCAAGAAGTTTATTTTAAATGAATCACAGTGATATCGCTGATCAGAGCGAGAGCTGGAGGAGAACATGCTAATCTTGTTGCACAATCGTCGAGCTTTATAGAAAATGTATGGGTAATAAAAAAAAAGGTTCAGGGCGACAAGGGAGACTAAAATCCACACAAATCCAAACTTTTAGAAGGCTGTAGGTTCCCGGTCAGCTGAGGACTTGAATGAAGTGTAATTGCACATCCACTACAGTAGTTGACAGCTCGTTCTACCTGAAAGTAAAATAATTCAAACAGAACAAACCACAACTGGCTGTCTTGTTTTTTTGCATACTGTGAGCAAATTTAAAGATGTAAGGAGGAGGGCGTGCCATGTTTTGTTCTAAGAGGGGAATGGCAGAAAATAATTAGGAAGCACTTAGAGGTCTGAAACACGAGGTACCACAGCAGCACTTCCAGCCACGTTATTTTTGTTTAGGGAGACCGTAATCTCACCGTAATCTCTCCGTTATCTACAATCTACGTCTCCATCTCACGTCCCTGCCGCTTGTGTTCGCAGCCATCTTCCAGATTATCCAGAGCATCAGACAGGGCATGTGATCGACCAATGAGAACGCAGCCCCGCCCACCTCACCTGGACTCACCTGGAGAGATCATGTGACCTGCCCCGGCCAATCACACACATACACACACACACACAGGTGATGCCGGGACTCTGAGCCTTTCACCACATGTCTTACCTCCTTCATGTCTCCTAGCTCCTCCTCCTCTGTCCTCTGTCTTCCTCTCCGAGCTCTCCTCTCCTGCAGTCTCCTCTGGTAGAATCCTAAATTTTTATTTTATCTCTGACCTATCTCCTCTCTCCTAGCTCCTCCTCTCTCCCGCTGTCTCCTCTGGTAGAATCCAAAATGATTTATTTGTCTCTGTCCGAGCTTTTCTCTCCTAGCTCCTCCTCTCCTCCCTCCTTGTCTCCTTGGTAGAATCCAAATGGTTTCGTCTCTGTTCCAATAGCTGTAATCTCCCTGTATGAAGTGAAGAGGTTGAGTGTGTCTTTCCCGTTCCACTTTTATTTATTTAAACATTATTTCTGTGAAGTTGAAACACTCCTGTGTCTTCAAGCCGCTGTTCTGCCTGGCAACAGACGCACTGACCTTCTGTGATTGGTTCAGACTCAAACACGACCTCATTGAGTTTTTGACAATTTTAACAGAAAAAAATCACTTTGAAAAAAACGTTTTGAATCCGTGTTCCTCTGCGTGTTCTGCTCTGATTGGTCCGTTCGTTTTTATTTTAAGAATTTTGTGAATCTCATGAAATAAAATGACAACTTTGTAACTTTTGCTGAAGATGAGATTAAAGTGTTTTAATAAATCATTGAGTGTTGTTTGATTTAAATGAGACCTATTCATGAAAATCCTCAGTGTGAGTGCTGGAATGCATGATTTTGGATAGTTTAAAGATTACATGGATATCTCAGAGTTTATCCACCGTTGCACACTCAATTCAATTTACATTTGTATTGTCCTAAATTACAACGGCGGACCTACAATATACAGTATTTTATATTTGCTTCTTTATTATGCTGAAGTTGGAGATTTTATACTTGCTTACAGATTTTATTTCATTTTAGTATCGAGTTATCGTTCGCTTATCTTGTGTTGTGTGCCCTTCATAGTGTTCTGTTCTGCTGATGCAACACTGAAATTTCCCCACTGGTGGACGAATAAAGGGTCGCTTCATCTTTATCAACCAGAACACCAGAAATGCAATTTTAACAAACACATCGGAGCCATCAGTCCATATGGAGCGAGATGACCATTGTCCATAAATGTAATGAATATTTTGGATCATTAAAGTCCTTAGACCTAACCTACATTGTTAAAGTAGGTCTAAAATAACGAAGGGGAAAAAGTGAGAAACTTTGGGGAGGCTCCCGTATAGAGGGGGGGGGACCCGCTCAAAAGGGCTGTAGACGAGGACGAGGCTGGCGAGACGAGTTTACAGTTACACCTACCCTTGAAAATCATGTTTGTCATATACGTATCTGTTTTAAGACCAGCATATATCTGTGAGTGTAGACAGCCCCGTGACAAGCTTTCAGGAGAATGCTTTTTATCTCTTCTCGCTATAAGCAAATGAGGCAGCAGTGTGGTTCAGGTGACAGTGACCGAGAGCACTGATCACAGATTCAGTTTCTTTTTTACTGAAAGTTTACACACAAGTAACAATCATCAATCAATCAAATTATATTTATAAAGTGCTTTTCATACAGAAAATGCGACACAAATTGCTTTACAGTTTAACAATCCCATATGCCCACCGTTAACCCCACCGCCCAACAGACCCAGCCAAAACCACATTTATTATTAAACACACACACACACACACACATATAAAGTCACATCAGATAGATAAAGACCATGAAAAGATATAGGGCTGGGTGCAGATGTATCCAGCTGAAGAAGCGCCATCCGAGGAGCCATCTGCACCAGGAGCAAAGAGTCGCCTGCAGCCACATGGGACGACACAGGACCCAGAGGAGAGAGGAGGCCCCAGACCCCCACCTACATTTTGAAGTGAAAGTAAAATGATACAAAAAACTGTATCTTCTGCGTTAAACTTCTCCACACCTTCATCCCTGACGTCTCTGTGTGCCCCTTAGCCTTCATGATGCTGTTTAGTGACTGATACACTCTGCCCACAGCTCTGAGGCCTCACAGAAGCCACCAGTAGCTAGCCACCCCCTTCCAGGTAGCTCGCCAAAGGATTTAGAAATCAACAAATCAAATTCACCACAAATTCAAATCAAATGGTATTATTCATTATCATTATTAATGGTTGTAAATGCAAAACAAACAAATATGCAAAGACTGTTCCCAGGGCCGCTTAAAAGAGTAGCTCTCTGCCTTTTTTTGTTCCGAGAAAGTAGCTCTCTGGGTGAAAAAGGTTGGAGACACCTGCATCAGAGCAAGGTGCATTCAGCAGTCATGATGAATGTTTTAAAGGCAAAAATCTCACTTTTCAGTAAAATAACAGAATCATGTCTCATTTTGCTTTTACTTCACAGGTGTGTTACTTGTGTGTGAACTGTCATGAACATAATATCTTTGTTTATGATTGTGAAACTGACAAAATGTGCTAAAGTTCTAGGTGTTCTTGTGCTTTCGAGAGGCACTTTAAGTAATCCTGTTTGCGGGGAATACACACTCTCAAGCACACAGACACACAAAGGTGCACACACAGCAAACATGTGGAAGAAGGCGTTATTGTGTGTGTGTGTGTGTGTGTGTGTGTGTGTGAGAGAGAGAGAGAGAGAGAGTGTGAGAGAGTGAGTCATACACCAAAACCAAAAGGGGGTTCCACAAACTATGACCTCATGAAAGAACACACTCTAGCCCCACCCACACGTCATGTGATCAGCAGGTGTTTCCGCGGTGATGCCTGTCAATCATTAACCTGGACTCTGGATCAATCGCAGCCGAGGTGAGTCCTGCTTTCTTCGAGACCAAAATAGTCCGGTTACACACCCGGCCTGGTCCTGGTTCACACCTGGTTCAGACCTGGTTCAGTTCTTGTGTTTCAATCCTGGTTCAGACCTTGTCCAAGTCTGGTTCAGTCTTGGTTCAGTCTTGGTTCAGGCCTTGTCCAGACCTGGTTCAGTCCTGTTTCAGTGGAACAGATTTCCTACTTAACAAGTTCTCATTTGTGCAGCTCTGATAGCTCCAGAGTTTTCTTTTATTATCTTAAATAATCGATCCTGTTTGTGCGCATGACCCGAGGGACGAATAGGTTTATCTTATCTTCACCAAAATATCCACTGATTGCTAGCTTCCTGTTTTTTCCTGGTTTTGCGCAGAGCCAGCAGGTTGTATTATTTTGATATCATTTCCTGATTACATCCACAGGCTCCGCCCTCATGTCACCATGGACACACCCTCTTCAAGCCCCGCCCTTGAGATCGGTCAATCGCTGCGCAGTCCTCAGCTTCAGCAGGAGTTTTTCAGAGGTACTTTAATTAATTTATTTATTGATTTATTTGATAGGGACAAGTGTACACAATCAACATGTGAAACACTACAACATTTATAGCCAAGGCTAGTTTGCAACGTCCGTCCCTAGGAGGGCTTTTAACACAATTAAAACACATTATACATTACAATATTCACATTATACAAAAGTAGGTGTTCTCCAACTCATTCATGATCAAACAACTGGTTTGTTTTAAAAAATCGCTTGAGTTCGTGTTTGAAACCAGCCCAGTCAGAGTTCAGTTTTAGCTGAGGGCTTAAAGAGTTCCAGAGCTTTGCCCCTGGACCGAGAAGACCGACTGTCCGAATGTGGTCCTCCTGAGGGGCACTTTCACATTCCCGTTAGAGGAGCCCCGTGAGATGGACCTCAGAGGAACTATGAGAGAACTCAGGACAGCCGGGGCTCGACTGTGCAAACATTTATACAATTATTTACAGTTACAACATTTAATAAAATTATCAGAACTAAGAACATGTAGTCTCTGAAACACCTGGCAATGGTGTGTTCTTATTGGCTTTTGTCCAGTATTTTTATGGCTCTGTTGTAGAGCATTCTTACTGGTTTGATGGTGGATGCTGTGGCCTGGGACCAGCAGGTGATACAGTAACTTATCTGAAAAAAAATCATGGCGTGTAGAAAGATATTGGCTGCGTTGAAAGGTAAACAATCTCTGATTAATCTGAAACTATACAAACTTGATTTAGTCCTTTTTACAATCTTGTTAATGTGACTGTCAAATTGCAAGTGAATTAGGCCTAAATATTTGAATTCTCTCACTTGCTCAATGTGTTTCTTGTCAATTGTTAGGGGTAGGTTCTCAGCGGGGCGTGTTCTAGATGAAAAACAGACAGAATTTGTTTTACTGACATTTAAAGTAAGACCAGAATTTTGAAACCATTGTGCTACAGCCTCTAGATGGTGCTGTAGCTGTGCAGTAATGGTTTCAATTGTTTTGCCACTCACATATACAACTGCATCGTCTGCATACAGTTGGATACCTGCTCCTGGGCATGCGTTTGGTAAGTCATGAATGTAAAGTGTAAAGAGAAGTGGGCCCAATATTGATCCCTGCGGGGCTCCTGATTTTAAAGTTAAAAAGGATGACTTTTCGTTATTGATTATTACACACTGTTGTCTCCGTTCCAGATATGTCTTGAACCACTGCAGAGCTGGTTCTTCAAAGTTTAGTCCAGATAGTTTGAGCACAAGGAGATCATGGTCTAGATAGAACGTCAAATGCCTTTTTTAAGTCCAAAAATACTGCTCCAACCATCAAGCCTTTGTCAATTGCTGACTTAAGTTGTTCAATAAAATAACAATTGGCAGTTTCAGTTGAGTACTGTGGCCGAAACCCAAATTGCAGAGGATGCAGTATGTTGTTGAGGTGTAAAAATGACATTAGTTGGTTTGCTACGGTCTTCCATAGCACCTTAGAGAAGACCGGCAGAATACTTATTGGCCTGTAGTTGCAAACCTGACTTTTGTCTCCGGATTTGTGAATTGGTATTACCCTAGATTTTTTCCAGACAGTTGGATATTCTCCACTTTTTAGAGAAATATTTATCAAATCAGTTAGGGGTTTTGCCAATACTTCTTTATTTCGTTTCAGAAATGCTGTGTCAAGCTGGAAGAGATCTTTAGTGTAACTGTTGTTTATTTTGTCAATAATTTCCCTGACCTCAGACTCAGTAGTTTGTTCTAGGGAAAATGGAAACTGTATTGAGCTAACATTATGCTGAGCTATTGAATTGGTGAGCAATCTGTTTATGTTCACTTATGAGCTTTTGATCAATTTTGAGTTCAAGTATCTGTGATAGTTTCCCTTTTGGTTTTATAATGTTGTTTATTGTTTTACACATGGCAGATGGATTTCCTCTGGCCTCATTAATTGTGGAAATATAAAAAGCGTTTCTAGCGATTCTTATTTTTATACACAATCATATCAATATTCATTTTGCTTTTGATGGCCTGCTTTAAAGCTAGGTCACGTTGCTTCATAAGTTTTCTGATACATTTCACTAATCCAAGGTAAAGATTTGTGTGTTCCATTTTTCCTAGTTTTTCCAATTGTAGTTTTTTAAATGTTTGCTCGAGGTGGGAATCTTGGGGGACCTCACGATTCGTTTGCGATTCACTTCTATCATTTGCAGTATTTTTTTTTTTTGCGAACCATTAATTACAGTCTAATTGTGATACTTGTGCAGTTCTGGTTTTAAAGAGACAGGACCGATGTTTGAGGTGGTGTGAGCCTTCTATTCTTCTGTTTCAGAGCACCGCCGCAGGTTCTGTGACGACTGCAGCGATGACTCCTCCCCCTCCGCTCCACTAAGCCCCTCCTCCTCCAGTCCCAGGTCAAGTCCAAGTCCAGGATCCAGTTCCAGTTCAGGTCAGACTTTCACAGATCTCACAATATCACAACTGTGTGTTTGAGACTAGAGAAAGTTCCCGGCCCTCTCCTGATCCTGGTCCTGGTCTTATCCCGGTCCTGGCCCAAGTCCTCTCCAGGTCCAGGCCCTTGCTCTGAACAATGGAGGGGAGATTGACAGATTGTTGATTCAGCATTTGCAGTGATGCGGTCGCTGTATCGGACTGTTGTAAAGAAGGACCAGCCTATGCAGTCAAAGCTCTGTTTCCAGCCTCACCTGGGGTCATGTGCTGTGGGGAAGGACCCAAAGGACCAGATGGAGAACACATGGGCGGAGCTTAGAGGGGGAGGAGCTTTTTTGTCATAACATGTTTTCCACAGTTCTCATGAAAACGGTTCTGTCCTTTTACAGCCCAACTTCTCTCCAGTCCCAGTCCTGGTCGGAGTCCCTGTCCCAGTCCTGCTCTGAGTCCCAGTCCCAGTCCTGGCCTGAGTCCTGGTCCCGGTCCAGGTCCCAGTCTGGCTGTTGTGGCTGAGCTCCGGACCAAGACCAGGTCGAGCCTCAAACCCGTCCGTCGATCTAAAGGAAAGACGACCATCTTCTGGGGACGAGGAAGTGACTGCAGACCTCAGCCAATCACAAACCAGAGCAGCAGAGTTGAGAGCCAATCACAGAGGGACGAGAGTGTGCGTAAATGTAAATAAAACATGGCGTGTTCTAATCTTTCAGAAAAAGTCTATTTATTTGAATTTGTTCCAGTCAATAACTAAAAACAGTGCAAAGTCTCATTTCAAATATTAAGTGCTCCTTTCTTTTTTTTTGTATTTTAGAACAAACGTCTTTGATCTCAGGAATGTTTTGGATTAGCAACCAATATGGACGGACTCTTCACTCTAAAACCTTGCAATGTGTGATTAGTCTCAATGGTTAATGCTTGAGGAAAACAAACAGATCTTCAGAAAATACGGCAGAAACAATAAAACATGCAAAAATAATTGTTCACATTATCACATATCGGTATGACGCTTTCACTCGTTGACTGCCATTGACGTATTTGTCTGAGACCCTCCCTTCGACTGTGGATTACAGGACAACAAAAATAGCTAGAAACAAACTTATTTTTGCTGACGAAAGTAGACAGTCCAGTCTTTCAGTATCTAGTTTCATATGACACATACTCTTAGCACATAATATTCTGTGGGTCTTGAGAATCAGGGAAATCATCGAAAACGGCTGGCAGTCAATGAGTTAAGCAACACCACAACACACCTTTTGATACGTTAACAGGAGTAAAGCGCAGACCTCACATCAACTAATAATTCATTGAAAATTCCTTTAACAAAAACATGAACAAATCAGACCAAAACAAGCCATCTTCATCTTAATAGAAAATAAATAGAGCCCTGTTAGTTAAACTCTTTGGGTTGAGAGCTGAAAAAGCGGATCTACACTTGGCCAGAGTCCTGGATCTGCAGCCCGTCCGTCTGTGGGAGCGGATCCCTCTCTCAATGTGGATCTCCCCGAGGTTTCTCACCTAATCCCACTGGGGGTTAGAGTCCTTGCCAATGCAGGAGGCTTTGATAATGGGGTGGGGGGGGCACATGGGGATATTGGTACGATATGGAAAGCCAGACTCGTTTTAATGTGGTCACCATTGAATTCAACTTGGAAAAATGTATTTGAATTTAAGCTACTGTAAGAAAAAAAGTATGTATTTGACAAAGACATTTTTACAGAGGAGAAGGAGAGGGAAGCGATGTCCTATGTTAGCGCTTTGTTAGCCCAGGGACTACGGGTGGAGCCATGAGCTATGACCCGGCACAATGCATCTAAATAGAGATTAAATTTATACTTGATTAACATTTTTGCATGAAGTAAGACTGGACTACAGCTAAAAGAAGGCTCAGAACTGTGGATAGATGTTGCACACGAGAAGCTGCAAACCATTGGAAATTGACGCTCATTCATTTCAATGGGGGGAAAAAAGTCTGAAGTTTGCAGCTAGGAAAACTTTGCCCAGGTCCGGTCTCAGGACAGCAGTGATGATCAAAGACATTCAACAACATTTATGAATATTTTGCCTCTTAAGGACCAATGGCTCTATGTGTTTTTTTTAATCAGGGCATTTCTTGTATTAGTTCGATTCTCTGATCTGTTGTTGGCGAATCGACAACTTTGTAAAGTCCCCTGGGATAACTACTGTTGTGATTAAGGGCTATACAAGAATACATACCAAACTGTTTTTTAGAACCAAGAACCACATTCCCAATGCAAGACGCCCAACGTTGAAGAGACACACTCAGATTAAGCTGAATATTAGTTACACAACAAATATTCTGCACAAAACAGATCACATTAAAGCTGCAAGCGGCATCGCACGGCCCTGGGCTCCCGGTCTGCCTCTCCTGGTTGTTCCTGCTCCGATCCTCAACAAACAGACTCTTACACACAGATCAACTTCTTCTCCCTCTTCACATTCTCAGCAGACGCCCTCCAGGCCTGAGGTGGGTTCGCGGCAGGTCATGATCCCGATAAAAGCGTCCATACAGCTCTCTGGAAACAGAATCAGAGGTGGAATTCAGAGTTCTCGCAACGTTTCGTTGGGTTGGGATAACACAAATGACAGAAATAAACGACACAGAAACAGAAAAGGTCAAAAAGTTATGAAGACCAGAAAAGCACCTCCATCCAGTAATTACGCTTTCAAAACCAAAAGCCGTCAAATTGACTGCTCTGGGAGTTCTAGTGTTAAGCTACAGACGTGTGTTATGTTTCAATCCCATTCTATCTGAATTTGGAAATATATTTGGAAAGAAACAGTCCAGCTCAAATAGGACTGTTTCAAACTAGATTATCTAATGCTAGTGGCTGGGCACTTTACCTGCTATATCATAATAATAATAATACTACAAATAATGCATCAGTTTTATATAGCGCTTTTTTGGATACTCAAAGACGCTTTACATGACATTATCCTTTCACGCCATACACAGTGGTGATAAACTACTGTAGCCACAGCTGCCCTGAGGCACACTGACAGAAGCGAGGCAACCAGTCTGTGCCATCGGCCCCTCTGACCACCACCAACCATTCACACACACACCAGACACACTCTAGGCAATGGGGGTGAAGTGTCTTGCCTAAGGACACAACGGCAGTTTGGCACTTTACAGCCGCCCCACTGTGGCACCTGGTGTTCCCAGAGGTTAAGTGTCTTGCCAAGGACACAACGACAGCAGGAATCGATGGTGAGAGTCAGGCTTGAACCCACAACCCTCAAAGGCCAATGCTCTACCAACTGAGCTACTGTCGCTCCATATCATGTTATTACTACATCATTACATACTCCATTTATCTGAGAATTCACTAGACACTTTACCTGCGGCTGTTTTACTATTGTTTATTCCGCTAAAGTACAATACAAACATCTGTAAATACCTCCTGATGCTGACTACAGTGGGTTCGAGCCCACCGCAAGACCTTCTCCACCGACTCCCACTGATGTCTGCTGTCGTTGTGTCCTTGGGCAAGAAACTTAATCCCACTTTGCCCATAAGAAGCTCGCAAGTATTTGTACGCTGCCTTGATGTGTGTATGTGAATGCATCGAAACTGAAATTTCCCCACTAAGGGACCAATAAAGGGTTATCATCTTCTTCTAAAGCAGGGGTGTCAAACTCATTTTGATCCGGGGCCAAGTTTACAAAATATAAGAGCTGGTTGAAGCCAAAATTATAAAAGTAGTTAGTGGCTTTCATTATTTATCTATTTTTACATATTATTGTATTTTTACAAATTCATTTTATTTGACATGAGTTTGGATATTATAGTCTAGTAGGTTTCCAAATAATAAAAGATATAGATTGAAGATTAATTTACCCATTGAACTTTTCCTGATAAAAGTATAACATTCCATAGTATCTCGTTACCATCAATGCTGCAAATTACTGTATAATGATAATTGAAAAGAATTTCAGGGGCCACTAAAAATGGTGTTGCGGGCCGGATTTGGCCCACGGGCCTGAGTTTGACATGCCTACTCTAAAGGTTCTTTGGATCCTTGTGTTTGTACCTTGGGTTTTTTTGCACCTCTTCATCGTCATCACAGCGAGGACCACCACGATCAGAGCACTCGCTGAGCCGACTATGGAGCCTACGATCACAACCACGCTGGGGGACTCTGAGGGGGGAGGACGGGGAGACCGTGAGACCAGCATGACGGTAACACAAGGCAAACATGGCGCTAACACAATACTAAAGGGTGGTTCGACTCTGGGATGTGATTCATGTTCCTCATGTTCCTCAAAGGCACAACAAACACGGAGGGAAATCACATTTACTTTCAGCACTACTCACTACTTTACTTTACTGCACGACGACTGAAGCAAACACATCTCACATGAACGATGAGCTCCCAGGACACAACTGAATTATTCTGTCACACCTTAGTTTAACCCTCACTAATTAAAGCTGCACTTGTTAATTGTGATTGGTCACAATCTGGTCCCGAAACAAATTCTCTTCCTTGTTGCACGAAAACTCGGTCTAAAATAGAACTACGCGCCAGCACAAACCAGCGCTACTTACTCTTCAAAAGGACGTATATCCCAATGCACTGCATGGATATGGATTGAATTTCCATAATGAATAAAAAAAATAAAGTGAGGTACTGCAGCTTTAACAGCAAATCAAGAAAGTGTATAATTGATGGTTAATTATCTCTTAATAGGCATTTCTAAAGCACTTATTCAGTCCTTATTCTACATGGCCTAATTTTATATCTAACTAACTACTAACTGACATTTCCCATGTGAGGTCATAATAGAGGTACATAAACCTAGGGGTGGGCGATATGGCCTAAAATTCATATTGCGGTATAATTTGGTGTGTGAATTTCAATATAGGTCTAGCAGGTTCTTGCAAAAAATAGTCAAGATTGTTACTTATTTATATATTAGAATCTAATATATATATTTTTTGAGTTAGAAAATCAGTTGTGAGACGAATAAAGAGACAAATGTTGTAACATACATTATTTATGTATGTTACAGTAAATACCATTCACTGTAAAGGCAATTTTTAAAAAGAAAAACATGCATTCATTTAAAATATAAAAAACTCACAAATGTTGAAATCAAAGCCTGTAGGAGTTAGACATGGCCATTATTTATAGTGTCTGAGAGTTTTGTGCAGGTACATGACTTCAGTAAAAGCTATTGTTCGTTTACAAAGCTGGTCTTGCCATTTGTTGACGCTCCCTAAGCGCTTTTCTCTGCGCTTGCAGTGAACTGGATGATTCAATGGATTTATGTTCATTAAAACAGCGCATTGGATTTGAACAATTGATGTAAATGATCATTTTGGCACAATTCATTTTGTTTAACAAAGTAGTTTTCGTGAGATATTGACCGCGGAGGTCCGAATCTGACGCTAACATTCCCAAACTTCTGCTGTGATGCTGTGGACACGGCACACGCATGGATCTATTTTGGCTCACGCTGGCGCTTCGAGCCTACGCCCCTTTGACACTGATTGGCCAAAAGGTAGACGCTTAAACTGTGATTGCTGTGTGTGTATTTACCTCTGCTGGGGCCGCTGTGACAACAATACATAGACAGAAACACGGTGTTAATGCCGTGCTGTTGTTTGCTGTTTCCAGTGGTGTCTGCTAGGCTAATGCTAGGCTAATGCTGCTGAATGCCGGTTTGTTTTGGTCCTTTCTGCTGGCGTCAGAGCCTGCGCAATTTGATGACATAATGACCTATCGCAATATGCCGGTATAACAAAAATCTCTACCGTGGGCCAAATTTATACCGCATACCGCTTATACCGTTTATATCGCCCACCCTACATAAACCTTAGCTGTAAATTACCAGAGTCAACTCAGAGAAAACACAAAAGGGAAACAGACATTTAATTAAATATCATAATCCTTTGCTCTACTGTATCGATTTAATTGCGTGTGCAAAATATTGCGATACTGAGCAGAATTGTTTATTCCCCACCACTGCTGTCATGGTGCTAAAATGCTGCCCTGCCACAACATGATGCTGCCCTACCCTTTGCACCGTGGCTGCCTCCTCAGGCTCTGACACTCACTTCTCACACTGAGCTGCACGGCGCTGCGGCCCTGCTCGCCGGCGTCCCCTGTCACCACACAGCTGTAGGAGCCAGAGTCTGCGGTGGTGGGGCTCTTCAGGACCAGGCCCAGGTCCCCCTTCTGCAGAGCATCAGACTTCATCTGCGTCCGGCCTTTGAAATGTGCGCTCTGAGCGGAGGTATCATCGACTCCGCCCTTCTGCACGTGCACCAGCTCCTCGCCTCTCATCCAGAGCACCGACACTTCACTCCCAAAGGGTCCAATAGGGCAGGGCAGCTCAACGGGGTCGGAGCCAGAAAAGGCGGAGACTTGATCGCCTGAAAGACAGGGAGGAGTGACAGAAGACAACAACTTCAACTTTTATACCTCTGCAAACACCAGGGTCCACAGTGGGGCGTCAGTAAAGTGTCAAACTGTCTTTGTGTCGTTAGGCAAGACACTTGCCTAGAATGAGTCAGGCAGCTGTGGCTACAGTAGTTTAGGAGTGAATGAACGACATGTGAAGCGTCTTTGAGAGTTTAAAAAAACGTTGTAGAAAACCAATGCATTATTCAATTTCTCAAAAAGTGAAAGCTACTCAAACAGCTGTACACATCTAGGAGACTGAACGATTTGCCCATTCCTCTTTACAAAACAGCTTCATCTCTGTCAGATTAGATGGAGAGCATTTGTGAACAACAGTTTCACCAATTGTCTCTTGGATTGAGGTCTTTGACTCTGACTGGGCCACATGCAGGTATGGACACAAATGTTTGAACTTTGAAGCTCTTTCGCTGAAGAGAGCTTTGAGAGGAAGTGTCTGTGCAAACTTCAATTTCTGTTTTCCTCTTGCTCACTCTGGAGCCGAGCGCCTTTCGATGGTGCAAGACAAAGACACTCTTTACTTTTTGAATGTTAGAATTCTCCTTCTGCCCTGTGGACATTGCAGGAGGGTCAATGGACAGTGCTGATGATCCAGCACATTAATGACATTTATGAAACTGATGGCTGTATGGCAGGCATGTCAAACTCAAACCATGTTTTAGTGGCCTCTGAAATAATTTTCAAATGTCATTATTACAGTAACTTGAAGAATTTTATGGAAATGGACTTCTTCGGCAGGTTATACTCACACTGAAAACGACCATGTAATTTAATTTGTTCTAAAATGTTAAACATGTAATTAGAAGTAAAGTTAGGCCAAAGATTTAATTTTTATATTAAACTATCGTCTCTTCTTGTCATTTGGTCCAGTTGTGGTTGAAATTTTTGGCCCCAACCATCTTCGACTAAAAAATGAGTTTGAGACCACTGCTCTATGTGTTTTTTATCATTGCATTTCTAGTTTTTTAACGGTTTGATTCTGTTTGTGTTGACGAATTCATTATTTTGGTAAGTCCTTCGAGCTGTTGCGATTTAAGACAATACAGAATAAATTGAATTGAAATGTGAATTGAACCCTACATTCTTTCTCTAATCTTAAGTTGCTTTCACGTGCGCACTGACCTGTGACCTTCAGCTCCACCGTGACTCGGGCCACCTCAGTGCTGCCCTCTCTGGTCACACACGTGAACACTCCGGCGTCCGTCATGGTGGGGTTCTGCAGAGTCAGGTCCATGTTTCCGGTCTGCAGGGCATCAGGCTTCATCTGAGTCCGGCCTTTGAACAGAGGCGCTTGTTTCCGAAAGTCATCCCCCTGAGAGACTTTGAAGTGGACTTCGTCTGATTTTTGAGTCCACAAGACCGACGGGGCAGAGCCCAGAGGCCGAGAGGGGAGAGGGAGGGTGACCGAGGAGGCTCCCACTGATACTGTGATCACTTTCTGAGCCGAGACCAAGGAGCAAGGACCAAGACCTGAGGAAGACCAGATCAGACATCAAAGAGACAAAGGAGAGACCAAAACCAGAGATATGAAATAAACCAGAGAGAGACCAGAAAAAAACCAGAGAGAGACCAGAGAGAGATCAGTGAGGGACCAGAGAGAGATCAGAGAGAGAAACCAGAGAGAGACCAGAGAGAGACACCAGAGAGAGACACCAGAGAGAGACACCAGAGAGAGACACCAGAGAGAGACCAGAGAGAGACCAGAGAGAGACCAGAGAGAGACCAGAGAGAGACACCAGAGAGAGACACCAGAGAGAGACACCAGAGAGAGACACCAGAGAGCGACACCAGAGAGCGACACCAGAGGGAGACCAGAGGGAGACCAGAGAGAGACCAGAGAGAGACCAGAGAGAGACACCAGAGAGACACCAGAGAGAGACCAGAGAGAGACACCATAGAGAGACACCAGAGAGAGACACCAGAGAGAGACACCAGAGAGAGACACCAGAGAGAGACACCAGAGAGAGACCAGAGAGAGATCAGAGAAAGACACCAGAGAGCGTGAGGCCCTTCAGTCCCTGGGAGGTTTCTAAGGTTATGTACGATTGCTATAAACAGAGCTAAAGCCCACATCAGAGGTTTTACCGTTAATGTTGTTCACTCTAATGAGCTCTCAGCCCAAAGAGTCAAATAGTGACTTACGGGGTTCTTTCTCACACAAAACATAACATGGTTTCCACAAAGTTAAAGACAGCAGGGAGTGGTCTGATTTGTTCACAACATTTTACTTTTACTACTGGACAAACTACATGTTATTTATGCTAAAGTTATAACCCCCAGCTTTAAACACGTTTTATTTGAGGCTAAAGTTACGTACCGTGTTCTTAAAGCTGGGGTGAATGAGATTATTTATTCAGCTCACAGTGGGGAAATGTCAGTGTTGCATCACAAATTACAGAACAGTAGGAAGGAGGAGCACACAGCACAAGATAAATGAACAAAAGTTCTTAACTTTATGTTTTTTTTATAAAGCTCTAACTCTAGCATAAAAAGAAGCAAGTATAAACTCTCTATCTTTAGCATAATAAGGAAATAAGTGAAAATCTCCAACTTTAGCATGACGCAGAAGTTATTTCAAGGCTAGCTTTATTCGGCTAAAGTTACATACCGCAGCTTTAATCTAAAGTGAAAGTGCTGACAGTTGTAACGGGGTCTCCCCTGACTACGCACCGCGCCCTGGGCCTCTCGTACCGGACACAGCTCTGAGGTCTGACCGCGGACTTCTCCGTGAGTTCATGTGGCTCTTACTATAGACATATCTATGGTTATTAGTAATAACCATAGATATGTCTATAGTAAGAACTTCTTACTATAGACATATCTATGGTTCTTCTTCTTACCGAACAGAAGCACGAGCCCCGCCAGCAGCGCCATGTCCGCGCGCTCACGGATGGAACGTAAAAGCACAGGCTTAAACCCGGAAGTGACACGGACAATCCACTTCCACGGTGCTTATGCTGCTTATGGTGTAGTAAGGAGATGGTCTACCCGTCAATCTAGTCTTGGGTCATTTTACTGACGTAATACCGATGACCGCTTCCTGTAACTCGAGCACAGTAAACAGCGGTAAACCATAGACTATGTACTAATATTAATACCATGTATTAATATAACGCAATATTAATACCATGTATTAATATTAATATTAATACTATTAATATTGATAATTAATAATAATGTAAATACTGTGTAAGACGAGGGGCTGGAATAAGATATAAAACGTGGTCAAATAAAGTATTACTGAACGCCCTCAGGTTCATTATGAGGACACATGCTCCATTAACACTAGATCTCCCAGAGCCGTCAATTGGACTGTTTCAACAAATGTCAGACTTTAACATACACATATTTATTTGTATTTTATTCTGTTACACGTTTGGAAACATGGATGTATGATATAAAGGTATTCTTTGGTTTTGCATTACAGATACAGAAAATGCAACAGCAGTACAAATCAAAAAGGTGGAAAACACTTGTAAGACTTTAATAATGGCTGCGCTGCTAAAACATATGTCTTTCATACAGTAGCATTTTATATGTACACAGCAATACTCACACAACATACATTTTGTCAACCAAAATATTAACATATATTAACTTAAGGACTCAACTCTCAAACTCAAGATCAAACTAAACTCTAGGTCTATATTTTATTATTTTGATAACCCATAAGATGTTCAAATCCTAAATAAAATGTGTTTATTATTGAATTGAGTCGTGCCTCAAAACTCCTAAAACAGATGAATGTCATTTGAACACCAACTATAAGGTTTTAATGTTGTAATGCAGCAGGTTGACGACTGTTTGAACTGCACACAACATGATTTATGATGAGGTGTTAGTATCTATGACTCATTCACCTTCATCTTTTATGACAACAAAGTGTCAAAATGTGAAGCTACAAAAACATGATGGAGTCAAAATAATAAGTCCATAAACTCTGCACTGACAACCACAATAAAAATAAACATTAACCACATCGTTACATAAGACGCAGGGTTTAAAAACTAGAAAAAAGTAGCGGTTTATTGCCCTGGCATTACGGTACTTCTTTCCTATACATAGTTCCTACATGACGTCACTACATACGGGGATTTGCCGACCCGGCGCCATTTGTGTTGGCATTCTGTGGGCAAAACAATAGAAAAAGAAGCTGAAACGTGTTAATGTCGTGATAAAGTTGAAAATGGTCATCTCCTGCTGGGTCAATGGATGTTCAAATCGTGCCGGAGGTTCCGTTAAACTTGGATTTTACAGTATACCCATCATTAGACTTCATGAATGTGAGAAGACTAAGCTTTTGTCAGAACAACCACGGAGGTTATGGCTTGCGAAGATAAACAGGCAAGAAACTCCCTCAAAACACGCAAGAATATGCTCGGAGCACTTTGTGTCAGGTGCGTATCGTATCTTATAATGTGTTGACAGACGTAATTTACTCAGTACTAACTTGTGTATGCTGATATCTGGTAACTTGAGAGTTTCATTATTTAGCGTTAGATTACTTTATTATGAGGAGGATCGGTGTCGCGTCCGAGGCTCTCGAGGGCAACGTAAATGTATTAAATAGATAATAATAGTTCTATGGTGGGCTAAAACAATGTTCACAAACAGCATTGCTTCTGTAAAAAGATCTGTGTCATAAAATAAACTGCTCTGTACGCCTGGAAAAATCAGTTGCCCACCATTCACCAAAACATACGGTCAAAAACGCGGAAATAAACAATAACAGCAATCCAGAGTGTCCGTGTGGCATTAGCATTAATTAAATTAATTGTTAATATAATTAAAATAATTAAATGGAGCTCCAACTGGTATTAAATCTAAAGTTTTTGAGAAATGTTTGCATTGCTTGTTAATTTGTGCTGCATAATTTGATCAAATATGTAAAACATGTCCGTAGCACGTTAAACTGTGGTGCCATTGTATTAATATACAATTATTTGCTCAAAAGTTGCCCTTTTTTTCCAATTTGCGTTTGAATATCTACATTTATTCTCATTCTTCTGTTTAATCAGAATCAGAATCAGAATCAGAATCATTTTTATTGCCACGTGAGTAACAAAGTTATCACTTGGAAATTGTTTTGGCAGAGAGCGTGCCACTTCGCCATTTGCGGCGCTGTGTGCAGCAAGAAACAGCAGAGAGCAATAACATACAGTTCACAGACAATTGGATAGACACATTGTGCTTTTTATAAACCACGGATTTTTTTCTCGGGAAGAGCACCTCTTCGGCCGGCCCAATGTAGCTGTCAGAGGGGGGCGGGATCAGGGAGGGGGTGAGTAGGAAAACAATAAGGAATGGAGGGGAGGGAGGGAGCAAGATGGATAGGTAGAGGGAGGCGGGGGTGGGGGATCCTTGCTGAAGACTGAAATAGTGTGAGTTGTTGTAGATTGTGGGACCTTGTTTATGGCCTTGGCTGAGGAATGTGAGATAAGAGTGGAGAGAAGCCACAGGAGGAGAAAAACACATCGCCTGCAATGTCGCAGTCAAAAGCAGGCAGATATTCTATTAATTCCAATTAAACCGAATTCCGGTGCCCTCAGACCTCCGTACACAGGGGCAAATCCAAGCCGGGTCAGAGAGATCAAGCCTGACAAACAATGTCATTCAATCCAAAGTCTTATGTCCATCAAGTGAACGAGCTGCGAGGTCTTTGATCAACTGTTCCACCAAAACCACCCTTCTTTGTCCAGACACGGCACTCTCAACCACGACACGGCTAAGCTCCTTGTACATCCCATCAATTTTATCGGCCAGCAGGTCGTGAATCTTGCGAACTGCCATGCCTCCGAATTTGTGGTAGAAGAGGATCGCTCCAAACCCAAACAGGAGGATTCCCACCACCAAAATGCCAAAGATATATACGTCTTCCGAATCTTCAATGGACAGGGTCGACAGACAGAGGGGCTGAAACTTGTTCCAGCTGTCAAGAGTATACCCCGCTGGTGAAGTCCCGTCCGGACACACGGGCTCTCCAGACCCACGCTTACGTGTTGAAAAGATAGAATCAATTGCGTTGAGGGACCAATTAATCATTTCCATTCTGTTAATGGAATGCACAAACACAGCAGCGTGCCATCAAAGATGGCGTCTCCGAGGAGGTCATGTGACATTCATTGGTCTGTGGGAACTATGTATAGATTTGTATTGGCACTAGCTGAAATACTGAAACATAATCCTACAACATGAACACAGCTTGTTTATTTATTTGTCATATTTAGCATTTGTATTTGAGATTTGTAGGTAAGAAGCAGAGTACTTTAAGGCGTCCCCCACTCGCCCCTCCTACCCCCACCCCTCCCTCCTGGTTCAGGTCTTGGCCCCTCCTCCTCCTGGCTCTAAAAGCTCCTGTCTTTACTCGGTCCCTTCAGGTCTCGGCTCTGGCTCTTGTTCTCACGCTGGAGTAGACCACATCTGGGTCCGACCACTGACCTGTAGCAAGAGAGCAAATAACAAAGTCAAACATTAGACAACTTAGAGCTAATTTAATTTCTGGTCTGAGCGGAGCCTGTGGGGCCTTTGATGTGGCAGAGCTCAGAGCAACACGGAGAGACTGAACTCAGAAGTAAGGGCTCATCTCTTTTATTAGACGGTTTTGGATCAATGCAAGATTTTCAATGTTCTGAATATGTTCTGAATGTTCTGACTTAGCCCCAGGGGGCGCTGTGGAGCTGTGTGTTACCATTGGAGTCGTCTTTTCTCTTTTTCTTCTTCTTGGGGTTGAGAGTCACTTCTCCGTACGTCACCTCCTCTCCTGAAAAAAAGTATTTGAACTAAATGTAAAAAGTTCATTTTGTCAGAACAGGTACTCCCATATTGCCAGCCGTTTCTGATGGTTTTTACTGATTTTTAAAGACCCACAGAATATTGTGTACTATGACTATCTGAAATCCGACACCAGATTCTAAAAGAATGGACTGTCTTCTTTCCTCAGCAAAAATAATTTTGTTTATAGCTTTTTTCGTTCCCCTGTAATCCTCCGTCGAGTAGAGGGAAGTTTTACTGAAATCACCAGAAAGTTGAGAAAAAAGAGGCACAACATGTGCACCTAACTGTTTTCAAACCATTCAGAGAGCAATGCTGCCACCTGCTGGCTCGATAAAATATGGTCTCAAGTCATCCCCATACATATTAGATACAATAGACATCTGGGAACGTGAAAATAGCGAAAAAGGCATTTGATTTATTAATGCGTCAATGGCACAAAATGAGGGTTAGCAGATGTCGGTGTCTCAGACTCTGCTTGTTGGGTGCCAAATAAGAAGCCGACTGAAACCAGTAATGTGTTTAAAGTGCAGTTCCTCTCTTTCTGTAAATTGTTTTAGATGTAAACAAACAATTAAAGGATTCCTTAAAAATAGATGAACAACAACGATATATCTGTGTTTGCTGAAGGAAGATGCTCTGTTATATTTATGTGAGAAGATGAAACGTTTGAGCTTGAACCTACATTTGGAACGTGAATCAAGTATTGCTCTTCAGAAGCTGCAATTATTATATTTGTCCACTAGATGTCAGTGTTATCAGCGAGTCTGCGCTAATCCAGAGGCTTCACACATTTGAAACAGTCTGGGAATGATCGCCTCCGTGTGCTACAGGGCTTCATATGTCCAGTTATTGCTAAGAAAGCCCTTTTTTAATACCATTTGGTACGACATATCTTTAAGAGGATTTCTTTTTGAGAAAACAAAGAAAAGAAACAGACTTTGCTGTGAAATTCACATGAGAGTGGCACTTGGTGAAGGCACGTCTGAACTGGCCTCTCAAAGGCAACAACAGAAGTCACTGATTTGTTGTGAATTCATGCATTGTGTTGCTTTTGTTCTTTCACGGCTCATCTTCTGCACCAGTAAAAACATATCTATGAAAAGAACACCATAAAAAAAAGGTATATATTTATTTCATTTTTCACTCAAGAGGGGTTCTGTGAATGCGTATTTGAAACTGGTGGGGTTGTGTTCCTCCAAGGTTCAGAACCACTGCACAACTGCAACATGACAGTTCTTTATTCAAAGTCTGAAGAAAACTTTTGTGGATTGTGTGCATCGCAGTGATTTGGCTTGAATTATCAGGGATCGCACCTCCGCAGCCGTGAGTTCAGGTGGTTAGAAAAGTATAAAAAATGCACTGCTGATGATGTCACAGTTTGAGGATTCCCCACAGAGTAACGAGTTTGAACACAAGCATTGATGGTAATGGGCTACTATGGCATGTTATACTTTGTTTTCTCACAAATAAAACATAATGGAATTTTTTTACTAAAATGGGATTAAAAGTCAAGTTAGGCCAAAGTTTTCTTTTTCTTTTTTTAACTCCATCCATCCATTTTCTTCCACTTTGTCCATTTCTGGGTCAGAGATTCTATCCTTTATTGATATTTGGCCCAGTTGTGATTTAATCTAAACCTACTAGAAAATAATATACAAAATCATGTCAAATAAAAAAAAAGGATACTGAAGGTAAGACACTTCTGGCCCAACCAGTTCTTATGTTTATAAAGTTGGCCCCCATTCAAAATGAGTTTGACTCCCCTAGTTTACAGAAGCGGTTGTGGGACGTTCCTCATGGTCGTGTGGATGGAGCTAAATGCAACTGTTGGAACGCAGAGAAAATACAGTAATGTGTGTGTATGTAAACATGGGTGTACCACAAGGGTGTGTTTTGGGCTCATTGTTATTCAGATAAGTGTTGAAACAGTGAAAGGAGTAAAAATACATAAACACTGCACCTTTGGGATGAGTTTTGACTCCAGAGTAAATGGTTTCCTCCACATGTTGACCAGGTGGTGGCGCTGCTGAGACACACAATTCGAAGAGTGAAGTCAAATGTTCAGTTCATCAAGCAAATAGAAGTGACAAATTATAGAAATACAGCAACAATGCAAATCAATATTTACAAGAGATTGATGCGGATAAGTGTGTGTGTGTGTGTTTGTGTGCGTGCGTGCTTATGCGTGTGTGAGTGTGTGTAGGTCACTGTTATTGCTGGAAAGTGTGTGGAAATTTTATTGATGTTTGCAACAGTGCGAGGACTTTCTTTAATTTTGTTTTCGGGTGTGTGTGATGGTGTAGTTGTGTTGCATAAAAAATCAAGGTGTGTGTGTCTGGTCAAAGTCTCCTGTTTTGCAAAAGACGAGAGCGCGACCTCCTGCCGCGAGTTGGTTGGTTCCAGGCAGGGCCACGTTCTGTCTGCCCTGTTTCCATACTTTGGTCAGTTGGTGTGTGTGACGTCAGTTGGTGTGTGTGTCATCAGAAGGTGTGTGTGACGTCAGTTGGTGTGTGTGACGTCAGTTGGTGTGTGTGACGTCAGATTCAGAGGTTTTTTTACTGGCATTTGCAGTAAAAAAACCACATTGGAATACATTAGCAAAAGTCTCCAGTGTGCACAGACAAATACAGACATAAAACAACATAGTCAGTTGGTGTTTGTGATGGTGTGTGTGTGACGTCAGTTGGTGTGAGTGACGTCAGTTGGTGTGAGTGATGTCAGTTGGTGTGAGTGACGTCAGTTGGTGTGTGTGTGACGTCAGTGTGTGTGTGTGACGTCAGTTGGTGTGTGTGTGACGTCAGTTGGTGTGTGTGTGACGTCAGTTGGTGTGTGTGTGACGTCAGTTGGTGTGTGTGACGTCAGTTGGTGTGTGTGATGTCAGTTGGTGTGTGTGTGACTTCAGTTGGTGTGTGGCGTCAGTTGGTGTGAGTGACGTCAGTTGGTGTGAGTGACGTCAGTTGGTGTTTGTGACCTCAGTTGGTGTGTGTGTGACGTCAGTTGGTGTGTGTGATGTCAGTTGGTGTGTGTGTGACGTCGGTTGGTGTGTGTGTGACGTCAGTTGGTGTGTGTGATGTCAGTTGGTGTGTGTGACGTCAGTTGGTGTGTGTGACGTCAGTTGGTGTGTGTGACGTCAGTTGGTGTGTGTGTGACGTCAGTGTGTGTGACGTCAGTTGGTGTGTGTGTGACGTCAGTTGGTGTTTGTGACGTCAGTTGGTGTGTGTGACGTCAGTTGGTGTGTGTGACGTCAGTTGGTGTGTGTGTGACTTCAGTTGGTGTGTGGCGTCAGTTGGTGTGAGTGACGTCAGTTGGTGTGTGTGACGTCAGTTGGTGTTTGTGACCTCAGTTGGTGTGTGTATGACGTCAGTTGGTGTGTGTGTGATGTCAGTTGGTGTGTGTGATGTCAGTTGGTGTGTGTGTGACGTCGGTTGGTGTGTGTGTGACGTCAGTTGGTGTGTGTGATGTCAGTTGGTGTGTGTGACGTCAGTTGGTGTGTGTGACGTCAGTTGGTGTGTGTGACGTCAGTTGGTGTGTGTGACGTCAGTTGGTGTGTGTGTGACGTCAGTGTGTGTGTGTGACGTCAGTTGGTGTGTGTGACGTCAGTTGGTGTTTGTGACGTCAGTTGGTGTGTGTGACGTCAGTTGGTGTGTGTGACGTCAGTTGGTGTGTGTGACGTCAGTTGGTGTGTGTGACGTCAGTTGGTGTTTGTGACGTCAGTTGGTGTGTGTGTGACGTCAGTTGGTGTGTGTGTGACGTCAGTTGGTGTGTGTGTGATGTCAGTTGGTGTGTGTGTGACGTCAGTTGGTGTGTGTGACGTCAGTTGGTGTGTGTGACGTCAGTTGGTGTGTGTGACGTCAGTTGGTGTGTGACGTCAGTTGGTGTGTGGCGTCAGTTGGTGTGTGTGACGTCAGTTGGTGTGTGTGACTTCAGTTGGTGTGTGTGTGGCGTCAGTTGGTGTGTGTGGTCAGTTGGTATGTGTGACGTCAGTTGGTGTGTGTGACGTCAGTTGGTGTGTGTGACATCAGTTGGTGTGTGTGATGTCAGTCGGTGTGTGTGTGACGTCAGTTGGTGTGTGTGTGACGCCAGTGGGTGTGTGTGTGACGTCAGTTGGTGTGTGTGTTTGACGTCAGTTGGTGTGTGTGACGTCAGTTGGTGTGTGTGACGTCAGTTGGTGTGTGTGACTTCAGTTGGTGTGTGGCGTCAGTTGGTGTGTGTGACATCAGTTGGTGTGTGTGATGTCAGTCGGTGTGTGTGTGACGTCAGTCGGTGTGTGTGTGTGACGTCAGTTGGTGTGTGTGTGACGTCAGTTGGTGTGTGACGTCAGTTGGTGTGTGTGTGACGTCAGTTGGTGTGTGACGTCAGTTGGTGTGTGTGACGTCAGTTGGTGTGTGTGACGTCAGTTGGTGTGTGTGACGTCAGTTGGTGTGTGTGGCGTCAGTTGGTGTGTGTGTCATCAGAAGGTGTGTGTGGCGTCAGTTGGTGTGTGTGACGTCAGTTGGTTTGGTTACGTCAGTTGGTGTGTGTGACGTCAGTTGGTGTTTGTGACGTCAGTTGGTGTGTGTGACGTCAGTTGGTGTGTGTGACGTCAGTTGGTGTGTGTGACGTCAGTTGGTGTGTGTGACGTCAGTTGGTGTGTGTGACGTCAGTTGGTGTGTGTGTGACGTCAGTTGGTGTGTGTGTGACGTCAGTTGGTGTGTGTGTGATGTCAGTTGGTGTGTGTGTGACGTCAGTTGGTGTGTGTGACGTCAGTTGGTGTGTGTGACGTCAGTTGGTGTGTGTGACGTCAGTTGGTGTGTGTGACGTCAGTTGGTGTGTGGCGTCAGTTGGTGTGTGTGACGTCAGTTGGTGTGTGTGACTTCAGTTGGTGTGTGTGTGGCGTCAGTTGGTGTGTGTGGTCAGTTGGTATGTGTGACGTCAGTTGGTGTGTGTGACGTCAGTTGGTGTGTGTGACATCAGTTGGTGTGTGTGATGTCAGTCGGTGTGTGTGTGACGTCAGTTGGTGTGTGTGTGACGCCAGTGGGTGTGTGTGTGACGTCAGTTGGTGTGTGTGTTTGACGTCAGTTGGTGTGTGTGACGTCAGTTGGTGTGTGTGACGTCAGTTGGTGTGTGTGACGTCAGTTGGTGTGTGTGACTTCAGTTGGTGTGTGGCGTCAGTTGGTGTGTGTGACATCAGTTGGTGTGTGTGATGTCAGTCGGTGTGTGTGTGACGTCAGTCGGTGTGTGTGTGTGACGTCAGTTGGTGTGTGTGACGTCAGTTGGTGTGTGTGACGTCAGTTGGTGTTTGTGACGTCAGTTGGTGTGTGTGTGACGTCAGTTGGTGTGTGTGACGTCAGTTGGTGTGTGTGTGATGTCAGTTGGTGTGTGTGTGACGTCAGTTGGTGTGTGTGACGTCAGTTGGTGTGTGTGACGTCAGTTGGTGTGTGTGACGTCAGTTGGTGTGTGTGACGTCAGTTGGTGTGTGGCGTCAGTTGGTGTGTGTGACGTCAGTTGGTGTGTGTGACTTCAGTTGGTGTGTGTGTGGCGTCAGTTGGTGTGTGTGGTCAGTTGGTATGTGTGACGTCAGTTGGTGTGTGTGACGTCAGTTGGTGTGTGTGACATCAGTTGGTGTGTGTGATGTCAGTCGGTGTGTGTGTGACGTCAGTTGGTGTGTGTGTGACGCCAGTGGGTGTGTGTGTGACGTCAGTTGGTGTGTGTGTTTGACGTCAGTTGGTGTGTGTGACGTCAGTTGGTGTGTGTGTGACGTCAGTTGGTGTGTGTGACTTCAGTTGGTGTGTGGCGTCAGTTGGTGTGTGTGATGTCAGTCGGTGTGTGTGTGACGTCAGTCGGTGTGTGTGTGTGACGTCAGTTGGTGTGTGTGTGACGTCAGTTGGTGTGTGACGTCAGTTGGTGTGTGTGTGACGTCAGTTGGTGTGTGTGACGTCAGTTGGTGTGTGTGACGTCAGTTGGTGTGTGTGACGTCAGTTGGTGTGTGTGACGTCAGTTGGTGTGTGTGACGTCAGTTGGTGTGTGTGACGTCAGTTGGTGTGTGTGACGTCAGTTGGTGTGTGTGGCGTCAGTTGGTGTGTGTGTCATCAGAAGGTGTGTGTGGCGTCAGTTGGTGTGTGTGACGTCAGTTGGTTTGGTTACGTCAGTTGGTGTGTGTGACGTCAGTTGGTGTTTGTGACGTCAGTTGGTGTGTGTGACGTCAGTTGGTGTGTGTGACGTCAGTTGGTGTGTGTGACGTCAGTTGGTGTGTGTGACGTCAGTTGGTGTGTGTGTGACGTCAGTTGGTGTGTGTGTGACGTCAGTTGGTGTGTGTGTGATGTCAGTTGGTGTGTGTGTGACGTCAGTTGGTGTGTGTGACGTCAGTTGGTGTGTGTGACGTCAGTTGGTGTTTGTGACGTCAGTTGGTGTGTGTGACGTCAGTTGGTGTGTGTGACGTCAGTTGGTGTGTGTGACGTCAGTTGGTGTGTGTGACGTCAGTTGGTGTGTGTGTGACGTCAGTTGGTGTGTGTGTGACGTCAGTTGGTGTGTGTGTGATGTCAGTTGGTGTGTGTGTGACGTCAGTTGGTGTGTGTGACGTCAGTTGGTGTGTGTGACGTCAGTTGGTGTGTGTGACGTCAGTTGGTGTGTGTGACGTCAGTTGGTGTGTGGCGTCAGTTGGTGTGTGTGACGTCAGTTGGTGTGTGTGACTTCAGTTGGTGTGTGTGTGGCGTCAGTTGGTGTGTGTGGTCAGTTGGTATGTGTGACGTCAGTTGGTGTGTGTGACGTCAGTTGGTGTGTGTGACATCAGTTGGTGTGTGTGATGTCAGTCGGTGTGTGTGTGACGTCAGTTGGTGTGTGTGTGACGCCAGTGGGTGTGTGTGTGACGTCAGTTGGTGTGTGTGTTTGACGTCAGTTGGTGTGTGTGACGTCAGTTGGTGTGTGTGACGTCAGTTGGTGTGTGTGACGTCAGTTGGTGTGTGTGACTTCAGTTGGTGTGTGGCGTCAGTTGGTGTGTGTGACATCAGTTGGTGTGTGTGATGTCAGTCGGTGTGTGTGTGACGTCAGTTGGTGTGTGTGTGTGACGTCAGTTGGTGTGTGTGACGTCAGTTGGTGTGTGTGACGTCAGTTGGTGTTTGTGACGTCAGTTGGTGTGTGTGTGACGTCAGTTGGTGTGTGTGACGTCAGTTGGTGTGTGTGTGATGTCAGTTGGTGTGTGTGTGACGTCAGTTGGTGTGTGTGACGTCAGTTGGTGTGTGTGACGTCAGTTGGTGTGTGTGACGTCAGTTGGTGTGTGTGACGTCAGTTGGTGTGTGTGACGTCAGTTGGTGTGTGTGACGTCAGTTGGTGTGTGGCGTCAGTTGGTGTGTGTGACGTCAGTTGGTGTGTGTGACTTCAGTTGGTGTGTGTGTGGCGTCAGTTGGTGTGTGTGGTCAGTTGGTATGTGTGACGTCAGTTGGTGTGTGTGACGTCAGTTGGTGTGTGTGACATCAGTTGGTGTGTGTGATGTCAGTCGGTGTGTGTGTGACGTCAGTTGGTGTGTGTGTGACGCCAGTGGGTGTGTGTGTGACGTCAGTTGGTGTGTGTGTTTGACGTCAGTTGGTGTGTGTGACGTCAGTTGGTGTGTGTGACGTCAGTTGGTGTGTGTGACTTCAGTTGGTGTGTGGCGTCAGTTGGTGTGTGTGATGTCAGTCGGTGTGTGTGTGACGTCAGTCGGTGTGTGTGTGTGACGTCAGTTGGTGTGTGTGTGACGTCAGTTGGTGTGTGACGTCAGTTGGTGTGTGTGTGACGTCAGTTGGTGTGTGACGTCAGTTGGTGTGTGTGACGTCAGTTGGTGTGTGTGACGTCAGTTGGTGTGTGTGACGTCAGTTGGTGTGTGTGACGTCAGTTGGTGTGTGTGACGTCAGTTGGTGTGTGTGACGTCAGTTGGTGTGTGTGACGTCAGTTGGTGTGTGTGGCGTCAGTTGGTGTGTGTGTCATCAGAAGGTGTGTGTGGCGTCAGTTGGTGTGTGTGACGTCAGTTGGTTTGGTTACGTCAGTTGGTGTGTGTGACGTCAGTTGGTGTTTGTGACGTCAGTTGGTGTGTGTGACGTCAGTTGGTGTGTGTGACGTCAGTTGGTGTGTGTGACGTCAGTTGGTGTGTGTGACGTCAGTTGGTGTTTGTGACGTCAGTTGGTGTGTGTGTGACGTCAGTTGGTGTGTGTGTGACGTCAGTTGGTGTGTGTGTGATGTCAGTTGGTGTGTGTGTGACGTCAGTTGGTGTGTGTGACGTCAGTTGGTGTGTGTGACGTCAGTTGGTGTGTGTGACGTCAGTTGGTGTGTGTGACTTCAGTTGGTGTGTGGCGTCAGTTGGTGTGTGTGACATCAGTTGGTGTGTGTGATGTCAGTCGGTGTGTGTGTGACGTCAGTCGGTGTGTGTGTGTGACGTCAGTTGGTGTGTGTGTGACGTCAGTTGGTGTGTGTGTGACGTCAGTTGGTGTGTGTGACGTCAGTTGGTGTGTGTGACGTCAGTTGGTGTGTGTGACGTCAGTTGGTGTGTGTGACGTCAGTTGGTGTGTGTGACGTCAGTTGGTGTGTGTGACATCAGTTGGTGTGTGTGATGTCAGTCGGTGTGTGTGTGACGTCAGTTGGTGTGTGTGTGACGCCAGTGGGTGTGTGTGTGACGTCAGTTGGTGTGTGTGTTTGACGTCAGTTGGTGTGTGTGACGTCAGTTGGTGTGTGTGACGTCAGTTGGTGTGTGTGACGTCAGTTGGTGTGTGTGACTTCAGTTGGTGTGTGGCGTCAGTTGGTGTGTGTGACATCAGTTGGTGTGTGTGATGTCAGTCGGTGTGTGTGTGACGTCAGTCGGTGTGTGTGTGTGACGTCAGTTGGTGTGTGTGTGACGTCAGTTGGTGTGTGTGTGACGTCAGTTGGTGTGTGTGACATCAGTTGGTGTGTGTGATGTCAGTCGGTGTGTGTGTGACGTCAGTTGGTGTGTGTGTGACGCCAGTGGGTGTGTGTGTGACGTCAGTTGGTGTGTGTGTTTGACGTCAGTTGGTGTGTGTGACGTCAGTTGGTGTGTGTGACGTCAGTTGGTGTGTGTGACGTCAGTTGGTGTGTGTGACTTCAGTTGGTGTGTGGCGTCAGTTGGTGTGTGTGACATCAGTTGGTGTGTGTGATGTCAGTCGGTGTGTGTGTGACGTCAGTCGGTGTGTGTGTGTGACGTCAGTTGGTGTGTGTGTGACGTCAGTTGGTGTGTGTGTGACGTCAGTTGGTGTGTGTGACGTCAGTTGGTGTGTGTGACGTCAGTTGGTGTGTGTGACGTCAGTTGGTGTGTGTGACGTCAGTTGGTGTGTGTGACGTCAGTTGGTGTGTGTGACGTCAGTTGGTGTGTGTGACGTCAGTTGGTTGTGTGTGACGTCAGTTGGTGTGTGTGACGTCAGTTGGTTGTGTGTGACGTCAGTTGGTGTGTGTGACGTCAGTTGGTTGTGTGTGACGTCAGTTGGTGTGTGTGACGTCAGTTGGTGTGTGTGACGTGCGTCTGTCTGCGCCAGTGATATAAACCCATCCAAGTCTCACATGCCCCAGCAGCAGGTTGGGGTATTCTGGCGATCTAGTGGATTAGAATGAATTTACATGAGTTGACAACCACTACTGCTGAGATAATTCTGTGGATTAGGTTCAGGTGTGTAGCTCTACAATAATCTTAGTGTGTAAACTGGTGTGTAAACTATTGCTTTAAGCAGCAACGACAACTGTCAATCACAGCCCAGACCACACCCAACTCTAAGCCCCCCTTCTTGTCCCTTGGTTCTCCAGGCAACACCCTTTTAATGTTCAAATGTTCTTGTGGGCGGAGTCAGGCTGGGGACCGGTGTTTAGTCGCTCCTTAAGGATCTTCAGCATCCTCACCCTGCCACTATATGTTACGTTTATTTTATTTTTCAACCGATAGGACTGTCAGCAGAAATCGTGGCAGTGGTCAGTGTGAGTGTAATGGTCAGGTCCCCCAGTGCGTACCTCTTCTACCCCCTCTCACTGTGATGTCGGCATAAGTCACATCTTTTTCTGGATCTGAGAATCACAAAAAAAGTCACTTCCAGTTAAAACAGCTCTTCATTATCAGTTTCCACAGACCTGCTCGAGTCCGTCTTCTGTGCAAAACCAGGACTAGGACGAGGACCAGGACCAGAACCAGCAGGACCAGACCACCCAGCAGAAATGGGGTGAAGCCAGTAGGAGCACCACTGGGTTCTGGAGAAGACAGAGCAGAAGAGCTAGGAGACAAGGAGGTAGGAGGCGAGGAGGTAGGAGTGGTTGTGGGCCGCACTGAAAAAGAGAGAAGTCTCACATTTGTCCTGTTTATACTTGTACCATTCTTTAAACCCTTAAGCTGGTTTTACCCTCGACTTTTATTTCATTCCATCAGAGAGAAATTATTTTTTTGACATTCCTCAATTTTAATCCTCATGAGACAATCAGACCGTTCAAGACTCAGGACGAGATAGAACCTGATGGCCTATTCTCTCTATTCCAAGACCTTTTATACTTGTTTCCTTATTCTGCTAAAGTTAGAGATTTTATACTTACTTCTTTATTCTGCTAAAGTTAGAGATTATATACTTACTTCTTTATTCTGCTAAAGTTAGAGATTATATACTTACTTCTTTATTCTGCTAAAGTTAGAGATTATATACTTACTTCTTTATTCTGCTAAAGTTAGAGATTATATACTTACTTATTTATTCTGCTAAAGTTAGAGATTATATACTTACTTATTTATTCTGCTAAAGTTAGAGATTATATACTTACTTCTTTATTCTGTTAAAGGCCTCCTCACCTGTGACCTGGAGCCTTCTCATCTCAGACTCTTCACTTCCATCTCTGCAGCTGTATTCTCCTTCATCTTTCTTCTCCACAGTGAAAGTCCACTCAGAGCTGTTCTGTACGACGAGGCCATCCTTCAGCAGGACCGGACCAGAGCCAGACTCGGTCCCAGGCTTGGTCCTACAGCTCAGAGTGATGCTGGATCCCTCTTCTACAGACGGTCCAGGAAGGTCCAGGATCAGGTTTTTACCTACGAAGCAAAAACACAGACTGTAGTTTACGTTCAACGTCAACTTGAACATTTACATTGTTGTTGTTCTTGAATACACAAAGTCATGTCCAGAAGGAGCTTTGGGGCCTGTTCACACTTGGTCTACTGGATTCAAAACAAATGCAGCCGTCGTCATGACGTCCGTGATCCGGTTCAAAGTGAACTTCACTGAGTCGATAGTGGACCAGGGTTCACTTGTTTGGTGCTTTCACATCTCAGCAAATGTGATCACAGCCGTCATGGATGACTCTGGTCTGAACCATCCCTCCACGATGACACTGCTCTGAGTCTGCAGTGAGGCCTGTGACAGGGAGGGGGCGCTCTGCTGCAGCCTAACCTTTACAGACTGTTTATAATTAGTAGATTAACGAGTGTGATGTCACTATAGTGTTTGCAGAATGCGGAAGAAGCCGATTTGAACATAAGCCAGCTGGAGCAAATTTCCCTATATGGGTAATGTCCGGTGGAGACAGGGGCAGACGTGTTGCTAACATGGTTGCTAAGGCAAGCCGGAGTTTCCCCTGTGAATGAAGGCATCTGGGGGGTACATTTACACACAGACAATATCACAATATAAACCCAAAATGTACTGACACAAACTGTTACTGAGCTTGTTTACTGTTCAATGTAAGCCAGTTACACTGCAAAAAGTCCCTTGCAAGAAACAAGACAATAAAACCTCAAAAGAGGACAATTCTGCAGACTTTTTTCCTTGTCTAGAATTCTTGTTTTAAGATTTTTTTGCTAATGTATAATGGGAAAAACAAGAACATATTTCTTGATTTAAGCAATTTTCTCCCAATAAAAAGGTCAGATATAAGTAAAATATTCTTATTATTGGATAATTTTAGCAAATAATGCTTAAATAAATGTTTGATTAAGGATAAATTTGCTTGTTTTATGCTCTTTTTGCAGCCTTTTTCTACTTGTAGACTGGTTTTAAGCAAAATTGGCTTAATAAGAAAAATAATATAAGCAATACAAAATTTTTTATCAAACAAGTGAACACAAATGCGAAGGACAGGTTAACACGGTTTATTAACAGGAATAAAGGTTGGGCTGGTAGGGTGGGCCAGAGCAGGAGCAGCAGCAGGAGCAGGAGCAGGAGTGAAGTGGCTGCAACTGGCACAAGTTTCTGAGATCAGCACAAAACATGAGATCAGACGAGGGCATCAAAAACTTAGCAAAAATAGCAAAAGCCCTGAGGTGTTGTCTCACGATGTAGACTGAGGACCTGACAGAGGACTGAGGAAATGCCCAGGCTTAAATGATTAGATATGAGGGGCAGGTGTGCAGGACAGGAACAGGGAGCAGGAACAGCCACGCCCACAGCCACGCCCACAACAGCAGGAACAGCCACGCCCATAGCCACGCCCACAGCAGCAGGAACAGGAGGGAGGGGGTGAGGAGCTCACAATGAGCTCAAACCAAAACAATATCAGATGCTAATGTGGACTATACTCCATATCACAGGTTTGTACAAACATGTAACATATGTGTCCATTAAATATGATGTTGGAGACGTGCATCACGTGCACGAGGCCAATAATGTTGTATTGTGTCAGTGTCACAGGTGTCTGTGGTTCCTCTGATGCAGGAGGGTCTAAGGACTGTGATGATCTGGGACATTTAAGGACATTTATTAACATTTCTGCTCCGTATACGGCTCCATGCGTTTGTTATTATTGCATTTACTGTGTTCGACGTGTATGATTCTACACTCAAAAAAATATTTGTTAAATGAACGTAATAAAATTATAGACATAATTTCCACCCAAAACAAATGTGTTTCTATAGCAGTAATGAATTGTGTGGACTTGACCCCATGTGAAGATGTGGGATTAACATGATTTAATCTGGTTTGTGTAACTTCATAACTTTGGTTTGATCCAACCAGAACAACCTGTGGTGAACATGAACATATTGTGTTTATTTAGAAATAGTTATAATGACTATTGAGTTAAATCCTCCTCGGCAACTGCTGCTGTGGGTTTGGACGATTCACAAATACAATGAAGTGAAACTACATTGAATTCAATGGAATAGATCCTTTTTTTTATTTTAAGATTTCTTGTTTTCTTATTTATTCTTGAATCAAAGAGGAGAATAACTAAGTAGTTGTTGCTTGTTTTGGGTCCAACTATTCTATTACTTCAATTATCTATCAATTCTAAGCAAGTAAAAAAACTCTTGAAATAAGAATAAAAACCTTGTTTTTTGTATAAAAAGAAAAAAAATCTTGTCTAGCAAAATTTCCTTGAATAAAATTCTTATTTTAAGAAATTAATTCTAGCTTTTTCTTATTAAGAAAAAAATGCTTAAAAAAGTAATATTTGGACCCAAATCATATTTAATGGACACATATGTTACATGTTTGTACAAACCTGTGATATGGAGTATAGTCCACATTAGCATCTGATATTGTTTTGGTTTGAGCTCACTATGAGCTCCTCACCCCCTCCCTCCTGGTCCTGCTGCTGTGGGCGTGACTGTGGGCGTGGCGGTGGGCGTGGCTGTTCCTCCTCCCTGTTCCTGTCCTGCACACCTAAAGCCTGGTTCACACGGCAGGATATTTAGGCCGATTTAGACCCGATTTACCCCTTACGACAATCTTAAGAAACGCTCCGATTTCCGTAACAAAATCTTACAGATTATCCTGCCGTGTGTGGTGTGTTAAGACTGCACTCGTCGCTCGGAAGGACATCGGGACTGCTCCCGATCTCAAATCGGGGATATCCAACATGTTGGATTGTTTTGGCCCGATTTCTTGTCGTGTGTGGTGTCCTCCGAGGACAAGCGAGCGCGTTGCCATGACTACGGCGTGTAGCCAATAAGAAGACGAGGTGACAAGCCGGTGAGGAAACACCGGAAAAAAAACAAAACACAGCAGCATGGCTTTGACCATTGCCTTTTCTTTGGATTACGTGTCTTCTCTGTTAACAACAAACTGCACACTATCGCCACTGCATTCTCTTCGTCCGCCATGACTGTTTACTCTGAAGTCACGCTTGATCTCGAGAGATTTTGTGAGATCGCCGTCTGACCTGGGAATGCTCGGGGGGGGGTGTCGGTTCGTGTGTGATGTTTGTGGCTTGCGTGATCTTGCCGTGTGGCTACGCACCACACACTGCACAACCAAAGTGGTTAGACGCAGGATTTTTAATCTCCCCGTGTGGGGTCTAACACGGAGAAAAATTGGCCGACAATTTTAAAATCGTCTCGTGTGAACCAGGCTTAACCCTCATATCTAATCCTCTCTTTGTTTAAGCCTGGGCATTTCCTCAGTCCTCTGTCAGGTCCTCAGTCTACATCGGGAGACAACACCTCAGGGCTTTTGCTATTTTTGCTAAGTTTTTGATGCCCTCGTCTGATCTCATGTTTTGTGCTGATCTCAGAAACTTGTGCCAGTTGCAGCCACTTCACTCCTGCTCCTGCTCCTCCTCCTGCTTCTACTCTTCCTCCTGCTTCTACTCCTGCCCAATACCAGCCCAACCTTCATTCCTGTTAATATACCGTGTTAACCTGTCCTTTGCATTTGTGTTCACTTCTTTGATAAAAACATTTGTATTGCTTATATTATTTTTCTTATTAAGCCAATTTTGCTTAAAACCAGTCTACAACTAGAAAAAGGCTGCAAAAAGAGCATAAAACAAGCAAATTTATCCTTAATCAAACATCTATTTAAGCATTATTTGCAAAAATTATCCAATAATAAGAATATTTTGCTTATATCTGACCTTTTTATTGGGAGAAAATTGCTTAAATCAAGAAATATGTTCTTGTTTTTCCCATTATACATTAGCCAAAAAAAATCTTAAAACAAGAATTCTAGACAAGGAAAAAAGTCTTACCCCATTGGCAGATTTTTTTGCTTAATATAAGCAGAATTGTCTTCTTTTGAGGTTTTATTGTCTTGTTTCTTGCAAGGGACTTTTTGCAGTGTAGAGTTGACTTCATCAAGGTGGTGGCATTTTGGAAAATGTTTATTGTTCATAAAGATTTCAAAAAGCTGTTAGGTTGAGAGTGGTATTTTGAGATCAGGGAAAATACCTTCCACACCAGTCTCACGATGAAAATCTTTAGTTGAAACACAATGTGGGATAGAAATAAATTACTGATTCTCAAATTTATAGAGAATACTTTTTAGCAATGGTCCTCGGTTATGAACTGTATTATACATTCGATGATCAAGATGGGCACAGCTTAAGTTTACCAGTCATGAAATTCTGCACTGTGTTTTCCAATTTTACCCTTTCAAACGACTGGTGGCATACAGTTTTCTCAGTGGAATATGAGGCTCCAGATTCATCGTTTTAGAAACAGAGCAATCTAATGAATGGGCTCAAGAACTTGTCAGATTCGTCTCAACAATAAAAACAGGCTTTCTTCAACATTTTCTGATCCACTTTTATGGATTTCTCTTCTCGAAAGACATGCCTTAATCATCTTCATCTCCGGTCCGTAAAGGATTCAGATTTGCGGTGCGTTTTCTTGTGCTTCTGCCTCAATTCCCGCGTTCCCCGCGGGTTGCTTATCCCGCTGCATTCTCCCCACATGCCCAGTGTTAGGACCCCGTCCCTTCAGTCCTCCTGTCTGTGTTCGCAGAATGTTCCGGAGGTCGGCTTTTCGCGACGGTCAGCGGTATAAGAGGTCCGCATCTTAACCATATATGCTCGCGTGCATCGGCGCCGATGCACGCGCACATGTTTACAAAAATGATCAACTTTCTCAGCGAACGGTAAAGTAGCTACTTAGTTTTTTTCCTCTGTGAGAAACGTAATCAGGGCTTTCGAGGAAACTAGTTTTTGATTTGTCTGTGCGATGCACGGAGGAATGAAACTACGTTTGTCTGCAAGTCTGTGTCCAAGCGTGACCCTTGAGGTACAAACAGCTGTGAGATACAATCACACGGGGACGGGCCAAAGATCGTCGAGAGTGAGATGTCTCTCTCCTCTGCGTTTTACTTGTAGGTCCCACAGTTGAAACTTACTAGCTGCGATTGCAATAACGGCTGAAACGAGTTGCGCATTATTGATAAAAGGACGATAATAAATACAGTAATATGA